ATGTATTTGTGCCAAAGTAATTTCACTACCATTACACAGTTTGGTGCCTCCATCGATCACACTGTGGCTTTCAGTAACAAGATTTGCTGTTTCTGTCATCGACATTTTGTCACTTATACATTACTGTATGATATGTTTAATCAGACTAGTGTGTCTCACATTATGTTACGTTCAACACAAAACACAATACCGCAGTAGAGACCTCACAACATAACAGTACATACGAGTGAGCTTTGCTCATTGTCACACAAAGAGGGAATGTTTCTCTCTTAAAAATATCACAAAGACACACTACAAAGTCAATATTCTGAATGCAGAATGTTGCGAGAAGATAATTATAATTATTCTATCCTTTATAGAGCTCGACAACAAGTTTAAATATGTTTTAAAATGAGTTTTTTAGTTTCTTTGCGGGACCGATCGAAAACCCGCGACGTAAGGATCAACTCCTTACTCCGCGACTCTAGAGCAGACGCTCTAACCACTACGCCACGCGGGCGACGATACTTCTGTAACAGGCCTAGGAAAGGGGAAAATGCATGACTGGACCGGGAATTGAACCCGGAAACCCTGCATCAATAGTCAATAGACTGAGCTACCCAGGCCGATATCCACGGCCCAAACCATTACATTCCTCCCTCCTTAAATTGTCTTCGCCCTCGAAGACACAACCCCAGTTCTTATTTGCCCCTGGCAGGACTTTCACCTGCAAGTTCAGGGGTGGTCAACGGCACCAAATCTATAGCAGGAAAGGAGAAAATGTATGGTTGGACCGGGAATCGAACCTGGGACCCCTGCATCACTACTCAGGTGCTCTACCGACTGAGCTATCCAGGCCGATATCCTCGGCCCAAAACATTACACTTCTTTCTAGTATTTTCTGATATCTACCTTTTTCTATACTTAAGCAATGAGAAGAAAACCTTATTCTAGAAAAATACTTCTTTAACCTAGATTGAATATGTTTTGTCAAGTATGCATGGATTTTGGAAAAAAAAATGTAATACGGGATGTGCTTATACAAGAAATACGTAGCTGAATTTTCAAAAAAAAAAAAAAGCATTACAATCTTGAAAGTACATGTAGATGTCCAATAGTCTTTCCTTGTATAAAGGAATCAACATGTATCTTTTGAACAACAATAGAGCTTGTGTGAATGAATGCACTACTACAAATATTCTCAACACTTATCTACTTACTAATTATTTGAAATATAGTTGCTTTTATGTCCTCATTGTACAGGGCACCGTGTAATTCATGGACTGGAGTTATGGAGTGGAGTTTGGAGTCAAATTTTGGAGTCTGATTTTTTTCAAATTTGATTTTATTCCCATGTTTCTATAATGCACCAGCTATTGCAACATTTAACAAAACTCCTTTTACTAAAATTAGGTTACGAATATCTTGTTGAATCACCTTAAAATCTGCTCAAAAACAGACAAATAATGTTTCTTGCTACTTTTTTAGATGGTGTCATTCATGCCCGTTTGATACTCCGTAATCCATTTTAAGGTATTTTTCTGCTTCTTTGGCCTGAAATTTTCCGATTGTTTAAGCAAATATATTCTTTCTTGCAATACCCCCAAAATAAGAGTTACTGAATGTGAACTTTACATTGATCAATCTTGGTATGAATATCAGATTTAATTTGTCTTACTGATGTATAGAATAAAGATACAAAATTCTTCAGGTGACAACTCTTTCGTTTTATTATATTCCCGTGTTGCTATTAGAAGTGATGCGTGTGTTCCTTGGAAAAGTGTAGATGAACATTTTAGTTTATATTTCTGTAGTTTAAAACTAGAAATATTTCCGTAGGACATGAATGCCCGTCCAGTGTATATTAGTAATGCAACATGAAAATTTATATTAGTGTATGAAATTTGAAGCGAATATCTTGAATAGTTTCTTTAAAATTGAAATCTAAAAAAATGGATATAGATGATAAATTCTCACCAAATTATGTATAAGTCCATAAGCTTACATAAAAATATCTGAAATGCTTTTTTTAAACTAAGCAAAATGCAAATTAAAAAAAAGTGAGGTCAAGGTCACAGGAAAGCCTAAGGCTAAAAGATTTCATGCAGTTGAATATCCCTCACTAATAAGTATCAACATATTAAGTATGATAAACATATCTTGAATGGTTTATTTAAAACTGGGGTAAACACTGATTTAAGAAAAGTGAGGTCAAGGTGAAGAAATGTTGATGCAGTTGATAGCTCTTATCAGTATGTATTAGCATATGAAGTTTGATGAAAATATCTTGAATATTCTTTATTTAAAATTGAGCTGAACATTATTTATAAGAAAAGTGAGGTCAAGGTCAAAAGAAAGGTCAAGGTAAAAAAAAATGTTAACATAAGTATTTTTTATTACACTATCTTGAATGGTTTCTTTAAAATTGAGCTAAACACTAATTTAAGAAAAGTAGGTCAAGGACAAAGGAAAGGTCAAAGTCAAAAAATGTTTACACAATTGAAAAGCTTTCACCAATACCTATCAACATATGAAATTTTATAAAAAATATCTTGAAAAATATCTTTGAAACTGAGCTTTGAACTGATCTAAATGCAAAGCTTGACGGATGGAAAGAAGGACGGAAGACAGACATGACAAACTCTATATGCCCCGGCCATATTCATGGCGGGGCATAAAAAATATTATGAAGTAGACTAGTTGTATGCTTTTTTAAATGTTTATTTGAATTATCAAAAAATATCAATTTTGACGATTTTTCATAATAATCATTAATCAAATTTCTTAGTAAAATCAATTAGAGGTTTTTTTCACAACCAAATTTATACTTATGAAAGACATTGTATCAGCCATATTTGAAAGCTTATGTTCTAGGATTTGAGATAATAACAAATATTCATTTAAGATACTGATTGTTAGAACAAGTCAGTCGAAGATCACATTATCTATTACCTAAATCTCAGGATTGATATTATATTAATGTTAATTTTTATTCAGACAGATTAATCTTCTGGTCCAACTCTTGAAGTTAAATCTTTTTTCTCGAAAATGAATCACCCATAATTATTGTACTTTGATGAATAGCACACTGATGTGAATAAATGAGTTTGTTATAATTGCCTAACACCGCCTGCATGCTCTTGTATAAATAACTCTTGATAGATTATGTGGGACATATCAATTTCCCGCAAATTCTTTCAGATAAGGTCGTGGGTATTAATTTCACTCTCATTATCAAAAAACATTGACAGTTTATTCAATGTTTTAATCAAATTTAACTGTTAATGATCAACTGATAACTGATAATGATCAACATAGCTATCAACACATAATTGGAAGGTGATAAAACCCTTTGAACTAAATTTTAGCTTTCTGTCACATCTTTGTTATGTCTACTAAAACTTTTATAGGTTTTTGACCACACAGCTGAACAATGTAGGCTAATATATTGTTACAAGATTGTTTGTAGAATAAGATTGATGATTTTTCTACCTATATAATTTACTGTAGATTTAAAACCATCAATTTTGTATCTTAAAATGTGAATTAAAAAAAAAAGATTATCAATAATTCACATACATTTACTTAAATAATATTATGATACTGTCAATTAAGAAGGTAATGGGAAGGAATGCACTGTGATGCTAGTTAAGGGATAATAATATTTATATAAACTCATAAAGAATGCAATAACTTTAATGCATGCAGTTAATTCCACACTAGATCACATACCCCAAAATTAAATAGTCATCGTTCACAGTTTAATCAGCATCTCTGAAACTGGGTGTGAGGATTCTGATATTATTATCAACATTTCACTTGAAGTGTGATATTACCCATAGTTGATTTGTTTTTGAGGTTGAGGGAGTGACAACCCAAGGAAAAGGGAGAGAGATTAGTATGGTAATTGCCATGTCGCTGAATTAAGGGGGTTAGTGAACCTTTTAGTACACCATATAATAGTGGTATGAAGTGTGAAACTTATTTTAAAACTGATTATAATTTTTTTTTATGTAACATGGAAGGTAATGAATAGGTGAGTGTATATACTGATACTTATAAATTGCTTTAAACACTGAACCTAATAGCTCTTGACAGGTTTGTTAACACGTCGAAATAAACTGTACTAAAACAATCAGTAAGACCGACTATATCTGTTGATTAATTATATTCAACAGTTTCCAAATATTTTTAAATAGCAGGGGTTATCTTGTCAGTATCATGTCTGTCTATTCAATACTGATGTAATTTTCTAAAGTTACAAATACATATTTAAGTACTTACTTAAGTTTCAGAAATTTAGAAATTTTAATTAAGTCATATTACCTATGAGTTGTCAATCTGTTTATTTACAAGACAAGAAACGGCAAACAAATGTACAAAAAAGAATTAGAGACTTTCATACTAATGCAATTTCCTGGACATCTTTTTCCATTCATGTTTTAAAAAATAAGTATTAGACTCCAAAATTTGACTCCAAACTCCACTCCATAACTCCATTCCATGCCTCCAGTCCATGAATTACACGGTGCCATTGTACAGACAGGGGAGGGGATGTTAGGACTGACAGCCTGCGTGTTCGGAACCCACGGTTGGTTTTTCTCTCCGTTACATTACATTCAACAATGAAAGTACTTCTATAACGGAGAGAAAACCCGAGGGTTCCAACGATGGATAGCCTGATGAATTCCATTATTCTGTTTCGTTCCTTAGTTACTTTAGATTTTAATTTAATGCGTATTTTCTAGACAATGTCGTTTATTAATTTTCAGCTAAACTTGAAATTAATATGACAAAGAACAATTTGTCATGTAATAAATCTTTTTCAACTCCACATAGTAATACAATATACGACAAATAATATCATGAAATGACTCGTGGAAGTGTTAAATGTTATTTTGGGAAAAAGGTCGCTATAGTTATTTTGAATATTTCATATACATGTACATGTACTAGTATTTAATTCATCATTACTTGCATGCGTGCCTGGTGTATATGAAACGAATAGGTTTCCTCTCCGAGTTACTTTTTTTTTCCCCTCTCTCATATTTTCATTAATAATTTTCCTTTTTTTTCCTTCTTAAGATTTTGCAAAAAATGAAATGCTTCCGAATCCATTTACAGATACCCCAAAATGTAACGAACTGTGTTAGGTGCTCTTGACTCAATTCGGCACTTGCAGCATCATGTTCTTTTATTATCCAAAGGATAATGGAAAATGCACAGTACTTTCAGCTTGTCTCGTAACTTGTAGCAGATACTCCGTAAACATGTCTGTGGGGCCTACAACAGGATATCAGAGCTTTTCTGAACTGCGGCGAACTTAAGATATAAATAAATGGATTGATCGTAAAGTTGATGTATAAACCTAAACGACCAACGTGTTGAAGAATGGCAAGCCACGTAAGATTTATCACTGAAATTCCAGACTCCAAGTAAGCAATTTTGATACAGTCCGCTATGCTACTGGGTAGAGTTGTCACAATGAAGGCGGTGATAATTAGTGTTACAATACGGGACATCCGGCGGACGGTAGACTTACGACAGGCGGCTAATGACCGCAACAAAGTACGGGCCTTTAATGTATGAAGGGTCACAATCAAGACAATGGGCAACACCGACATAGTGCTGGTAACTGCTATATTTGTGACTTTTGCGAGTTGGAGGTTCGCTCGTCCATTTATGACAACAGCGTACACATAAAAAGATCCTATAGCTATTGCCAGTAACCATGCTCCTACAGATATTGATATGACTCTCTTGATGGTCAACCAGACATGGCTCTCGAGGGGATACACCACCATAAAGTATCGCAACAGTGACAATAATACAATGTGAAGAATTGACGCACATGCGCCTGACAAACTGAACAGATCAGTTACGCGGGAAAAATTTACACTGAAATCGTCTCTTCCTTCCAAGTACCATAACCTCATGTTGTCCCGAGCAAATCTTGATGTTGTATATACAAAATCTGCCAAAGCAAGACACGATATGGAGACGTATGTTACTGTATGGAGACGTTTATCCTTGCCAACAACTATCAAGACCATTCCGTTTGCCACCATACCGGTTGCTCCGACGGTAAAACAGGCAATGTAAAATCCCAGACACATAGTCGAGTGGAGACAGAAGCTGGTAGCTTGTCCAGAAGTTTCATTGTAATGTCCATCCGTGGAAATATTGAGTGTCCTGTTAAAGTTCATATTGTCACAGTTAGTTACTGTTGCACGGGGATGCTAAAGTTTAATGTTTATGGCAGTGGTGACGCCATACGTACATGTTATTAATCGAGCTGACATTCATGTGAAACAGGTGGTCAGACTTGGAGAATCCCACTAGTAAAAATTGGACTCATTTCTGACGTAAAATTAACATTCAAATATTGTCATTATTTTTCCATGTGTTATCCTTTTAGCAGCGATTGTCAGTGCCAGAAATTATGATGCTGCGGTATCATGGATCAGGGCCCAAGGCAGATGATGGAAAATTTAATCATGGACAATACAATCATCCATCATATTATGTACAGCAAAATTTGTACGAATTATTTAGTCCTAAATCCTTGACAAATCTAATCATCCAATCGATCGACACATAATTATAACTATCAACGAAATTAATTTTTCCATAGTATTCATTGTCATTGAGAGATTATGTTTTTAGTTATTTTAGGAATTTAACTCTAGCATAGTATATTGAGTAGCTCCAGGAATTCCGCACAGATTCGAAATATTTAATAAAATGAAAACACGATCCAAGATAAGTATGCAGAAAATAAAGTAATGTGCTTTATTTCATTCAAGTTGATTTAATGGGGGACCGACATTCTGATAAGGGAGATAACTTCCAAGTGAATGATTCTGAAATTACCCATAGTTTGTCATGACAGAGTTTAGTATAGTGGGGACTTTTGAATAGGGAAACAGTGACTTTTATTGTCTTTCATAGTTTTTAATTGTGTTTAACCTAAAACATTTGCATCCCCATTGAAACAGTTCTAACTTTTTTTTAACAATGGTAAAACTGCAGTAATGCATTATGTACCATATTAAAGAATTTTTATTATTAGTACTTTTTTCCAGTAAAATTATTTTAAAAAGAGATAACTCTTGGTAATGGATGTATTTTTTTAAAGCACTGATAACAATGATGAAGAACAGCGCTCTATTATGTTTTATATGTATAACACTAAATATGATTTCCATGTATACCTCATATGTTTAATTTTATGTTGTGATAATAAATTATATTTTTACTTATTTTCTGTGTCAAACCAGAGACGTATCTTATACGCCTCTGGTCAAACTTTCTTCATATTATGTTCAGACATAAAATTCACTAAATTTCTGAAAAAAGCACCACTTCAAACCTCATACTGTTTTCCATTTGAATCTAATGCTCTGGCTGTTGATGAAAACCAATGTCGGGAAGTTATTCTTTTTTTTTTTTTGGTTTAAATTCAGAGCAGAGGGACAATACTCCTTAAGTCGATCTAAAAAAAATCTCAAAATCAATGTCACTCTGCACGAATGTTTTCTAAGTTTCATCGTGCAGTTTTTATTGTTAAAAAGAATTACAAATATGTCAGGAGGAAATTATTTTTATCAGTTTTAAAATGTTTTTATTTTGTATGTTTATTTGCTATTAAAATTTCCATGATTAAATATAACCTTTTAGATAATTGTACTTGTACAGTCACTGAACATACGGAATCCTTTAGAGATTGTCTATTATTTTCTCAGAGCTATCGATGTTTTGAAATGACTGTCCTGTCTTCGTTTTTTACTCCTCACTAAAATATTAACAGTATGAAGGAGAAACTTCAGGAGTATTTTGCAACTATATATTCGAGAAGTGGTGTAAATCAGATGTGGATACTTAAAAATTCTAAGAAACTTTTGGAAAATTTGAAATCACAAAATTTTACCAAAATGAACAACATAAAAACGTATGACTTTTCAACTTTATATACAACCATTTCCCACGATAATTTAAAATCCAGGCTTTTTTAACATCATTGACAGCTGCTTTTTCAATAAAAATAGAACTCTTAAATTTACTTACCTTGTCATTGGTCATTTGCAAAATAATTTTGTTAAAAAACATTCTGATTGTACACACAAGTACTCTGAAGTTGATATTAAAAAGATGCTTGAGTTTCTGATTGACAATATCTATGTAGTTTTTGGAGACCAGGTCTTCCAACAATCTATTAGAATTTCCATGGGTACCAACGCCCCGTTATTAGCAGACCTATTTTCGTATTCATGTGAAGCAGAATTTGTTCAAAATCTTTTACGTGAAAGGAAGGAAACATTTGCTGTGGCCTTCAACTCGACATTTAGATATATCGACGACGTATTGTCAATTAACAATGGTCATTTCCATTCTTATGTCGATACGATATATCCCAGTGAGCTTGAAATAAAAGATACCACAGAGTCTGACACATCTTTTTCATATTTGGATATTTTACTAGAAAAAGGCGTTAATGGTAATCTAACAACCAAGCTTTATGATAAACGTGATGTCTAACTTTTCCATCGTCAACTTATCTTACTTATGCAGCAATAAATCTTCGTCACCTGCATACGGGGTTTATATCTCTCAGTTGATTCGATACGCAAGAACATGCCCTACGTATGAACAATTTCCAAAACAAGGTAAGTTACTGACAAACAAGTTAATGAAACAAGAATATCAGCAGTCTCATATAAAGTCATCATTTCGTAAGTTTTGTCAGCAAATACAATTTATCATCAAGTCAAATGCTGACTTACGTTTTTCATACTAATTGTTAGGCCATAATTTACACATTGAACTGTCGACGGATTTTCTTGTTATTTCCCGATCATGACAAGGAGCACACGGCGGGTGTGACCGGTCGGCAGAGGATGCTCAACTCCTCCATGGCACCTGATCCCACCTCTGATGTTTTAGAGATCCATGTTTGCTCTGCTCCAAAATTTGTATTGTTTAATGGACTTTTGAGCTTGAATACTGTTCGTTATCTCCATATATTTCATACAGAGAATAATTTATTTCATTTAAAGTGGAGTATCGCAATTTACTTTTCCGTTGTTCAAGGTTTAAAGATGCGATGTTAATTTTTGAACAGAAATCTAGAAGCAAAAAAAAGTAAAACTGGCTTCAAAGCAACTAAGTAAAAATAACTGTCTGTTTCATGGATTGTTGGAATACCAACCATCCACCATGCGTTGTTTATTCTCTAGAACTGCTACAATGAGAAACCAAACCTATCAAACTTGTTCCATATATAATTTTAAGAAATCAATCCCGTTATTGTTTGGAAATGTTCTGAGCTGAGGTGCCTGTCATTAAGGGCAAACGCTAAGTCGCAAGAGTTACAGTGCATTTACCAGCTGAGTTAAATCGGATATCCAACGTAGCCATCTTAATTGCATGCATGGCTTGTTTAAATAGTTTGGACAAAAACCTATCCAAATCCCAAGAAGAGCTATTTTCTAGCCACATGTACAACTCCAAACTTGAAATGAAATACATCTACATACATGTATCACAGTGAAAAATTCACTGTTCAAGAAAGAACTTTATTTTGGACTTTACATTTCAATTTTTAAGTTGTGTCATATTTTATTTCTCACGATATGTTTCGCGAATCTAATTGTTTAATTGACCAGTGACACTTTTCGGACTCTTGATCTGTTGTTACAAAGAGACAGAGTGCTATGTCTCAAGAACTAATAATCTCTAAAAACAACATTGTGTAATTATCTGTTTTTTTTTATGTCCAAACATCAAAGCGTCATTGAGTTTATTTAATTAATCCATACCTGTGAATCTTTCACTCATTTTACTAAATGTCAACACCTGTCATTTATTTACTCATTATGTACATTCTTATAAATAGTCATGTATAATTTCAATCATTAGTCTGGAATATACGAAGGCCAGTCTCGGCCACGTCCGACTTGTCAGGACTCTGAGTCCGGGGCCACTTCGGCCAGATCCGACTCGATCATTTATAATATGTCTGTTTGTTGATTCATGTAAACTGTTGCCATCGTTGAGACTCATCTAATAAATACGGAATCCTTCATCATTTGTTTTATCTCTGGAATTGCATATTGGTGGACCTTCGGGAATACGGCACACCTATACTTCGTTTTTACCTTACGGCCACACAGCGCCTCTACCTATACCTTGTACCCTCTACGTCAACATTCCCTCACCCCGTTCGTTCTGCAGACAACGGATGCAGTTCCAGACGAATTCCTAAGTACCGTCCAAATCTACACGGTCACACATGTACAACGTGTTTCTATGGTGAATGCTTTGGTCAAAGATATGGAAAGGTAAAATAAATACAAGTTTATGCACTTTAATTGGAACATACCAAACACAAAACAAACGGTAGCAAATAAAAATAGATTGTTTAAAATACAATTAATTTATTAAAGTCTTCTTTGCAAACCAAACGATGACCATGCAATACAAAGCAAACTATCACGAGCTTAAATCCAGCAGATATTAACTGATTTATCCGTTTTGTGATTGTCACTGCATTTCTTTGTTGTCAGTATCATTATGTGTACAAAATCCCTTAACTCTGCAGCAGCCTGAGAAAAACACATCCCATTTAAGTTCAACAATTAATGTCTTAATTACACTTATTTATCTCAAAATGACCATTACCTAGACGCAGTTCAACACTCTCACTCCGGAAACTCTTAAATTCCTTTTGCTTTCTTCGATGTTAACAATGTATTTTTGTGGTATTTATTGCATTCGTCTATGGAATAGTAAGTTTGTGAGGAGTCTGTGCAAATTTGGCATCGTTAAGTGTTTATAACTTATAGGCGCAATCCAAATGGCAATCCGTCACAAACATTATACAAACAACTCAAAGTCACCTTCCTTTGGATATTGCTTGATTCCTTTTCTGAACATCTTCTTGCCTTAAGATGGTTCTTGCAAAATTGTAAAATTTTGGATTATAGTGATCACTTTGAGTAAGTTTTTCAAGTTTTTTTTTTTTTTTTTTGACAAGGTCGCATACAATATTCTGTTGTGGACATCAGTAGTTTCATCTGGAACAGCTTTGACGAACTAGTACTTGACAAGTATCAACATGCAAGAACTCAGGTCTAAGCATCCTCACACCGTCAGGAGTCCTGAGCCCGTGGATGTTGAATCCCTGACAAACTCCATTCAATATTTTACGAGTTGCTTCTCTCATTGAGAGGCACCAATCAGATTGGGGCTATCATAATTTGACATAAATCGTTAACAGAAAACATAGACCCTGAAGCAAACCCTCTGCTTTAGGTCTATGCAGAAAATAAGTATGTTAGGTTGTTTGTCACCGAAAGGCTAAATGTGATTTGTCGAGAGATAAGAAAAATCAATCAAGATTTGTGATTTCCTCGAAAGACGTCGATGCAGTCATTTCATAAAAATATCAGAGGCCCCATGTCCATGGGTGGACTCGGGACCTCTGACGTTGTGAGGATGGGTTCTAAGATGAATTTGTTGCTGTTTCGGCCAGGAAATTCAATATAACAAATTGTATTGACAATAGCGTTCTTTGTTCGATTTGCAATTTTTAACCTATCTTCAGGTTTTCCCTTTTTTTTTGATATTGGTCCCCGTATTTCTTCCACTATTTTGTGAAGCATATTCCTACACATAAATGTAATTTTTAATCACCACAAGGACTTGAGGGCATTTTTTTCATTACGCAGGGAGCATGTACTCTGTCTATCAGCAACTGATTTGTTGTCTGATCTTACGAAATATCTTAAATTGGTCAATGATATTAATTAGATGTTTCATATCAATATTCATTCATTCCCTGTACCTGAAGGTTCGAGTGGACTCGAGATCTTTAGCTTCATAGCTTTTTTTCAATATACACGGTACAGGCCCGTAGGAAGCAATTTCAGTTTGGGGGGTTGGAGGGCACAGTCGTACATTTTCAATTGGGGGGCACTATCAACTACCAAAAATTCCTTGACCCTTGACAAGCAAAAAAAAAAATGTCATCTGACGTTTTTATTGAAGGGGGGGGGGGGGGAGGCAAGCATATAGTAGCTATGTTTTCTATAGAAATTTATATATCGGCACGCCTCACCCCCCGTCCCCCTCCTCGGTTCCTACGACCATGATATATATAAAACTGATAGTAAAAACGAGTATTCGCAGTGGACTTCTATATAATGCATTTTAAAGTCGTTTAGGACCAAACTATCGGGGAAGGGGTATAGTCGTTGAAACACAAAGTGAAAAAAAAGACACATTAAAAACATTAAATTGTGCCTTTCAAACCGTTATATGCATATTTTTCTGCTAATTATACGTCCTTTTGAAATAAATTTCGAAAGTTTTGCTTAAAATTACCCCCCGCCACGGTCCGGAGTTGGCATATCGTTCATTCTGACCGTGGTTTGCGAAGATCGCCTGCTTTAAATTATATCGGGATCGAGATTCAGAAAATAGAAATTGCGGGAAAATCGTCAGAAATTTTTTCATTTTAATTTTTGTTTTTCACTGTGACTGTATTGTCATGATGTGCGAGTTTACTCCCTCTTGGGTGTTAGAAGATGTTATAAGTGAGAAAGTCAATCTTGAACGATGGGCTGTAAAAAATGTTGTGCATATGTTAGAGAATGGAGCCACTATTCCTTTTATCGCTCGCTACCGGAAAGAACAAACGGGGGCAATGGAGGTAGACAAACTTCGTGAAATCAAAACGCAAACGGAGGAGTTGAAGTAAGTAAAAAGTTGAATACTGACACAGGTTGTATTATAAAATTTTACAAATTGTGAAAAATCGCACACCTTTGAAAATCCATGTATCAACAGCAAGGAGAGACCCACCAAGTGAAATTAACTACAACTTCATATGATGTTGAAAACGATATTGTCACAATAATACATTTTTTTTATTGTCCATAAAACTTCTCAAAGTTAGTAATCAATTAGTCTAACTGTATATTTACTCCCTGATAATATGGGACTAGTGTAATGTGTTAGTTTAAAAAAAAAAACTTAATTACTTGTTGCTTTTCAAACTATATTTTGATGTTGTGTCCCAACTCCCCCATGAGGGAGTGCGGGACGGTTCGCCCCGAAAGACCATTCGCGCTGAGACGTTTCGCCCCCAGACGGTTCGCGCCGAAGATCAATTAATTAATGATGTGGCAATTATCACTTGTTAACAGCAATTATCAACTTCTTCATGACTTTTATACTGTGTCATATTAATCCAATCCATTGGTTCAATCAATAATACCAATTTATATGGGTTATACTGAACACCTGACACCGCAAGGACCTATAAGGACCTATAAGTCCCTGCGGACACTGAAAACCTGACTGAGATAATTTTGCCTGTATGGGGGAAATACTGATAATAGATGATGCATACCAAAATACACTTGTAGAGAATAAAAACTGAGAATTTATCTCTATATCATGCTATATATCCCTGTTGCTTAAAAAAAAATTCTAGATGATCTGATATTTTTATATGATGTGAGAAAACAGCAACTCATGATTATTTTAATGACATGATGATTTAAAAATAACTGATCTATTTTGATATAACAGACATAGAAATAAATTAAGGTATGTCACTTGTGAAATTAGTTATATCAAAGAATTTTGAGATTTTTTAGTTTATTTTTGATAAATACTTATATAGCAATACTCAATTTGTGCTTTGCACTAAAAAGTATCATACTTCGGGTATTAAAAATAAATAAAGACAATAAAATATTTTCTTGTTTCAAGTTTTTTTATGACTTAGGTGCTGATCGATTGGAAGAATCGTGTAGTTTAAAATAATGAAAGAAAAAGGGGGCCAGTGATGTAAATTTTGAGATGTTGGTCAATAGTTTTATATTGACTATAAAATCTGGTGAGTGAATGTGTAAAATTTGTTCCGAGTAAAAATATGTAGGGCAAAAGTTATATTATTTACGAACATTTATTTATTTATATTAACCACAATATGTACATTTATTTATATACTTTCAAATTGGCTGTTATACCATTTGCTTGACATTTCATATATCTTCTTGTTGTCATACCTAAGTTTCAATTACATAACCCCTGGATTTCTGAATAAAACAACACTAAAAATAAGCAAAATAAATATATATGTTTTAATTATTTTCATTGTATTCAAGAAGCATACAAAAATCATAAACATATAGAAGTATGACACGACAGAACATCATATCACATGATCAATACAGGATATGCAGAGTAAATAAATAAGTTACATGTATCTTTCAATACATACACAATATGACACATTATAAAAGAATGGCATTATAGATCACAGTGCATGAATCACAGTAAATCACAGCTAGGGCATGAATCACAGTAAATCACAGTGCATGAATCACAGTAAATCACAGCTAGGGCATGAATCACAGTAAATCACAGTGCATGAATCACAGTAAATCACAGCTAGGGCATGAATCACAGTAAATCACAGTGCATGAATCACAGTAAATCACATCTGTCACATGAATACCTCAAACATAAAAAACACCAGCATAGATGGAACCGCACACCTTCAGGAAATGGGATGCTGTGATGTTGTCATCCATGTACTTGGCTGCAGCTTCTTCTATGGAGAGTCTCCAAATTATAATTATAACACCTTAATTACAATACTGAATCAGACAATTATGATTGCTGAATAAACATAATTATATCTGCACATGGATAATTATACCTTTAATTATGGTATAAGCCTATTTTCAACAATTTAAACAGTCATGAAAGTTTTTTTTAGTAACTTTAGAACTTTTTTTTAATAAAGTTAATATTAACTTTATATGTAAATATTTATCTTAAAACCGTCAATAGGGACGAAACGTCCCGTCACCTGCAAGAGTGAACTTTTTTTTAATAAAGTTAATATTAACCTTATATGTAAATATTTATCTTAAAACATATCGTATTTATATCGTTATAGATTAAATTCGGCGCGAAAGGTCTTTAGGGGCGAATGGTCTCGGCGCGAACCGTCAATAGGGACGAAACGTCCCGTTACCCCTCCATACTGTATACCCTTCTAGTCTGGAGATGCTTCCCACTTACCTTCCTAAAAGCTGTAAATTAGTCTTGCTTAATAAAGTACTTAATTAAAGGACCATAACATTTTTTATTGATTTTTAGAATGGTTTTTAACATAGATATTTTTTAGTGTCATAAATTTTTACAGAATATTAATCTCTGATTGTTTTGCACTGTGTTACAGAGGGGTTCAGCAGAAGATCTTCACAGTGCTGACAGGGCTACAGAAGCAAAACAAACTCACGGAGCAAATTAAGAGAAGCATTAGAAATGCAGAGTCTCTTACAGAAGTAGAAGACTTGGTAAGAATTGTTTGTTATCCTCTTCCATCGAAGTTGAAGGGAATATAGTAACATGCTTATAAGTGATGTTGGGTGAGTTAGTTATGCTTGCTTAATGGAAGTAATAATTTACATCTTGATTGATGTCATTTGCTGCTTTGCTGATTTAATTTTAATTTTGTTATTTTGACTTGTTTTCTGTTATTTTTGTATTGCTATCACAGAAATAAATAAGTAAATTGAACTTAAGATACAGTATTTAAGTAATCCTGCACATATCTTTTTTTGAATGTGAATACTGTATTGTGTTGTGTGCAATTCCTTCCTCAACTTAAATTTTATGGATGTGTAAGCAGTAATTACACCATAAATTAAAAAAAATAGAGCTTTTGTGGCATATTTTGCTTTAGTATAAAGAAAATCCATTAACCATGTTAACATTTATGTTTCAATGGTTGCAAGCATTAATAAGCACTAATTTTTATGTTTCAAAGATTTTTGCTGACAGTACTTTGGCCCATTCTGACCGAAACCTGTCCCAAATAGAATCGCAGATATAAGATCAATAACTCAGGTTTTTCTACACAATGTCTTGATCGAACTACTTGATCACTATTATGAAAATTTCAGTAATGGTAACTACTTTATTCTACTGTATGTGTACTTGGAAAAGCAGGCTTCATATTTTAGTGGCTTTGGTGCAGACAATGATGCACTAATTCATGAATACATCTAAGAGCTTATTTATACATGTATATGCAATACACGACACAGATATGGTTGCAAGCATTAATAAGCACTAATTTTTATGTTTCAAAGATTTTTGCTGACAGTACTTTGGCCCATTCTGACCGAAACCTGTCCCAAATAGAATCGCAGATATAAGATCAATAACTCAGGTTTTTCTACACAATGTCTTGATCGAACTACTTGATCACTATTATGAAAATTTCAGTAATGGTAACTACTTTATTCTACTGTATGTGTACTTGGAAAAGCAGGCTTCATATTTTAGTGGCTTTGGCGCAGACAATGATGCGCTAATTCATGAATACAGCTAAGAGCTTATTTATACATGTATATGCAATACACGACACAGATATGTGTATAGCACTAATTCATAATTAAGCCAACAACTCCATACCCAGTGATTGTGCTAAAATTTGAATACGCCAATTTATGTACACATACATTATTTCTTATTTACAGTATGCACCATACAAACCAGGAAACAAGGGAACACTGGCAGAAAGAGCCCGAGCATTGAACCTCGAGTCTGTTGCCAACGACTGCATATACAGTCCTAGAAAAGTAGACATTAAAAGGTGCATTAAAAAAGATGTAAAAGGTAAGAATGTGTTAAAATGGGATCAATTTATGTTTTCTATTCGTTCAAAATAAAGGTTTTAGTTGACTTTGGCATTGTTTAACTTTATGTTCTGAAGTACATGTATCTACATTCAGGATAACAAAATGCTTGAATTCAGCATATATTTATTTCAAAGGACTATCATCAGAGAAAGAAGTCCAGACTGGAATTCAACACATCATAGCAGACATTATTAACAGGGATGACAGTGTCATCAAATCCATTAAAGAGCTGTGAGTACAGTTTCTTAAGAATGCAGCATATTTTTAGACAACAAAGGGGGCTCAATTCTTCAACACATGTAAAAGTAAAGTATAGAACAAGCCCAATTAATACTGAAGCATCTACATTTAGTGTGGGGTCAAGTTTGGTTAGGACACCACATCTTTGGGATAGGTGGGGCCACAATATGGGTTCAAAAGTTTTCATGGAAAAAAAGTTGGAGAAACTTCTGAAGAATAAGCCTACTCAGGTGAGAGTTATGAACCATGGAACTCATGTATTAGTAAACAGTATCATTTCCAATGCCAGAAATGATTATTTTTTCCCATTTATCTAGATTTTTCCTTTAAATCTTTGGAATGCATTGAAATGACTAGAAACTGGAAAATCAATTTTTACCTTCATTTGGTTCATGGGCATCTCAAAATTTAAAAATAGAAGCAAGATTTATTATTTTTATCAGTTCTTAGAAGTTACCCATGTATATTAAGTAGATTTTATTTTTCTTTTTATTCTTATATGTATACACCAGCAGTTGTTTTTTAACATTGCAGATGTAAGGCAAATGGTGTTACAATTGAATGCTCCAAATTTGTAGTATCCAAAAAGTTAGGTGCTAAAACCTTGGAAAAAGCTGAGAAGGCACAACAGTCTAGTTACAAATTTGAAAACTATTTTGACTTCAAGGGATCTTCAAAGAGTATCAGGCCACATCAAGTAAGTACATGTATTGTAACTATCTCGCAATAATATTAGACCACATCAAGTAAGTATTGTAACTATCTACAAGAATATATGACCACATCATGTAAGTATTGTAATTATCTCACTGAAAATCAGACACATTGAGTAAATACTGTAACTATCTTACAATAATATTAGACCACATTGAGTAAGAATTGTAACTATCTCACAATAATATCAGACCACATTGAGTAAGTGTTACTTTGTAACTATCTCACAGAAATAATAGACCATATCAAATAAATATTGTATTTATCTCATGAGCATATCAGACCATATCAAATATGAAATGAACAATCTGGCAAGACCAAGTAAGTATTGAAGCTTTCTCATAAGAATGCAAGACCAAATCAAGTTGCTGTAAACCATATTTTATTTTAAGATTTTAGTAAAGTATAATGTAAAGTAACTCAATGCAGGAAAGATCCATAAAGATTATGTCTTGCTAATAAATGCAATGCTATTGTCTTAAGAAATTATAGTCACTAAATGCATGTATATTAGTGATTTACAGTGTCAAGCATTTTGACCTGCTCACAAGGTAAAACTCACACTTGCACTCTTACAGATTTGTTACAAATTGCAGTATATGAGTCATTTTCATTGATTGGCATGTAGCATTTTAATTAAAAAATTAATTCTTTTAATAATTTTTTTTTGGTAAGTTTGTCAGAAAACCTTTATCACTAACCGTTTACATTTTCCTGTAGGTACTGGCAATCAACAGAGGGGAGGAACAGAAGATTTTAACTGTGAAGTATACAATTCCTGAAAGTATTCATCATCGATTTGATAGCTCTGTGGAAAGGAAGTACATTAGGTATGACTGTACTGATGCTGTGAGGAGTCTGATAAAAAAGGCTATAGAAGACTGCTGGAACAGACTGGTACAGCCACAGATCATCCGACAAATCAGGTATTATAGATTTCTACACAAAGCTTTGTAGAATACTGTATGCATGGTTATTTTCACCCTTTCATATTTGCAAACAATTCTGCCCCGGCCATTTTAAATATGCCCCAGACATATTTGACATGCTAAGAGACAATCCTGCCTTCTTTAAATTTGTTCTGTTTTAAATTTGCCCACTTGCAACAATAGGAAAAGAGGCGAAAATAAAACAGGGACATAAATTTGTCCTGTATACAGTATTGAATAATCAGTTACCTCTAGATGGAAAAGGAATCTTGTGTAGCATTTGTACATGTATGTCTGTTGGATATTCTGGGTATCCATCATTCATTCGGTCATCCTTGCATCGAGTAAATTGTAGTATGGTCGTGATCATTGCAATATGTTTTACAATTTAACAGTTTTGTGGACCTTTTTGACAATTTATCCATTTCACCCTGCTTGAAATTTTCACAAAAATTGTACTTGAATTTATTAGATGTTTGTATGAACCATTGGACAAGTTCATTTCAAAGTTAATATAATCCCCAAAACCCTGTAAACCAATTTTTCTTCCTGACAACTTTAATTTGAGATGCGTCAATTTGACATTCACTGCCACTCATTAATTTTAGCATAAACTATTAATAAGTGTGATGTATTGCAGGTCAGAGCTAACAAAATTTTCTCAGAAATCCTCCATTGATGTTTTTTCTTCCAATCTACGGAATCTGCTTTTGTCTGCCCCATTAAAAGGCCACAGCATCCTGGGAATAGACCCTGGCTTCAAAAATGGCTGTAAATGTGCTGTTATTTCACAGACTGGTAGGTTACAGTGTTTCTGATAATCAAACAGATAAGAAAGTCTGATGGTAAGGGCTTAATATCTGCTACAGGCCAATTTTTTTCTGTGCTAAAATTGAGAAATAATGTCTATAAGTTCAGATATGAAATAATAATAATAAAGTGATTACAAAATGTGTTTTTAAAGAATTAAATTGCTAGCAATTGTTTAATTTTTCAGGTCAGGTCTTACATACAGATGTTGTTTACTTAAACTTGTCTCTGGAAATGAAGAGAAAACTAGGGCAAGCAACAGAGAGATATGGGTTTGTTTTCCAGGTTTTAGTTCCCAACAAATTGTATTTATTTAAAGGACTTCACAATTTCACTTCAGAATTTGTTTAACATTAAGTAAAAAAAGGTATAACAACAAATCTTTAAAGTTCATCAACCTTCTAATCACTCATATTTAAAAAAAATTGCTTTGACAGTTATGATTTTCCAAAAGAAATATAATTTTTACTTAAAATACACACAAATTCAGCATTCCTTGCGGTGCAAAATATGACAGAAATGGCCTGTTAACTTGACATTTTATTAACAAATAGCCATTTATCCCAGTGAAAGTTATCTCTTTTAGTTGAGGGTTAGTGCACCTTAAAAAAAAGAATAATTTTTTAATATTATGAGGATTATCATTCTTTGAAAACTGCACAGAGGTTTGAAATGTATGATTTACATTTACAAGTATTATACCAAAAAATGTACAGAAAGCACATGCCTGTTGGTCTGTTCTACTTTCCAGGTCATAAATGGAGGATCTGTAGAAGATAAATACAGAAGCGTAAAGATGTAATATTGTAAAATTTTTACAGGCAGCATCATCTATTTGTAGTGTGACCCTTGGAGATGTTGTTCCATTGGCTTAGCTTTAGTTACAGTTGGTGACATTTTCACATTAATTTTTACGGTTGTAGATGTAAGTACATAGCCTTAGGAAATGGAACAGCTTGCAGGGAGACAGAAAAAATTCTTACAGAGGTTGTCCAAAGAACATCTACAAAATACTGGTTAGTGTTTGATTATTAAAATGAACCTTTTTCCCTTAATTGATAAAAATTTTAGACTTGGGGATTTCCGCGCAGTACATTTAAAATTTTTAAGGTTACCGGTACTTAAATTCATCATATGATCGCTGTCTGTTCTAATCTGTTTGTATGTCAGTATTTCCTTCATTCATGTATTGTTTGTTAGCTGAATGTTAACGACTTTTTGCCCAGAACCACTGTGCCAAATTCAACCAGACTTGTATCAATACTTTCATGGCTACATGTATATCTTTTGTACAGTACTCAGATTAAGGAGCAATATTTTCTGTGATATCAAATTGTTGTTGGTCTTTTCCAAGATAGTTCTTCTGAAAACTTTGTTTATTTTCAGCATTGTTAATGAGGATGGTGCATCTATCTATAGCTGCTCAGAGTTAGCTCAAGCAGAACTTCCCAATCTTGACCCGACACTGAGGGGGGCTGGTATGTACGAGTATAGAAGAGAATTAAGGATTTATAACATACAATCTTATTAGGTGTTGTTCTCCAGATATCAGTAATTTGGAAAAAATTTTGTACTACAGCATATTTTTTTTTAGGGAAAAAATATGATTCTGTATAAAACCATCTAGTAATGTATGGAAATGACTGATAATCTATTGGAATGGAATATAATTTTAACTCTCCCGATCTACAGACTCAACTGCATTTTTTGAAAGGTATACATGCTATAATTTACTTCAGTTAAAAATAAAGTTGGAAATTTATTTATTTGTTTACCAAATAAAGTTACAAAAATACTGTAAATTACACAATTGAAAATGAACGCATTATAAAGATCTCAATTTATAATTATTTATTTTCCTACTAGGAAAGTAATGCCTCTATTTAAATTCATGCGTCATGTGACACGTGCTACTTTTAGATTGATAAACAAAAGTCAAGAAAACGAGGTAGGCCGTTTGGTATACAAATAACTTTTGACATTGATGGCACACATCTAATGCTTAAAGATACTTATCTTTTAAAACAACCTGTATTAACCATCTACTCTGTAATGACAGATATTAACCTTTTATCTATAATCGTAGTGAAAATGCAACGTACCTCGTTGTCTATGATTTCCCGAGGACATGCGTGTTAATGTACCGTTTACGCACTTCCTTCATCAATATTCATGAAAAGGCTGAATTCTTAATTGCAGATCTTGTTTAATTGTTACGTAATAACAACAACTTATTTAGTAAAACTTTGCGGAAAGTATTTTTTTTTTTTTATTACACATCATGTTTCTTAAATCATTTAATCATTTTGTTTCACCTAAAAAATCATGTTTATATAGCGTGTATATCTTTAAACAAAATGTTGGGCTTCCATTTTTCTGTCATCTGTAGTTTGTCATCAGTAAGCTTTTCACTTTTTAGCTCACCTGAGCTGAAAGCTCAAGTGAGCTGTTCTGATCACATTTTGTCTGTAGTCCATCTGTCCGTCTGTCTGTAAACTTTTCACATTTTCAACTTCTTCTCAAGAACCACTGGGCCAATTTCAATCAAACTTGCCACAAAGCATCCTTGGGTGAAGGGAATTCAGGTTTGTTCAAATGAAGGGCCACGCCCTCTTTCAAGGGGAGATAATTAAGAATTAGTGAAAAATGAATAGCATCTTTTAAAAATCTTCTTCTCAAGAACCACAGGGCGAGGAAAGATGAAACTCATATGGAAGCATCCCCAGGTAGTGTAGATTCAAGTTTGTTCAAATCATCACCCCCGGGGGTAGGGTGGGGCCACAATGGAGGATCAAAGTTTTACATAGAAATATATAGGAAAAAATCTTTAAAAATCTTCTTCTCAAGAACAGCAAAGCCATGATGAGTCATATTTACATGGAAGCATCCCCAGGTGGTGTAGATTCAAGTTTGTTCAAATCATGACCCCCGCGGGTAGGGCGGGACAACAATGGAGGATCAAAGTTTTACATAGAAATATATAGGAAAAATCTTTAAAAATCTTCTGTTCAAGAACAGTAAAGCCATGATGAGTCATATTTATATGGAAGCATCCTCAGGTAGTGTAGATTCAATTTTGTTCAAATCATGACCCTGGGGGGTAGGGCGGGACAACAATGGAGGATCAAAGTTTTACATAGAAATATATAGGAAAAATCTTTAAAAATCTTCTTTTCAAGAACAGTAAAATCATGAAGAGTCATATTGATATTGAAGCATCCTCAGGTAGTGTAGATTCAATTTTGTTCAAATCATGACCCCCGGGGGTAGGGTGGGGCCCAATGGGGGATCAAAAGTTTTACATAAGAACATATAGAAAAAAAATTCTTCTCAAGAACAGAAAAGCTATGTTAGTCTTATTGATATGGAAGCTTCCTCAGATAATGTAGATTCAAGTTTGTTCAAATGATGACCCCTGAGATAGGGAGGAGCTACAATGGGGGATCAAATTTTTACAAAGAAATAATTGGGAAAATTCTTTTAAAATTTTCTCAAGGACTACAAATTCATATGTTATATTGACATGGAAGCCTCATCAGGTAGTTAAAAATTCAAGCCCCCCCCCCCTTTCATTACTGAACTGATTTGTGCCTTAGTCTAGCCAATGTGCTAAGGTGAGCGATGTGGCCCATGGGCCTCTTGTTAGCTCTTCTGAGCCAAAGGCTCAAAGAGCTAATGCTATGGCCATTTGTGCGGTGTGCGTAAACATTTTAGAATATGGGCCATAACTCAAGAACCCCTTGGCCAATTATTGTCAAATTTGTCACAGGGTATCCTTGGCTCAAGGGCTCCCATTTATACTAAAACTAGGGTTGTGACCCTTAAACAAGGGGAGATAGTTAGGAAAAGAGAAACAAAAGTACTGGTTGCTAAAAAATCTTCTTCTCAAGAAACACTTGGCAGATTATCACCAAACTTACACAAAAGGATGAGGATATGTTCTAGATTAAAATTTGCACAGGGATTTACCCTGGGGCAAAGGGTGTGGTCTCAAGGTCACTTCAAAGTTGATCAAAAATTACATTTTATTTAAATGTTGATATTTTGCTTACTATAAGGACTAGGATCATCAAATCTTGTCAGTTGATGCATCTAAGGACCTCATATCATGTTGACTCAAAAGTAGGTCACAGTAGGTGACCTACATTTTAAATTTTGCAGCCATTCTTTTTCAAAATGATTTAGAGGCATATTTTGAAGAATTTAAGGCCTATGATCATCAAACTTTGTCATTTGACGTATCTTGGGTCCTCGGAGTACGTCGACTAAAAAGTAGGTCACCATGACCTACTTTTTAAATTTTATGGCTAATCTTTTTCAAAAAAAATTAAGGTCATTATTTCAAATACCAAGAGGTTTAGAATCATTAAATCTTGTAAGGTGATGCATCTTTGGGCCATAAAACATATTTATTAAAAAGGAGGTCACAGTGACCTACTTTTTGAACTTTGCAGGCATTCGATTTTAAAGCGTTTTAGAGGCATAATTTGGACATTTTAAGGCCTATGATCATAAAACTTTGCAAGTTGATGCATCTTGGGTCCTCAAAAAATGTCAACTGAAAAGTAGGTCACTGTGACCTACTTCTGAAAATTTATGGCTTTAATTAAATATTTCAGGTACTAATTGGCTTAGAATCATCAAACTTTGCAAGTTGATGCATCTTGGGTCCTCAAGAAACGTCAACTGAAAAGTAGGTCACCGTGACCTACTTTTCAATTTATATGACTATAATTAAATATTTCATGTACTAATTGGCTTAGGATCATCAAACTTTGTCAGTTGATGTATCTTCGGTCTTCGGAGTAGTTTGACTGAAAATACATAGGTCACCGTGACCTACTTTTGAAAATTTATGGCTTTAATTAAATATTTCAGGTACTAATTGGCTTAGAATCATCAAACTTTGTCAGTTGATGCATCTTGGGTCCTTGGAGTACAACAACTGAAAAGTAGGTCACAGTGACCTACTTTTTGAAATTTTATGGCTGTATTTAATATTTTCGGGTACTATTTGGCTTAGAATCATTAAAATTTGTCAGTTGATGCATCTTGGGTCCTCAGAGTAGGTCGACTGAAAAGTAGGTCACCGTGACCTATTTCAGTAGGTCACCGTGACCTACTTTTCAATTTATATGACTATAATTAAATATTTCAGGTACTAATTGGCTTAGAATCACAGACTTTTTTCAGTTGATGCATCTTGGGTCTTCGGAGTAAGTTGACTGAAAAATAGGTTACCATGACCTACTTTTGAAATGTATGGCTTCAATTAAATATTTCAGGAACTGATTGGCTTAGAATCATCAAACTGTGTCAGTTGATGCATCTGAGGTCCTTGGAGTACGACAACTGAAAAGTAGATCACCCTGACCTACTTTTTTGGCTTAGAATCATAGACTTTTTAGCTCACCTGAGCTGAAAGCTCAAGTGAGCTTTTCTGATCACATTTTGTCCGTAGTCCGTCTGTCCGTCCGTCCGTCCGTCTGTAAACTTTTCACATTTTCGACTTCTTCTCCAGAACCACTGGGCCATTTTCAACCAAACTTGCCACAAAGCATCCTTGGGTGAAGGGGGTTCAAGTTTGTTCAAATGAAGGGCCATGCCCTCTTCCAAGGGGAGATAATTAAGAATAAGTGAAAATTTGGTGTCTTTTTTTAAAAATCTTCTTCTCAAGAACCATTGGGCCAGAGAAGTTGAAACTTATGGGAAACCTTCATTACATAGTGTAAATTCAAGTTTGTTCAAATCATGACCCCCAGGGGTCGGGTGGGGCCACAATGGGGGATCAAAGTTTTACATAGGAATATATAGGAAAATTCTTTAAAAATCTTCTTCTCAAGAACAACAAAGCCACAATTAGTCATATTGATATGGAATCATCCTCAGGTAGTGTAGATTCAAGTTTGTCCAAATCATGATGCCCGGGGGTAGGGTGGGGCCACAATAGGGGATCAAAGTTTTACATAGGAATATATAGGAAAATTCTTTAAAAATTTTCTTCTCAAGAACAACAAAGCCACAAGTAGTCATATTGATACGAAATCATCCTCAGGTAGTGTAGATTTAATTTTGTTCAAATCAAGACCCCCGGGGGTAGGGTGGGGCCACAATGCGGGATCAAAGTTTTACATAGGAATATATAGGAAAATTCTTTAAAAATCTTCTTCTCAAGAACAACAAAGCCACAATTAGTCATATTGATATGGAATCATCCTCAGGTAGTGTAGATTCAAGTTTGTTCAAATCATGACCCCCAGGGGTAGGGTGGGGCCACAATAGGGGATCAAAGTTTTACATAGGAATATATAGGAAAATTCTTTAAAAATCTTCTTCTCAAGAACAACAAAGCCACAATTGTTCATTTTGATATGAAATCATCCTCAGGTAGTGTAGATTCAAGTTTGTCCAAATCATGATGCCCGGGGGTAGGGTGGGGCCACAATAGGGGATCAAAGTTTTACATAGGAATATATAGGAAAATTCTTTAAAAATTTTCTTCTCAAGAACAGCAAAGCCACAAGTAGTCATATTGATACGAAATCATCCTCAGGTAGTGTAGATTTAATTTTGTTCAAATCAAGACCCCCGGGGGTAGGGTGGGGCCACAATGCGGGATCAAAGTTTTACATAGGAATATATAGGAAAATTCTTTAAAAGTCTTCTTCTCAAGAACAACAAAGCCACAATTAGTCATATTGATATGGAATCATCCTCAGGTAGTGTAGATTCAAGTTTGTTCAAATCATGACCCCCGGGGGTAGGGTGGGGCCACAATAGGGGATCAAAGTTTTACATAGGAATATATAGGAAAATTCTTTAAAAATTTTCTTCTCAAGAACAACAAAGCCACAATTAGTCATTTTGATATGGAATCATCCTCAGGTAATGTAGATTCAAGTTTGTTCAAATCATGATGCCCGGGGGTAGGGTGGGGCCACAATGGGGGATCAAAGTTTTACATAGGAATACATAGGAAAATTCTTTAAAAATCTTCTTCTCAAGAACAGCAAAGCCATGATTTGTCATATTGATATGAAATCATCCTCAGGTAGTGTAGATTTAAGTTTGTTCAAATCATGACCCCCGGGGGTAGGGTGAGGCCACAATGGGGGATCAAAGTTTTACATAGTAATATATAGGAAAATTCTTTAAAAATTTTCTTCTCAAGAACAACAAAGCCACAATTAGTCATATTGATATGAAATCACCATTAGGTAGTGTAGATTTAAGTTTGTTCAAATCATGACCCCCGGGGGTAGGGTGGGGCCACAATAGGGGATCAAAGTTTTACATAGGAATATATAGGAAAATTCTTTAAAAATCTTCTTCTCAAGAACAACAAAGCCACAATTGTTCATTTTGATATGGAATCATCCTCAGGTAATGTAGATTCAAGTTTGTTTAAATCATGACCCCCGGGGGTAGGATGGAGCCACAATGGGGGATCTAAGTTTTACATAGGAATACATAGGAAAATTCTTTAAAAATCTTCTTCTCAAGAACAACAAAGCCACAATTAGTCATATTGATATGAAATCATCCTCAGGTAGTGTAGATTTAAGTTTGTTCAAATCATGACCCCTGGGGGTAGGGTGGGGCCACAATAGGGGATCAAAGTTTTACATAGGAATATATAGGAAAATTCTTTAAAAATTTTCTTCTCAAGAACAACAAAGCCACAATTAGTCATATTGATATGGAATCATCCTTAGGTAGTGTAGATTCAAATTTGTCGAAATCAAGATCCCCGGGGGTAGGGTGGGTCCACAATGGGGGATCAAAGTTTTACATAGGAATAAATAGGAAAAATCTTTTAAAATCTTTTCAAGAACAGGAAAGCCGTGATTAGTCATTTTGATATTGAAGCATCCCCAAGTATTGTAGATTCAAGTTTGTTCAAGGCATCCTCCAGTAGTAGTGGTGGGGCCATAATCGGGGATCAAAGTTTAACAAAAGAATATATATAAGAAATATCTTAAAAAATCTTCTTCTCAATAACAACAAAGCCATAATTAGTCATATTGATATGGAAGCATCCTTAGGTAGTGTATATTCAAGTTTGTTCAAATCTTGAATCCCCCCTCCCTTCCTACCCCCCAGGGTAGGATGGCAAACATCTTTAAAATTCCGTTTCAAGAACAGCAAAACCATGATTAGTTATATGAATATTGAAGCATCCTCAGAAAGTTTAGATTCAATTTCATTCAAAACATGGCAACTGGGGATAGGTTATGCCTAGAACAGTTGATCAAAGCTTTACGTATGAATATATAGAAGAAGAAATCTGCTGACAAAGAACAGCAGGGCCATATTGACTCAGGTGAGCGTTGTGGCCCATGGGCCTCTTGTTTCAGTTGATGCATCTTGGGTCTTTGGAGTAAGTTGACTGAAAAGTAGGTTATCATGACCTACTTTTGAAATGTATGGCTTCAATTAAATATTTCAGGAACTAATTGGCTTAGAATCATCAAACTTTGTCAGTTGATGCATCTGAGGTCCTTGGAGTACGACAACTGAAAAGTAGATCACCCTGACCTACTTTTTTGGCTTAGAATCATAGACTTTTTTCAGTTGATGCATCTTGGGTCTTTGGAGTAAGTTGACTGAAAAGTAGGTTATCATGACCTACTTTTGAAATGTATGGCTTCAATTAAATATTTCAGGAACTAATTGGCTTAGAATCATCAAACTTTGTCAGTTGATGCATCTGAGGTCCTTGGAGTACGACAACTGAAAAGTAGATCACCCTGACCTACTTTTGAAATTTTATGGCTGTATTTAATATATTCGGGTACTGTTTGGCTTAAAATCATCACAATTTATCAGTTGATGCATCTTGGGTCCTCTGAGTAGGTCTGAGTAGGACTGAAAAGTAGGTCATCATGACCTACTTTCAATTTATATGACTATAATTAAATATTTCGGGTAATAATTGGCTTAGAATCATCAAAATTTTTCAGTTGATGCATCTTGGGTCTTTGGAGTAAGTCAACTGAGAAGTAGGTCACCATGACCTACTTTTGAAAATATGGCTTTAATTAAATATTTCAGGTACTTATTGGCTTAGAATCATCAAACTTTGTCAGTTGATGCATCTTGGGTCTTCAAAGTATGTCATCTGAAAAGTAGTTCACTGTGACCTACTTTTGAAATTTTATGGTTATAATTTTGAAAATATTTTAGGTATTAATTGGCTTAGAATCATCAAACTTAGTTGATGCATCTTGGGTCCTCAGAGAATGACAAGTGATAAGTTGGTCACCATGACCAACTCTCAGGTACTAACTGGATTAGAATCATCTTGGGTTCTCAAGAGTGTTTCATCTAAAATGTAGGTCATGATGACCTACCTTTGGAATTTCAAGGGTTTATCTAAATATACAGGATACTTAGAGGCTTCAAATAGAAGTGATAGGTTTTACAGTTTATCAGAAAAGCGATTCAAGGCCCTTGGGCCTCTTGTTGGCTTCTTCTCCAGAACCACTGGGCAATTCATCTATGCAATGCACAGTGTATCGTTGGATGAAAGGGAAGTCAAGTTTGTTCAAATTTAGTTCCACATCCTTTTTCAACGGGATATATAATGAAAAATAGTGTTGGGCATTTAAAGATCTCAAGTACCTCTGGACAGAAAAGACCATACTTACATGAAAGCTTTCATTTGTTATGTTCAGACATCAATTTGTCATATAGATTCAAGTTTGTTGAAAGCATGGCATCACAAGTAAGGTGAAGGCCAAAGTTGGGGAAGAAAGTTTGAAATAGAAAGATATCAACATCCAGAAGAATAAGAAGGCTTCAATGTATAGTTTACAAGAAGCCTGAATTTACTGTAAATTAAAATTGTTGAAATTATGGACTAAATTTAGAAACAACAACATGAGGCTTCATTTATTTACATGTATAAATTCATTTGTCAGGAAGATAATAGTGACTTTGGTGAGCAATGTGACCCATAGGCATCTTGTTTTGTAGTTTCTATTGCAAGAAGATTGTTAGATCCCTTGGCAGAATTGGTGAAAATTGATCCAAAGCACATAGGTGTCGGTCAGTATCAGGTGAGGAAATAATGATGGAAATTGAACCAAGATACAGGAATTTATTAATCAAGCCATATTAATTTGGACAAGTGTTTCTAAGCTTATTGTCTTGATTAATATGGTGTTTGGATTAGTGAAAGTGCCTTTTATAATTGTAGTGAAACATAAATATGAATGTTAATTCTGTACCCACTCCCCACCCCCACCCAAATTTCATCAAGAAGGTGTTAAGTTCATATTATCAAAGCTTGACTGTATAAGCAGCAACTGTGCATGAAATGAAGCTTCAAGTATATGTTTTGAATTTTAAAAAAAAGGAAGAAAAAATAAAAAGATTGAAAAGAATATGAAATTTAAAAAGTGATAAAAAATTTTAAAAGGATAATTTTTTTAAAAAAAAATTAAAGAATAATACAAATAAATGAAATAGCAATTAAATTAAGAATTAGGTAATACATTTAGATTGCTAGATATACATGTAAATCCTTGAAAATTTTAGCATGATATACCAGAGAGTCAGTTAAAGGCAGCCTTAGACTCCGTAGTGGAAGAGTGTGTCAGCTTTGTTGGGGTGGATCTAAATACAGGCAGTGAGGCCTTGTTAAGGTGAGCATCAGAATACAGGCAGCAAGGCCTTGTTAAGGTGAGCATCAGAACACAGGCAGTGTGGTCTTGTTAAGGTGAGCATCAGGACAGAGGCAGTGAGGCCTTGTTAAGATGAGCATCAGGACACGGGCAGTGAGGCCTTGTTAAGGTGAGCATCAGGACACAGGCAGCAAGACCTTATGAGGTAAAGATATGTAGAATATTACAACTTATTTAAAAAACTGACAGAGAGGTCCTACTGGGTATTAAGCTAAAGGATCAGAGGGTCCCCTGGGCAAAAGTTATCACCACTGACCATCTCTGGGTGAAGGTTGTCGGCACTGAGTGTGGACTCGAGGGTTTGGGTTATCAGCAATAGGCAAAATATCTGCAATTTGGCTTTTATAATAAACTTTTTCTCCTGTAATTTTAGAAGAGTTGCAGGGCTGAATCTTTCGAAAGCCAAGAGTCTCATCGAGAGACGAGAGAAAATGGGCCCATTTACCAACAGAAACCAGTTGAAGTTTGTAAAAGGATTAGGGGATAAATCTTTTCAGCAGTGTGCAGGATTTCTTAGAATTTCCCAGTCTACTTATGTTGTAGAGTAAGTATCGCACAGTGAGTTGGGTATTTTGAATGGAAAGAAAAAAAAATTACATATTGCACCTGGGTTGGTCATTTGACAAATTTTTGTCGAACAGTAAATTGAAAAGCATTTGTTTGATACTGTTGAATTATAATTGATTCACAGGGGACCAAAGTTCATGGGTATCATGGGTCACCCTTACTCACGAATTTACAGTGCTCCCCCGTTATAATTCCACCCCAGCTTACCGCCAAAAAATTCAAAGTCCCGATTTTCTCACTATATATTACCCTGTTTTAATGCCATTTCCCCCGCCTACTGCCATCCGCCAACGTATTTCGAGTACAAATCTGTCTACTACCATTATTATCACCCCCGTTATTACCGCCAATAAAAATACTTTTTTTTCAAAAATTGGATTGGTAGGTCCGTGTCATAAAATAAAGTTAAATGAGAAACATATAGTTACACCCCCCTAAAAAATTATTCAACATGTTCAAATTATATATTTATCAGTTAATGATCATTATTAATATTGTTAGTTATATTTTTTTTATCTGTCTCTATAACCGATTTAGTCTGCAGTAATCAAATATGTAGAAAAATTAAACATGTTTGTAAGAATAATGGATGCATAAATAATCAGTCAAATTACGTTTTATGTATTAAATTAATGAGAAGTAAATTACACAATGAAGTATCAATTTCACCGGTGACATGTGCAATGGAGCATATCTAATCCCTATTGGTTTCCTAAGTTAGCTGAAAATTCACGAGATAATCAAGCCATGTTGTGTTTACAAGCTGTAATTGGGGTTTCTACATTTCTTAGGTGTGAAAAAAGAATACTATGCATACATAGCTATATTTTGTGGCATTTTAATAAGTGTTGAATAAGGAGGTGTGTTATATTAGGACACCCAACATGGAGCTGAAGTTGGGTTCAAAATTGTGAATCAATCGTGATGTGCTACTTGGAATCTAAGGAGTTTGCATCAGAAAATAACATGGACGTTTTATTATTAAACAATAAAATAACACAAAAAAACAATCAATAATAGATAAATGTCTTAAAAATGAAAGGTACCAACATTTTAATAAAGATTTAGTAGCAATAAGTGCCAATGTCTTCAGTTTTCAAGTGCCTAATTACATTCCCCCATTTTAATGCCACCCCCCGTTATAACGCCAAATCTGCCGAGGTACAAATGTTGGCAGTAAAACGGGGGAGCACTGTACATCCATGTGAAGGATTATTTTGTCCACATATCGATTTTATTGAATCTTCTGTATAAACGAGTTAGCCACAAAATTACGTCCTCAGGAATTAGTAAAACTTTGCTTGCCCACAAATACTGACTCCCATGCAATACCCGGTAAAACGATTACACAGTAGTCATCAAAATTAAGTGATCAGTTTGGCCATCTTGAATATATGACCTCTTGACTTCAGGCTCAAAGGTCACATTCAGTTGTTTTTTATGTTATGCCTACCTACGATGTATATTAAATTTTGTCCATCGAATGTTGTGTGAAGCCTTAGCTTGATAGTCATTAAATCTTAAATACAGGCTGACAATTATAAGCATTTATAAAAGTTCATCAAGTCATTAAGTCTTTGCTGGTCAATCAACCGTGTACAGAATGGTTATTGCTAAAGAATGACCCCTAAAAGTTATCAGGGTCAAACATTTACTGCCATCCATAATAAATATCTGAACTGATGAGAAACACTAAAATACTCGGTATACCTATTCCACTTCCTTCTGTCTGCACAGATTGGCATTTGGTAATTCAGAGAGCTTTCAGATTAAAATGGTCATAAAGTACTAGAAATCTGCTTGACACAAGTCAGATATTGGTACACTACCAATTTTGTTTTGCATGTTGCAAATGACTTATTTTTGAGTAGTTATGAGAAGTCTTTTAGACTAAGTCATTTCCCAATAAATATAAACCTGTATCTGGACAAAAAAATAGCATGTTATATTCTATACCAAGGAATTGATAAATTTAATTCGATCATCGTATACATTCATTTAATATTAACTTTGGTTTACTTGTAGATGTCATTCATTATGCTAATTGCTTTATAATCTTTGATTTCTCTTGTTTCCAGTGTAGAAAGCATAAACCATTCTGACATTTCTTCAATACCTGTAAAAAGACAGAATGGATCAGATGATCCGTAAGTAAAACTTGTCCTCAATTATCTGTCATTCAGCTATGTATTTTAAGTACCAATTCACCTGACTGGACAGTGTGACTTTTTCCCCCTCTGATAATAGGGTACGGTGATCCTTGGAGTTCTTATGTTCTGTAAATCAGCTTTTTTATTTGTGCCTCAGTCGGACGAATTTCACAACCTTCTTTTACATGTGAATATTTCTCCACAAAAATTATTTATTTAATTGTGTGCATTTCCTCAGTTATGAAAAGTAATACAGTTGAACTTTGATATTTCGAACACTCACATCTCGAATACTATGGATATGTCAAAGTGATATGGAAGCCCCAACCTCTTTTTCTTTAAGTATTTTACCCCGGATATCTTGAATCCTCCGATATCTCGAAGTTTTTTCTTGATCCCATTGAGTTCGATATAACAAGGTTTGACTGTATTTCATGTAAAGAATTAATTTCTAACTGATGAATTGTGTATTAAAATTGTTGCCAATGATATTTGTTTTACAGTATATCTCTCTTAAAATGACAAATTGTTTATTAAAGTGGCTTACTAAGAGTTTATTTACTTGGCTGAGACACATCTTGATTAAAGGGCCTTAGGAACTAGACAAATGGGGAACAAAAATTTTATGTGTAATAGGAAGAGTATGTTGATTCAGGTGAGCATGATGGCCCTTTGTTTTTGTACTGTTCCTCAAGAGCTTTAATATTACTAATTACTGACTAATACTATTGCTTGAAGAATTCTGATCTCTGATGAAGAAGAACCATCAAAAGTAAGGAAAAGAAAAGCTACAAATGCCAAGGTTCCAAGTAAAGTGAAGAAAAGACGGACAAGCTGGGATCTGGAGCCTCTGGATCAAACATGGATTCATCCAGAATCTTATGATGTGGCACAAAAGTAAGCTTTATGCAATGATTGCTAGATGAAAATGCTGTTGTAATCTGCAGTACATGCTACATGTGTACATGTATACTGTCTGTCATCCATTAATTTTGCATATGTTTAGGCTGGAGGAGCAAATAGGTATTAAATCATCAGATATTGGTCAGGACCACTGTATCAAACAAGTGAAGGAGTACCAGAGAAAACATAGTAAGTAGATTCAATATCCACATCTTTTATTCCCTTCTCTCAAGCCATAACAATACTCTATTTGTAGTAACTCAGCTTTTATTGATGTTCTAAAGTTTTTCATAGTGAATTGGTAACCTTGATTGAATGAGGCGGATATTGTACAAAAAAAATACCGGTCTTATCATTTAGAAGATCTCCCCAGCCAATAATTTGCATCTGACTGTGGTGCAAGGTTATATTTTCAAGGTCATAATAAATCATCAAGAAATGTGTACTGGTTGGAGCTTTTCTACTTTATCCATTTCATGACAACCCTTCTAATTTAACATTATGTGCTGAACTTAAAGTTGATTTAACTAACTTTTAGCTGAATTATACAAGTGTTTTATTTTAATAGGTATGAAGGAAATAAACCGAAATTTACAAATAGGGGAGCCTACTCTACAGTTGATATTGGATGCATTTGTCCAGCCATGTGGATATGATATCAGAGGTAATTATCTGTATAAAGCTTAGTGACAGGTCTCTCTACAGTTCAGTAAAAATTGTATATTTCTGAGCATCAGAAAGCAGAGTTGATATTTGTAAGTGTCCATCAAAAACTTTACCCTTTAATTTCATTAAAAATAGGACAGAGATTTCATATTTACCAGTAAGTATTTTTAAGCTTAAGATGAAGATTATAAGACAAATTAGAATTTTTAGCACACCTGAGCTGAAAGCTCAAGTGAGCTTTACTGATTACATTTTGTGTGGCCTCCGCCTGTCTATCCGTCCATCCGTCTGTAAACTTTTCCCATTTTCGACTTCTTTTCGAGAACCACAGGGCCAATTTCAACCAAACTTGCTATAAAGCATCCTTGGGTGAAGGGGATTCAAATTTGTTCAAATGAAGGGCCATGCCCTCTTTCTAGGGGAGATAGTTAAGAATTAGTGAAAAGGTCTATATTTGATAATGACCAATATTTGCCCCCAAAAAATCAAACTTTGACGGAGAAATCTTTAATTGTGTTCTAAAACAGAGGGATATCTGCAGACTTCAAAGCACTGAATATTTTCATAAGCCATGATGCCATATGTTAGATATGACGTCAGGAAAATGATGTTAATTCAAAATTTTCATGATTTACACAGAAAAAGGTGTATATTACGTCGATATTTTGAGTAAAAGTCACTGAGCGCAGGCCTTCTCCAAATGAATATTTTAATATAATGTGTAGAATGATAATATCAATGAAATATGTAAATATTGTTCTGGAGCAGGCCTGCGCTCTATAAATTTTATAGTAAAAATTGAACAAATTTTGTCCATTTTTTCCCTCTTTCTGAAAAATAACATAAAATCCGAATAGTTTGTGACGTCATAGAAACAAAAATTGCCAATAACCTACTTTGAAACTATAATTTTTTTGTTCATTTAGATTTCTCATACAATACATAAAATTCAGCACATTTCAAAAATTTTTCAAAATATGACTTTTGGAGGGGGCAAAAATATGCATATACCGCATATAGTTCTTTGGTGACATCATTTAAAAATCTTCTGATGAAGAACCACTGGGCCAGAAAAGTTGAAACTTATCTTAAATCTTTATTGCATAGTGTAGATTCAATTTTGTTCAAATCATGACCCTTGGGGTTAGGTTGGGGCCACAATGGACAATCAAAGTTTTACATAGGAATACATCGGAAAAATCTTTAAAAACCTTCTTTTCAAGTGCAGCAGACATGATTAGTCATATTGATATAGAAAACATTCTCAGGTAGTGTAGATTCAGGTTTGTTCAAATCATGACCCCTGGGGGTAGGGTGGGGCCATAATGGATGATCAAAGTTTTGCATAGGAATATATAGAAAAAAATCTTTAAAAATCTTCTGAAGAACCACTGGGTCAGAAAAGTTGAAACTTCCCTGAAACCTTTCTAGTGTAGAGGTGGGGCCACAATGAAACCATTTTTACATAGTGTAGATTCAAATTTATTCAAATCATGATCCCCAGGGGTAGGGTGCGGCCATAATGGACCATCAAAGTTTTACATAAGAATGTGTTGGAAAATTCTTTAAAAATCTTCTTCTCAAGAACAGCAGAGCCATGATTGGTCATATGTATATGGAAGCATCCTCAGGTAGTGTAGATTCAGATTTGTTCCAATCATGACCCCAGGGAGGTAGGGTGGGGCAATGGATGATCGAAGTTTTACGTAGGAATACATACTAGGAAAAATATTTAAAATATTTTAAAATCTTCTTGTCAAGAACAATCCCATATTTACATGTATATGGAAGCATCGTCAGGTAGTGCAGATTCAGATTTGTTCAAATCATGACTGGGGGGGGGGGGGGGGGGGGCTGCTTTTTTCCTAGCCAGCCAGTGCTCAGGTGATCGATGTGGCCCATGGGCCTCTTGTTTACTATTACAATTGTTATGTTTTACAAACAAACCTTATATTACAAAATGAGATAAAATGTGCAAAATTTACAAACTCCTTACTATTTGTATAAACTGATATTTCACAGAAAAACATACCAAACCACTGTTCAAGGAGGGAATTCGTGATATTGCCAGTCTGAAGGAAGGAACAGCATTGACGGGAAAAGTGACCAATGTGACTCATTTTGGGGCATTCGTGGATATCGGTGTGGGAAGGGATGGACTAATTCACAACTCCAATATGAGAAGGACAGAATTACAGCTAGGTTACCGTGTTGAGGTCCGTGTTATAAAAATAGACAGGACAACAAATCGAATTGGGTTAAGTCTAGAACAGAAGCTGTAAATTTAAGAGTTGTGCATCATGGGAAATTTGTTGTTTAATGATACACAAAATCTTTTATATTCTGCAACTGAGTGCTATTTTCAGATAAAATTATGTTGTCAGATTTTGACTAGGTATCCAAATTGTCATTGGTTTACATGTGTATCAAGAGAAGGGAATTTTATTTTATTGTTTTTAAATGAGCATATTTATTTAGAGATTTGTCTCCGAGAAAATGGAGATCTCATGCATAAAGAAATGCATCAAAAACAAGATTACAGTTTTTTTTTTTTTTTTATCAACTTGTTAATAAAACAATCACTACATTTGTGTTTATTTTCTTTTTTTAGAGGGGAAGGGGCCGCCGGTATCTGAGTGGTTTCAGAATTGAAGAGAAGCATTAGTTCTTGTATATTCAATTAAAAAAAAAAGAGGTGATATGCCAGAATGCTCCCCTGAATCTCTTCGGCCCTGCTGTTCATAAGTTTTTTTTTTTTAAATTTCAATCTTTAATTTCATAAGAACATTGACTCCACAGGGTTTGACACTAAGGCACGTCCGACCGACCCAGTCTAGTAAATGAGTGGTCCGGTCGTGTAAAATGTTCATGAACTAGACCGACTGGTCGCGTGAATGAAATAAATGTAAACCCTCATTTCAGTCTTTCAAATAAATGTTCTAAAAACTTTTTAAAGAAATTTTCTTAATTTTCCAATTGCAAACACAGCCATCGCTCTGAAAAGGAAAACTTTCCCATATGACACAATCGCTATTTTTATCCCGGCTGTAATAGACAAGTCTCGATCTCGAAACTAGCTCCATTCAGTATCAATTGGTTTGAATATTCATTGAATAATATAGTCTTTAATTTAATTACATGTATATTTACAGTAATAATTTTATTTAAGTTCCTTGAATGTTCTTTAAAGCTTATAATATTCGCATGTTCTGCTTAACCTGACTCAGTGGGCTGCGACCTATGGAACAGTCTGTCAAAATGTATACCTTTATAAAACGTGCGAGGGATAGTATGGTTTCGAAACTTTTTTTCATAATAATAGCAGGTTACAAAAAGAAAATTTTCAAGTTTGGTCAGGGCTAGTGATTTTAGGTCAGGGCTAGTAAAAATTATGGGAGTGGCCCAACTGGTCTAGTACTCATAAAAGTAAATGTCAAACCCTGCTCCATATTGTACACCAAAATCTAGACCTAAGGGAACTATGATTTATCAAAGTTGAACCCACACAACACATAGATACTTCAATATCAATATGATCGACATGGCTTGCTGTTCCATAGATATATTTTTCTGAACGCAAGTATGTATCTCTATCTGGATTTCTGATTTTTGCCCAAGCCTAATCCCAGCGCTGATCTTAATTCAAAAAAAGAAAAAAAAAGAAAAGACTCCTCAAAACTTGAGTGTTTTGCAAATTAATGATTTAGTGTGGTCTTGCTACTCTTGAAAAGATTTCTTCCTATATACTCCCTTGTAAAACTGATCCCCTATTGTAGCCCCTTCCCAAGGGTCCTGATCTTAACAAACTATATCTTCACTAACTGAGGATGCTTCCATGTTAATATGACTACCGTATATACTTGCCTATAAGTCGGTTGTATTTATGAAGCTTATATTATAGGGATTGACCTTCTAAAATACCAATCATTTTATAACTCGCCTATAAGTCAGACATGGAGTTTAGGACCAAAGTTCAACTCCAAAAAATCCGACTTATAGGCGAGTATATACGGTAATCATGGCTTTACTCCCCTTATATATTCCTATGTTAAACTTTGATCTCCTATTGTGCCCCCCCCCCCCCCCCCCCCCCCAGATCATGATTTCATGATTTGTACAAATTTGAATCTATGCTAAGTAAGTAAACTTTCACATAAGTTTCATTTTTTCTAGCCCAGTGGCTCTTGAGATTTACAAAAGATGCCATTATATTTTTATCAATACTATTTATCTCCTATTGAAATAATTTGAACAAACTTGAATCCCCTTCACCCAAAAATGCTTTGTGGCAAGTTTGAAATTGGCCCAGTAGTTCTTGAGTTGAAAATGTGAAAAGTTTACAGATGGACAGCTGGACACAGATGCGGACAAAATATGAACTGAAAATTTCACTTCAGCTTTCAGCTAAGGTAAACTAAATAAAACGAACTGAAACTTCTTTGGCCTTGAGTTTTTCTTGTAGATAATTTTATAGAGTATTAGTGTGTAACGAATAATGACCCCAAGCATTGGCCCTTGGTGCAATTATATAATAAAACTTCAACTTGATAGTTTAAAACTTCCATGCTGTAAACTTTCAAATAAATCTATAAGGGGTTATATGCCAGTGTGGGGATATGTCACATAAGGTGATGATGGTGTCTGTTTGATTGATGCTACAGAGGCAATTCTGTGCACCTATTTTTGAATCATCTTCAGGGTAAAAATTCAATTTTTTTTTTTTTTAATTTCTAAAAAAGCTTGGGAATCCATCATCACTTAAAGAAAAGAGGCCCATGGGCCACATCGCTCACCTGAGCAAATTGGCTAGAAAAAAGCACAAATCAGTTCAGTATTGAAAAGTTTACATGGAGGGGGGGAGGAGACTTGAATTTTAAACTACCTAAGGATTCTTCCATATCAGTATAACAAAGGACTTTGCTATTCTTGAGCAGAAGATTTTATCTTGTATACTCCTTTGCGAAAATTTGATCCCCCATTGTGGCCCCTTCCTATCCCCAGGGGTCATCATTTGTACAAACTTGAATCTACATTACCTGAGGGTACTTCCATATCAACTAGACTAAACAAGTTTTTTGTGTTCTTGAGAAGAAAATATTTGCCTAAATATTTCCATGTAAAACTTTTATCCCCTATTGTGGCCCCACCCTACCCCCCAGGGGTGATCATTTGAACAAACTTAAATCTTCACTACCTGAGGATGCTTCCATATCAATAAGACTAAACATGGCTTTTCTATTTCTGAGAAGATTTTTTTCCTGTTTATTCCTACGTAAAACTTTGATCCCCCATTGTGGCCCCATCCTACCCCTGGGGGTCATGATTTGAACAAACTTGAACCTACATGACCTGATTATGCTCCTATATCAATATAACTAAACATGGCTTTGCTGTTCTTGAGAAAAAGATTTTTTCATATATTCTTTTGTAAAACTTTGATCCCCCATTGTGGCCCCACAATACCCCCAGGGATCATCATTTGAACGAAATGACTAATACATGAAATGGCTTTGCTGGTCTTGATAAGAAGATGTTTAAAGTTTTTTCCTATATATTCCTATGTAAAACTTTGATCCCCCATTGTGGCCCCACCTACCCTCAGAGGCCACGATTTGAGCAATTTTGAATCTACACTACCTGATGATGCTTCCATATCAATATGACTGATCAAAGCTTTGTTGTTCTTGAGAAGATTTTTTAAAAAAAAATTCCTATGTAAAATTTTGATCCCCTATTGTGGCCACACCCTACCCTTGGGGGTCATGATTTGTACAAAAATGGATCTTCACTATATCATAAAGGTTTCACATAAGTTTCAACTTTTCTGGCTTAATGGTTCTTGAGAAGAAGATTTTTGAAAGATGACACCAAATTTTCACTAATTCTTAATTATCTCCCCTTGAAATGGGACATGACCCTTTATTTGAACAAATTTGAATTCCCTTTACCCAAGGATGCTTTGTGGCAAGTATGGTCAAAATTGGCCCAGTGGTTCTTGAGAAGAAGTCGAAAATGTGAAAAGTTTACAGACGGACAGACAGACGGATGGACAGACAGCTAGACAGACAGACGGACGCCAGACAAAATGTGATCAGAAAAGCTCACTTGAGCTTTCAGCTCAGGTGAGCTAAAAACTAAACATCAACTGAACAGCAAATGACAATACATGTACCAACAATAAATCTAAGAGCTCTTATGTTAAAGCTTTAATGCCCTCCTGATCAATCACATACATAATAGTAAGGTTAGGTAGATTGGGTGCAAACACAACTTCTAGTGTCCTAATAGATGTGGAAAATCCGCCAACCACTGCTCCATTGAGCATTGTTCTTGGGAGATCAAGTTCTCGACTTGTTCTAGCCAGACTCAGTCTAGATGTGACCTGGTTAGACCATGCCAGTCCAAGGGCAGGAACCTTGCTCTTAACAGCTGTCTGCATAGAATCTGTCACCTGTCATAAGTAATGGACAATTCTGAAAAATATGTATCTTAAAATCTAACAATTCAAGGAAATCAAAATATTTGTAAATGGAATTCTTTACCAAAATAAACAACTGAGAATTTTATATACAAACAATAAAAAATATTTGTTGAATCGGACTTTGAGAGAAATTTAAAATCAGATGTTTATATCCAACAAAATCAATAATAATTAAACTAACACACTGTATTTTGCAGTACTAATTTAAAATGAATAAACAAGCAAATGCATTAACTAACCACTAGCTATTTGTGTCTATGATGTATTAAGGTTTTTTGAACATGCTTTCTATAGTATAAAAGAAAGAATAAACCTCCTAGAAACTAGGATAAGAAAACCTGTAAACACTTTGAATGGAATACACCAAATAATTGACCACAACAAACCTGATTAACACAAACAACAGGTAGACAGTATTTAGAGCTGAGCTGTTGTAGACTTGCAGCAAGAGAAGCCATGTGCTTAGAGCGTTTGTACATGTCCTTTAAGTCATAATCACTCCTGAACACGGCTGCCACAGAATCTATGACCAGTAGCTTCACATTTCCACTTGACAATAAATGGGGTAGTTTCTGATGTATGCACACATTCAAACTGTCCTACAATTTACCAGGCAAAAAGGAAAAATTAGTGATGATGTTAGGCATCAGGATGCCTTGATGAAAAAAAAATTGCTGTTTCGATTGTCATTATCAACCTCTTTACCATTTTTCAATTGGTTGTTTTGTAACAAGTGGAAACTTGAAATAAGGTTTACAACAGTATTTTGACATGGCATGATATCGTAGGATTGTGCAATGGTTACCAGATCTGGTACATGTTCAATGAAAATCTGATCTCCAAATGCTATCTGTCTGTGCCTCTCTGATCGTCGGCTCACGTAATTGATAATCTGACCAAGTCTTTTACTCGGAAAAGCATCTTCAGTGCAAATATATGCAGCACCTGTTGGTAAAGATAAGCATACATTGAAAGATTATCTGAACAACACAGGATAAAAATGTTTCTTTTCCCATACCAACAAAAAAAAATACCCACAATGAAATCATAGATATAAATGACATACAAACATCTTCAGTAATGTAAACCACCTTCCGTTCACAGGAGACTTAAATGTACCTTGCAAGTCTCAAATTGCTAGAGAAAATACATACCGGTACATGAAAGTTCAGTTGAACTTTGGTACAAGGGTATCTTGAACTTTGATATCTCAAATACCAGAGATATTTTGAAGGGAGTTGGAAGTCCCAACCAATCTCCATTATGTAGTTAACCTCAATATCTCAAACTGTGGATTAACTTGACATTTTTCCTTAGACCAATCGAGTTTGAGATAAAAAGGTTTTACTGTATAAATTAATTTGAACAAGTAAACTATGTTTATACATGTACTTTCAATGTTACTTCTAATTGATAAAAGAAAATTGCCATATATGACTCTGAATGACAAAATCATGGGACAAAAAATTACAAATGAAAGCTTCTTTAAACTACATGTATTGATAATGCCCATGATTTTCAGTCCTGATTTTTTGTTTTACAGAACATGAATTTTCCAGGATTTACTGCTAACTTTACATACCTGCTGCTAAGCCTCCTAAGTCTGGGGGTAGTTGTACACTCAGACAGAGCTGTAGACAAAACTGTGTCTTTCCACTAGCACTCTCGCCACATATCTCAGTTATCCCCCTTGTTAAAATCCCTCCTTCAAAAAATATACGTTAAAGCCCCTCATGTCAATTAAATTTGGTTTAGATTCTGAATTATTTTTGAATCTACCTATAAAAAACAAAAGTAATTTGTACTACTGAGTACTGTATTTTATATTTTTAAGAATAACTTGAGGTATGATTTGTCTTGTTGGTTCGATCTCTTTAATGTTTCCTGTAAATCATAAATTTTTCCTGTACCTCTTAAAACTTCATCAATTTGCTTGCAACCTGTGGATAGTTTTCCCAGCTTCAAACTCTCTGGGCATTTCTCTGTACCTCTCTGTATATCAAAAGCTGAAGATAATTAATTATCATGGCTTAATTGATAAAAAAATTAAATGTATGTGAAAGTAAAAATGATGACATGCAGGACAATGAAAGACTGTATATTTACAAAATCATATCATATGCTCTCCTAGGGGGCATCAACTGACTAGATCTGAGGATTTCAAGCCTTAGAGATTTAGTGTGTGCAAGCACTGAAAAAATGTAAATGGAGGAAACATAATACTTCTGTCAATTTCCATTTACTTGTAGTGTAAGACCAAAGGAGAAAACGTATGACTGCATGGACAGGGAATCAAACCAGTGACTCCTGCATCACTAGTCACATACTTTTCCACTGACACTAGATTAACTTGACATTTTTCCTCAGACCAATCGAGTTTGAGATAAAAACTGCCCAGGCCAATATCCATGGCCCAAACCATTATATTCCTCCCTTCTCAAATTGTCTTTGCCCTTAAAGACACATTCCAAGTTCTTATTGGCAGGATTTCCACCTGCAAGACCAAGGGTGGTCAACAGAACCAAATTATGTAACAGGAAAGGAGAAAATGTATGGCTGGATTGGGAATTGAATCTGTCACCCCTTCAACAGTATTTGACCTGTTCTCCTAATCTTATATATTATATTTTTATTATTATACTGTATTCACAGTTATTTTCACCCTTTCACACTTGCAAACAATTTTATCACGCCCAGTCACAGTTCTGTTTAACGAGGTTCGCTCCTGAGCTTTTGAGCAGATTTATATCTTAACCTATATTTCAAAAATTCTGCTTAAAGTTTTAACTCTTACAATAATTTTGGATTCTACAATGCCAATTAAACTATATTCAGTTAAAACTCCAGGATTAAATTCCATACAGAAAGGATTAAGTGAGGAACTATATTTTATGGCGGAAGGTTTTTTAAAAGAAAATGATCATTTTTTTCTCTTTCGAAGTATTTAAAGGATGTGAAGTTTGGGTTCCTATTTTTAAATGCAGTCTACACACAGAGTTATTTTGTGCAGTGAACTGTTTTATACTGGTCTTAAATTATATATTAAATAAACTGTCATGAATTCTATCATCATATTTGATAAATATAGCAAATATATTGTGAAAATCAAGAAAAAAATATCCCTATTTTAAGCTTAAAATTAGCACTATTTTAGTTATACCTAAAAATTAACATCACAGACCCCCACTTTTTATTTTATTTTCTGAATATATAAGATACTTTTAAACATTCTTCTTAAATTCAGTAAAATGTCATTACTTTCAAATGATATTTTTGCTTGTTAAATTTTTAATGGCAAAAAATGAAATTTTTTGAGTGCAAAAAGGTCAAATAATTGAACATGCGGAGTAATTTGAAATTTTTTTCGTTGTCACAAATTTTAATGTGTCTATTCAAGATGAAATAAGATTGTGTTTGTTCCCATAATCTATTTGAATAAAAAAAATATTGGAGGAAAACTTTTAAAAATTGATTTATGTGAAAGACATATTTACAGTGCAAAAAGGTCAAACTAAATGCTCTGTAGCACCAAAAGAAGCGCATTTACCCCCATTTTTTGTTTTGATTTTTAACTAAGCTATGTGTATAAATTCTAAAAATATACTTGATAAAAAATTCTCATTACTTTTGATTGCAGGATCCAACCTCATTAAGAAATGATACAGTGTTCTTTGAATTTGCCCCATTTTAAATTGCCTGTCTGAGAATAGGGCAAAAGGGGCGAAAATAAAACGGGCGAAAATTTCCCTGTATACAGTTTTGAGTATTACAGTCTTATATCTTATAGAAATTTAAATAGGAAATACTTTCTACTGAGAGGCTGTAATATGAATTGCATATACATTTTATAGTAAGCACGGGTAGATTTACATAGACTTTTCATTTATGAAATTAGATGGGTGTGCCACTGACTTACCTGTGAGGGGTGGCTGGGTCACAACTTGCTGAGCAATAGCAGTTTTAACTCCTGTTACCTCTCCGTAGCTTAATTTGGCCAATCTTTGAATGTCTTGTATTGAAAGCGTCAAGATTTTTCCAAACGTAGCCAACCCAACTGAATTAAACAAATTTATGATATCGTTCAATAAGACATTCCACAGGAGTTCGCAATTTTATCAATAAAGTCAATAAAAATCACTCAATTGACCAAGCCATGAGCTATGCGTTCCTGTTCGCTATGCTAACGCATAGCTCATGGCTTGGTCAATCGAGTGATTTTTATTGACTTTATTGATAAAATTGCGAACTCCTGTGGACATTCCAAGTTCATAAACATGATGCTGGTGAGAGCTGATCATTAGATAGAATCTTATTTATTTATGCTTGAAAATAATTCAATTCATTTACCTTTTTTCAAAGACGTCTTAATTTTTGGATTTATGTCTAAATCCTCAATAGAATTCATTAAGATGTATTATATACACTACAGGGGGCCTTTCAAATTTTGCGCGCACTTGACATTTTTTTCCCGAAAGTATAGGAAATAGGTTTCCCTTAAGTTTTGTTACCTAGACATTTCTCCCCCCCCCCACCTTGCCAATTAAGCGTAGGTCATTATTTTCTTCTGTTCAATGTTGTACACTACTAGTGACAGGTATATGCTACAATGATAATTTTTCAACAATCTAACAATTTTAGGCCTACAGTCTGTTAATCTATAAAAGATTTCAAAAACAAAATTGATATTTTACAATGTTAAAGTTCTGCAGAAAAAGTCACATTAAATAAGTTTGTCTTGTGAATTTTCTTAGCCATATATTTTATGTTTTGTGAATTTTCTTAGGCATGTATTTTATCCGATGGCCAATCGCCCATAAACGAGACTTATCAAACTTTTGCTATATGTCATAGCTCGGACCGAATAAGTATAAGACTGAATCGTCTAGGTATGTTACTTTGACTTAAAATCTCGGAAGTCCTCTGAATTGTTCCATGGTTTATAAACGTAAACATGACTGACGTGGGATGAAGCTCCTACAATGATTTAACAATGTCTTGCCAGCTGAATATATTTGCTGATTTTCATGATATAAATGGAGTTAAGAACTTTCTCTTTCCCGAACTAAAGTCTGAACTACGAGATGCTGAAGAAAATTCGGGTAAAAATCACTCAAATTTCAAAGCTCTGAATGTATAATAAAAGATGATTCCTATAGCTAGCAAACCTGTCACAGATTGATAAATTTTGACTTATCACTAGCATAATAGTTTAAATTAGGCCTATTTACTTACTGGTACTTCTTTGTACAGAGAATGAGAACTGGGATGAAGATTGGGGATCATGGGATGAGCAGGGAGAGGAGGCAATCCCAGAGAAAAGGGAGGCACCAGAATCAGATGACAAACTCCAATGGCTGCAGGAATGTGTATTCTCACTGTCCCCAGCAAATGATATTATGGCAATAGCTTACAATGACAAATGTGTTTTGTTGTCACGTATGTACTGTAAACACAACAAGGTGATATTTTATATTGCAGACGGCACATATTTTGACCATTATATATTGTGTAAAATAAGGTTTTTTTTTTCAAAGGATAGCATAATAATGTACATGTAGATATGTTATATGACAGCTTTAAGATTTATAGGGTGAAGAACTTATTACTAAACACTTGACTGACCACAAGTTATAAGATTCATATATATAATGTTATATGTTACAGAGAAGTTTAATAATGGAGGGAGTAATTCTGGCATGGATACTAAATTCAAGACTGTGTGGGAAGGTAGCTTACGACAAGAAGAAGGGTGAGTTTATCAACAAGAGTGAACTGATTAATTTCTATATTAATAGTGGTATCTATAAATTTTGTTAGTTTTAATCTTTTATACTAAGTGCCAAAGATTTGAAATGTTTTTGCCAATGGATAACTATTGCTATACCTAAATATGTTTCACTTTGGAAATACTGTGTACAGTTTTTCTTGTACTCTGCATGAATGAAGTGATTCCTTTAAACAAGTCTAAAAGAGATTAAAATTTTTCTGAATCTGCTTTTGTAGAGAAAAGATAACAGCAATGATGTGTCTTCCACTGGCTTCACAGAAAAGGTATATTCCACATAAATAATATTTAATAACATATATAACTTACAATATGAATGCATTTTGATGACTTAAAAATTAATTCTAAAAATAAATTTGAAGAAAAGTTTTAAAAAGCACATCAAGTATGTTCTTTTAGATGCCAGTGGCAAATGTTTCATTCCCAAATGAATTTTGAGCATATTCAAGTTGTTGTAAGTTTCTGTTCTGACATTGAAGGAGTATGCAGGGTGGCCCGGACTGGACTTGTGTCATTGTTGGCTTCTCTTCTGGCTACATCAGATTTTATACAGAGGTTAGTTAGATTTTTATTTAACAAAAATCCTTTTCAGTCAATGTAATGATAAAAAAAAAAAAAAACATGATGGAAAAGGATTATTTATCAAAAGTATGTGTATATACTGAAAAGGATTTTTGATTAAAAAATCAAATTGTGTAGCCTTCTTACAGATTCTTCTGCATTAGTTTTGAACAACTGGTTTGCACAGTTTAAAAATTGGTTTTTCTATAACTTAATTATTGATCAGGTTTATCAATCTTTGACCGAAGTGGGATATGGTATTTTTTTCCTTCCAGACAGGGACCTTGTTGCTATCACAGTTATTACACAGTGAACCAGTTCAAAGGTTAAAGTGTAGAACCTATGAACCACCACGTTACCTTGGTGATACAGAACAGGTATATTGCATTGTACAACTCGGGGACAAATAATACTATGTCCAAAATATTTGAATGTTTCTAGAATGATTCTGGACATCGTGTGCAGTACTAGATTCCAATTTTGTTATTTGATGCTGTTCACAATTTGAACTTAATAACAAATTGTTATTTGATACTGGTCAGTATTTGTATAATGATACTTAATTGTTATTGAATACTGCATAATATTTGGTATTGATAATTAATTGTTACCTTTCTTTAGCATGAAGAGCTGCTCATTCTGTTTAAGAGAGCCGTGGTTACCATTGATGGATTCAGCTTATTTCAGTCCCTGCGAGCTTGTAGAAACCAAGTGGCAAGAGGTCAGAATAGTTCTTCATATTATTCTAGTTTGAATAGGCAATATGATAGCAACCATGAAAATCTTTTAAATTCTTTACCTTAGAAGTTCATCAGTGTACAATCAGCTATTCTTGTCTAAAAAAAAAGTGAGAGAATTTAAAATTTACAATGTATATAGACCTAGAACATCCGTTTTATTTACATGTTTGACCTGATTACAGCTACAGCCAGTGGGTCTGAGCCCGTGTTACAAGCTCCACCATTAGCATACAAAAAGTGGGCATTACAAGATCAGGAGAAAATCCTGGATTTATGTAGTTGTGGTGAGTTGAGGATGTCTCCACTAGGTAAAAGGCAAAAATAAATTACCTTCATTCTATGGTATTCAGTATTTGTTTAATTTTAGGAATTTTAAAATTTTGATAAATCTAATAATTTCATGTAAAAAAAATTTTTAATGTTTTTTATGATCATATTGCATATTTATATTATCTTATTTGTTTTTTCTTTTTTTTTTTTTTGGGGGGGGGGGGGGGGGGGTTAGCAAATTGAGTAGCTTTTGATTGAAAATACAGTGTATTTATCTACAGATGTTTATATCTCATATTCTTACAAAGGTGTGAACACTCCCAATCCATTTGACCAAATAAGAACAGCAGCCATGATAGGGGGATCCTCTGCTTACATAAGACCAACCCCACCAGCTGCAGGTCTCTTTATTTCCTCAGGAGTGGGTCCATATGTGGGATTTTTTTATGCTGTTGAGGTATGTGTACACACACATTTAATAAGAACATAACAGACTGCTACACTGAAATTTTACAGCAATTGAAGAAATCAGCTCTTAAAATGCAATCTGATGTTTATTAGGGCAGTACTCAGCCAATATTGTCAGATGTTGCATATGCAGTTGCACATAAACTAAAGTCAGCCATTATGTCTGCTGCAAGGTAGGTTATTATACATGTATATATTTCGAGTACAATGTAAATATGTTAAAGAGAAAGTTGTAACATTTAACATGGAAGTTCTGCCAGGTTTTTTTTAAATCATTTTCTCTTCTTCCCCATGGGCCAATTAAATGAGCAAAGAGAAGGATATACTATATTAATTTTGTTAGGAGAAGAAAGACTTTTAGTAATTTTAAGACTTAAGAATCTCTAACTTCTTATGCAAATAATACACTTGTTCAAGTACATATACTAGGTCAAAATCCTCCTACAATACAGTTAAATCAGCTTATAACAGATTTATTTACCCATATCTCAAATATTGTTTTGGTAATTAAAGTGGATGGTTAGGATTTGGAAGCAAGAACAAAGAAGAAGAGAAACAGAGACCAAAGATTGAGCCTTCCACTCCATTACCTCATAGGTAAGTTATGCATGCATGTCTGCCCCTGTTACAAATGAGGATAGCTACATGTCTGCTCCTGTTGCAAATAAGATATGCTACATGTGTGCCCTGTTACAAAAGAGGTAAACTACTTGTCTGCCCTATAACAAATGAGGTAAGCTACATGTCTGCCCTGTTACAAATGAGGATAGCTACATGTCTGCTCCTGTTGCAAATAAAATATGCTATATGTGTGCCCTGTTACAAAAGAGGTAAGCTACATGTCTACCCTGTTACAAATGATGTAAGCTACATGTCTACCCTGTTACAAATGAGGTAAGCTACATGTTCACTACTTGCAAGGAGTAGCATAGCTAAAAAGTTAGTTGGTTCAAATCAGTTGCCTGCTGTACATGTTTATATACACATTGTATTTCTAATGCTTAATTTACACAGTGTTGTAATACTATTTCTACTCTGATAGGTAAATTGAATATAATTCTAACTACATATAGGAATGTCAGTAATTTATGAGTAAATTCAATAAAACATTGATATTAATGACTGCAAAATAAAAATTGAAAAAAAGGTACTTGATTGTTAGCTGATAAAATAATAAATTAAAGCAGAGAATATACATTTTTTTAAAGGGGGGGGGGGGTCATAAGATAAGTTCTTTCTAACTATTTTCAAATCTGTAATTTAACTTGAAGTTCTTTTAGAATAGTTACCAGAATTAAATCATTTATGTGAATTTTTTGGGGGTACAGATTTGGATTGCCAGACAAGAGAAGACAGGGAGATAATATTTACCTATCACCAAACAATAACTATGTCGCTACAACAGACAGCTTTGGTCGGGTCATATTGGTGGATGTGGAGCGTGGAACAGCCGTCAGAATGTGGAAAGGTACAAAGATAATGATCCATGTAACATTTCACTTGCTGTGAATTATCTGGAAAATGTTTCATGAGTTGTTAAAATTAGGATCTTACGTGACTATACTATGAGATTATACTGTACAACAAAAAACTTTTTTGCCTGTAACGTGCAATTTTCTTGAGTACATATAACTCAAACTATAAGGACTTGAAATTTTTCTTCTAACTATATTTGTCTCTCTGTTGGTTTCTCATTTTATTTGCCCATATAAATGTGTGCTCCCATATAACTGTGTGCTCCCTCTTTGTAGGTTACCGTGATGCTCAGTTGGGATGGGTTCAAGTCAAGGAAGATGTTCACCATGGGAACAAAGACAACGACAAAGAACGAATAGCTCAGTTCTTAATTATTTATGCTCCTAGAAGGGGGATTTTGGAGGTAATTTTGCAGGATTATAATATCACCTTGTATCTGATAAAGAAGTTACTTGTAAACGTATATACACCTTTACAAGAGTAATAAAGATGTCATCTGATATTGCTTTCAAAAATTCACGTATCTTGTGCAAAAAAAATCTAGGAATACTGTTAACCAACTATTGTTCACCTTTGTTTCTGATTTATTAGCTTTAAATCCTCCCATACCTGTTAATTTTTGGGAATGAGAAAACAGTCTTCATTAATGAACTATTAAATAATTTCTTTGCTACAAGAAAAATTCATGAGTTAAATAAAGTCGCAAAACTCTTGCTTGGGAATAAAAGTTGGTTTACAATATATTAGGTCTGGTTTTCTTGTTACATGTAGGTATGGACTGCAGCCAGTGGTCCAAGAGTAGCAGCATTCAATGTCCCCAAGCAGTGTCGACTGATCAGTCCTGGCTATGGAATGATGGGATTGAACAATGTGACCTGTAAAGGGGTCAAGGGCAAAATGTTCCAGTGTGCTATTATTGAACCCTCAGGGATCATTAAGTCACTAGATATTCCATTTCACTTAGCTCTGAGGTGAATCTGAAATCTTTTAGTATTTTACCTACAGTAAAAAGTTGGAACACAATTAAATAAACTTATTTTAGTTTTTTGAAACAAAAATTATTTCTGTTAATTAGTGACAAGAACAGCAAGAGAGCCAGAGACCTCCATCTTTTGAAGAAATTAAAACAACTTCTGAAGGACAGTAAAGTGGAGTCAAGTAAGTGTGCTATCAAAGATGTATCATCTCTCAAAGTGGAAATCATATTAAATGACAGAATTACCAATTTGTAATCTAACCCTATTTGTGCACATGAATATTTTTGCAAAATTGTGCAATTTTTTTTAAAAACATTTCCAAGTGAAGAATTATATATTCATACATGACAAAGAGCTCTCAAAACTGATTAAATTATGGGTCAATATAATGCATTCTAGGATAGATTTTCAATGACAGGTAAATTTGATTTTGAAAGTTGGAGAAGAAGTCTTTATACATGTACTGTACATGTGTTTGTGATTGAACAGGTGAGCTGCAGTCTGATGTCATCCAATTACTTCAGGACATGAGGATATCTGACATCTCTCAGCAGGTAAGTTAGGATTTGAGGATATCTGATATCTCTCAGCAGGTAAGTTAGGATATGAGGATATCTGATATCTCTCAGCAGGTGAGTTAGGATATTAGGATATCTGATATCTCTCAGCAGGTAAGTTAGGATATGAGGATATCTGATATCTCTCAGTGGGTAAGTTAGGATATGAAGATAACTGATATCTCTCAGCAGGTAAGTTAGGATATGAGGATATCTGACATCTCTCAGTGGGTGAGTTAGGATATTAGGATATCTGATATCTCTCAGTGGGTGAGTTAGGATATGAGGATATCTTTAATCTCTCAACAGGTGAGTTAGGATATTAGGATATCTGATATCTCTCAGCAGGTAAGTTAGGATATGAGGATATCTGACATCTCTCAGTGGGTGAGTTAGGATATTAGGATATCTGACATCTCTCAGTGGGTGAGTTAGGATATTAGGATATCTGATATCTCTCAGCAGGTGAGTTAGGATATGAGGATATCTGACATCTCTCAGTGGGTGAGTTATCTGACATCTCTCAACAGATGAGTTAATAACATGAGCATATCTGTCATCTCTCAGTAGATGAGTTATAACATGGGGATATCTGACATCTCTTAGCAGGTGTATTGTTAGGATATAAGCAAGTGATAATTTGTTCAGTGTAAAAAATTTTTATTGTCATTTCAGGGTGTAGAGAGAGTGTTGTCCACGAAGTACCTGTCCTCACAATTCATGCAGGAAGTTCTCAAGTCCTGTGTCACTCACATCACAAACAGAGGTAGTTGTCAAAATTCTTCTCAACATAAATCATATTGATTAATGCTTTACTCAACTTATTTTCTTTGAATTTTAATGCAAGTAAGGCACTGTAGCATAAGATTTTTTTAACCAAAGCTTTCCCATCTGAATTTATTTGTTGGTAATTACTGTAGTTTTAATATACAGAATGACAGTCTTTAAAGTTTATTAAAGGTTGTTTAATTTATCACTCATATAGCTTGTTAAATGCAAGGTCTTAGAACTAGAGATACATTTTTAGCTCTACAGTGGTCAGAGACCAAAAGAGCTTATGCTTTAGTAAGGTGTCCACCATGCCTCTGTCCATCTTTCAATTTTTCTAACACTACTCTTCTTACAGTAAATAAGAGATGGTACACAAGTAGACTATACTAAGATACATAATTCTATATATTTGTTTTTAGATTTCAACAAACAATGTTGCTATGGTTACTACAGTTTTGGTCAGATTTCAATGAGACTTGTTATACAAGTAGAGCATAATAAGATACATCATTCTGTTTATCGGTTTTTGAAATTTTAGTGAAATTCTTTCAAAACGCTACTCATCTTGCATTTTTTGTTAGATTTCAATAAGACTTTGTACACATGTAAACTATACTAAAATACATAATTTTGATTTGTCTATTTTGTTAACAATAAACAGTGTCACTATGGTTACTAAAAGTGGAAGTACATGTATTTGTAATTCTTGTAAAATGCAACTCCTCCTACATTTTAATTCCGATTTTAATAAGACTTGATACACAAGAAGACTGTACTTAGATGAATAATTTGATTGCGACAATCAAGGTTGCCATGTATTACTATAAATAGAAATTTCTGTGAATTTTTTTTTCAAAACATTACTTTTCCTAGTTTTATTTGGGTTTCAATTAGACTTGATACACAAGTAGAATATACTAGGTACATGTACAACTTTCTTTATTCTATGTACACACCAGTAGAACTACAGTCTCATCAGAGACTTCTGGTTTTGATTGAGACTTCTTTCTGTGTACGAGCAAGGAACTCAGATGAGCATTGTGACCTATACTTTTTTCATCTTACAGGCCAGGACAGCCAGGACATCAATAGTAAATTACTGGTTCGTTTTTGTCAGACACAGACAGATCTTTTACAGATGTACGACAAAATTACAGAGAGTCCAATTCAGTCTGAGACAACAGACAGGGATATTACTGAGGTGTAAAGATATAATAATCAGATATCTCAAAGTTTTTTCTATCCCATCAGATGTGAGATAATGAGGTTTGACTGTTTTGCTAATCGAGCCTAATTGTATTTGAAGGTTTTGATGGAGAACCTTCACATCACAAACTCAGAGAGCACACACATTGTAAATCAGATGAATACTGACAAGCCTCAGAGTGATACAGATCAAGAGGTCAGAAGAGTCAGATTTGACATTCCAGATTTCTTTCATCCTAGTGACTTCCTCAGCTGTTTTCAGTTCCAGCCACATTTGTCAGCACAAGATTCCATGAAAGAAAAATTAATAACAGTGTCTGACAATATTTCACAGGAAACGAAAGTTGGACTGGGTAATTATTCAACTTCAATAATTGATTTCTCTGCTTACATTTTAATTGCCCTTGTCTATTTCTTTTTCACATTCCTCTTTTTAGAAAAATGATTGTTATAATATAATTATGGTTGTTTTATACATGTATTTAGTAAAATGAGAATGTGCTTTCTGCAGGTAAATTTATGTACTCTCAATGCACAAGCTCTAAAGGATCAACAGATACTCTGTCGTCTGTAATACAGAATTGCAGCATATCACCCAATCTCTTACTAGTAAGTGGGATTCTTATGTAGCATATCACTGGGTGATCTATATGTACTATTGCAATGTGATTTTAATACAATAACCTATCACCTGTTTTCTTACTGGTTGGTATTGGAAATTTAATGTACAGTGTACAAGTACCTGGCTGACTTAGTTATTACTCTGGGGAGAAACTCTGATCAAGTTATGCAAATGGTACAATTGCTATTTTTATATTTAAAAACTAATTCTTTGTTATTTTTCATTTAATAATTCTTAACATCAGGACTTGCTGGTACTTTACTGGTTGTCAGAAGAACAAAGAATGCTACAAATGATCCCAAACCTTCATCATATTCTCAAAGTTCTTGTTTCCCTCACAGGTATGATGTTTGATAAAATGTTTCAGACTGATAAGTGTAATAATTGTAAAATAAACCCGAGTGCTCTAAACTGACTTTTCAGTTTATTGATTATGGATCCTTAATTTGTTATTCATTTGCGGCTGTCCATATTTGTTATTAAAGCTCCTCTTAGTTCCTCAATTAGGCTGAAAATTAACCAGATTAAAAGCATAAATTGAAAATAAATGAAAACAAAATTTTTATTCAAAGATAATAGTATTTTGAAGAGTTAATGTTCCTGGTTGAGGTGTGTATGGTAAATTAACTTTCTGTTTTCATTGCTCCTATCATTAATCAAGAATCATTCATATTAAATATAAATCTAATTCAAGCAACATTTGTACTTATGTTTAGACAAGAGCAATGTCCTAGCAAAGCCTAACAAGCCTGCTATTTGGTGGAAGAAGATCCGATACTCATGTGCCCACAACTCTAATGTACAGGCTGCCTACATACTGGCTCTAGTGTGCCGGTCACTGTGTGTACAAATAATTGAGAATCAGTCCAAGGGAAAGGTAAGGTCATGAGCTAACTTAAGGTTCATGGACCCTCTGATAAGAGAGATAACTCTCACTGGGATATCATTATTTCCATAAAAATTGTCAAAATTTTGCACTGCAAGGTATGCTGAAATTGTTAATTTTTGAATTAATTTGGATTTCTTTTGAAAAATCATTATCATTCAAGCAAAATTTATGTGAGTGGACAAAGGGGTGATGAACCTTAAACATTATTGATTAGTTCTGACAAGTTCTGTTATACTCTTTGATTGGCTGTATCTATTTAGGACCCTGATGCTGACACCGAAGTTAAGGAAGAGAGGCCCTCAGAGGGAGAAGAGAGGTCCGCAGAAGGAGGAGAAAGTTCTCCCAATCATGATGTCGAGGAGTGGAATCTGTTAGTTAAACAATTAGAGGATGTTCTAGCTCTGAAAAATCTTCTTAGTTTTGGGAAAGTGGACCACAGCACAGAGGTGTCGGTCTCCAAGATATTGGAGGGAGGACGGGGTTAGTTCAAGTGAAATAGAGAAAATCAACAACAAAAAAATACATATGCAACATATCAGTCATTATTTTATACATGTATAGGTATTTTTACAAGAATTACAAAACAAGTGTGTGGAGGTTATGTATTGCATAGATAGTGTTTGAACAAATAATAAATTGTTTTGCATAGATAGTGTTATGTACAAATAATTAATCATTTCTGTACAGGGTCAATATCTGAGGCTGTGGCCTACTTGATAGCCAGCATGGAGCTGCATCCTGGGGATTTATACGACACTAGTATCATGGACAGCACAGAGAGAATGGAGATTGGTACAGATTCAGAAAATTCTACTCAAAGTACAGCTGTTAAAAAATTACAAGGTATATGTTTTGTATGCAAGTAAATTCTGTATGTACATGTATATAATGTAGATTCAGTACTTGAACTTAGGTTTCATTTGGGACCAAGTGATGAACTTTATCACATAAAACTTTGTCTGATAAAGGGACACTGTTGATTTTTTTTTTTTTTGGGGGGGGGGGGGGGTTGGCCCAGGGACCTCCTTTTTTTGTTATGATGACCCCTTTATAGCTGTAAATTACTATACATTTCAGGTTATCTGATAGAGTTACAAAAGAGGTTACCCCACAGTCTGGAAAATGAAGTGTTATTGTGTAACTGCTGCTGGGAGAATGCTATCATCTGGTTCAAAGATTTAGATGTAAGTTCTGATAAACACTTGATAAGCTTACATTGTTTTTAATTATCAAAATTAATGGGGATTTACATTTCAGGAATTTTATGGGCATCCTTATCCACAAATAATTTACCACCTCATGCAATAATAAAATTGAGAATTTACATGTACATGGATATATAATATTCCTTTCAGTTTTTTTTTTTCAATGTACATGTATGCCCAACCAATTGTAATACATGTATAAACCAAATATCAAAAAAAAAAAGAAAGAAAGAAAGAAAATAATGATTTCATGATACTTCTTACATGTAGTTCCAAAATGTATAAACCCCACCCATAATAACATGCTTCTCATTATGACTCTATTGTAGAAAGTTCATCATTTGGGTTTTGCAATGGAATACTTGAAACTAGTCACCAATGCTGTATTAAGACATGGTGAGTATAAAAAAAATTCAAGCTTGAACTAATATCTATTTACCACTTATCATAGATGAGATGTACATCCCTATTATTTTCTCATATTCTTGATTCATACATGTAGCATAAAAGCACTTCTGCAGAGTAGTTTGCCTGATTTTGAACTAATTTTAGAATTTTTGAGAATTGTTCAAATTAGAATAGTTTCTAAAATTTCTCAAAGATTAATGTATTTTATGTGTTTTTGCTAGGAGTTGCCTCCATGTTGTGGCATCGCTTTGTGATGAAGAAATTCCAGGCTTTAGCTCAGCTAATGGAGAAGGTAAATATGTTATTGTAAACAAGTATGTTTATACATGCAGGTAGTAAGAGTCAGTGTGGCTAAATATACCTCAATTCTTATATATGTACATAATTCTTTCATATAAATTTTCAGGTTGGGAAAGTTCCAAAAGACAGACTCTGCAGAAAGGTAAAAATTATGAAATACAGTAAAACTTCTGAAAACCAACCAATTATAAAGAATATGGCCAGTTTATATAGGTAGCTGGTTTACAGAGAAATGAATGAGGTTTTGTAAGTTATGTCCCTTTTCATGCCACATTTCATGGGGACCAGTTTGGAGAAGTTTCACTGTAATTAATGGTCATCTTTTTCTTTTTCTGCACAGGAAGTTGGTATGGGGGAATCTTTCATGCCTGCATTTGCTGAGTACTCAGTTGATCTCATTCAGGTGCTCCGAGAGGTATGCAATATTTTGATTATACATCTACATGTATTTCTATGAAATTCTGAAAAAAAAATATTTTAAGAACTGAAGACAACAAGTTTATCCCTTGAACTTTAAAATGGAGGAAATGGATGCAGACTTTCTTTTTTATTCCTAGGCAAACTGCGAGATGAATGAGGTTCCAGTGTTTAACATAGAGCCAGTTTGGCAAATGGTTAGGGGGCCATCATCTCTAGTAGAACAAGCCATTGAACAGAAGATGACAAACTATGGCCTGCTGTCCCATCACTATCACCTGGCAGTCATCATGTCTGCTGTTCTTACATTCAACATGAAGTCAGCCAAGGTTCTCTCACTGTTTGACTCGAAGGTAAGAAACAAATACAAGAGGCCCATGGGCCACAGTGCTCACCTGAGTAACTTTGGCCTTGCAGTTTTTACCTGATTTCTCCTCCTCTCCCCCCTGTAGTACGAATTGTGGCCCAGCCCTACCGCCAGGGGTCATGATTTGAACAATTTAGAATCTACACTACCCCAGAATGCTTCCACATAAGTTTCAACTTTTCTGGCCCAGTGGTTCTTGAGAAGAAGATTTTTAAAATTTTTACTATATATTTCAATGTAAAACTTGGATTCCCTATTGTGGCCCTGCCCTACCCCCAGGGGTCATGATTTGAACAATTTAGAATCTACACTACCCCAGGATGCTTCCCCAAAAGTTTCAGCTTTTCTGGCCCAGTGGTTCTTGAGAAGAAGATTTTCAAAGATTTTTAGTATGTATTTCAATGTAAAACTTGGATTCCCTATTGTGGCCCTTCCCTACCCCCAGGGGTCATGATTTGAACAATTTAGAATCTACACTACCCCAGGATGCTTCCCCAAAAGTTTCAGCCTTTCTGGCCCAGTGGTTCTTGAGAAGAAGATTTTCAAAGACTTTTACTATATATTTCAATGTAAAACTTGGATTCCCTATTGTGGCCCTGTCCTACCCCCAGGGGTCATGATTTGAACAATTTAGAATCTACACTACCCCAGGATGCTTCCACATAAGTTTCAGCTTTTCTGGCCCAGTGGTTCTTAAGAAGAAGATTTTTAAAGATTTTTACTACATATTTCAATGTAAAACTCAGATTCCCTATTGTGGCCCCGCCCTACCCCCAGGGGTCATGATTTGAACAATTTAGAATCTACACTACCGCACCCAATTTTTGTATTTTTTTGATTATCTCCCCTTTGAAAGGGACTTGGCCCTTCATTTTAAGAATTTAAACTCCCATTCACCCAAGGATGCTTTGTACCAAGTTTGGTTAAAATTGGTCCAGTGGTTCTTGAGAAGAAGTCGAAAATGTGAAAAGTTTACAGACAGACGGATGGACGGACGACGGACAATGGGTGATCAGAAAAGCTCACTTGAGCTAAAAAGGTATAAGATGTTGATTGTTACTTAAATTTTGGATCCATGCATATGGTCATATTTGTGTTAAAATACTTATGTGTACCAGTAAAAAAACTAAATGTCACATTTTGACATAGTTAACAGAAAAATTTACATTTGTTCGAGTTTTATTGGTCTCTTCCAGGGAAAGCATGCGTTTTTTATTGATTTTACCCAGCATCCTTTGCTTCCTTCACAGAATGTTGACTCTTCTCTGTCATCCAATCGCAAAGAGGTCAGTATATAAAAAACCTACAGTCCCCTCCGGTTTCACCGGTAGGGGACTTAATAACTCTGTGTATAGGGTGTGCATTCCTTTATCTTTATATTGTATTCTCTTTCCACATTTTTAATAATATTTATTTTCAATTTTTAGTTCTTAGCCAGAATTCTTACATATGCTGTGAGCACACTTGATTCGTCTCAAGCTTCCCCTAGTCATAATCTGCATCAAGTTTCCAAAAAGGATGCTGCTGCTACAAAATGGCCGACTCTTGTTCTAGAGATTGCCAAGGATTTTGGTCTTGATTTAGATTTCTTCAAACGTCAGCATGTGATAGAGTTGTATTCTAGTGGACATGATAAAAAGGCGGAAGAGGTACTTGTATATTCCAAAAGAAAAAAGTTGTAAGCTTTGCGAGTCAAACGCTGAAGTGAGGTTTTCTAAGTTTGTTTGTCCTAAAAGTTTGAAGATTTTGTCTGTCTTGTATTGTCTTTTAACCTTTTACATTTTCAACTTCTTGTGAAAAAACAACTGCGTCAATTTCAATTAAACTTGGCACAAAGCATCCCTCAGTAAAAGGGATTCAAATTTCTTTAATGAAGTGTTAGGTGTATAGTTGACCTTTTTAAAGTATTTTAAAACCAAAAGTTAGGAGAGGAGGCACATTGTAGATGACAGGGATTTAGAAACTTTATGGCTTTATTTAAATATATCAGGTACTTATTGGCTTTGAATCATCAAACTTTGTCAGTTGATGCATCTTGGGTAATCAAAGTATGTCATCTGAAAATTAGGTCACTGTGACTTACTTTTGAAATTTTGTGGTTAAAATTTTAAAAATATTTTAGGTATTAATTGGCTTAGAATTATCAAACTTAGTTGATGCATCTTGGGTCCTCAGAGAATGACAAATGTTAAATAGGTCACCATGACCTACTCTCAGGTACTAATTGGCTTAGAATCATCTTGGGTTCTCAGAGTGTTTCATCTAAAATGTAGGTCATGATGACCTACTTTTGGAATTTCAAGGGTTTATCTAAATATACAGGATACTTAGAGGCTTCAAATAGATGTGATAGATTGTACAGTTTATCAGAAGAGCGATTCAAGGCCCTTTGGCCTCTTGTAAACAGTATCTCTTTGTCTAGTGCAATAAATTTGTTCATTAAAATTCGTAGGTACTACTGACAGTGAATGACCGTGAGTTCATGGGGTCACAACTGTTGTTGGTCGCTGGGAGACGAGTAGCCCATTATTTGTTGGAGAGTCATAAAATGGAGGGAGTGGAGCTGTTATCCAATGTGTCCCCCACTCTGTCGACATGGCTGCGTTCACTGGTAGGACAGTCTCTCTTGTTCTCATTGAATGTCATGTACATGTACAAGCAAATTCGAATAAAGAATTGTATATCTGTTTGAAATTTTTATTTAACAGGAACCTGGACATCTAAGAAAACCAGAAGCAGATGTAAAATCTATTGCTATGCTGGTCCATCATGTAGCCAACTATTTACCAGAGGGCACATCAGAATATGAACTTGCCATTTCTTTAGTAGACTTGGTGCAGTCTATGCATTAACTTATTTTGACATTTTAATATTAAATTTAAATTTAATTAGTTATTATTTAAAGTTAGAAAAATTTTGCTCTGATTGTTGTATCTGAAACATTTATTTTGATTGCAAGTTGTTGCTTCCAGCTGAACTCAGACTTTTGCATAATATAGATTCATACAATTAAATGGAAATTAACTACAATTTAATGAAAATAAATCAACCAGAAATAGATTTAAATATACCGTTCCTGTTGTTAAGATTTTTCCTTATTTAATTAAACAAACGAAAAAAACTGCTTTTTGCATGAACTGTTCTAGATATACATATACATGCAATTGTAACTCAATATTTTCTAAACAATAAAATTAACATGACAAAGTACCATTATGTACATTGTATTTAACTTTTTTTTATATAATATATAAACAAGATGTGTTTGTGAAACACTGATGCCCCGTATGGCAACTCGTAGCAAAGGTTAAACTTTCTCAAATGCAAATCAAATATGTTAGTACCCAAAGTAAGGTCTTGTCTCGAGGAATATACCTGTGAAATATGAAAACCCTAGCAGCAACCATTGAAAAGATATGAAAAAGGTAGAGTTTTTCAAAAGTAAGTCAAACATCAAGGTTTCAAATGGTCAAAATTAATGATGCACAAGGAAAGACCTTCTCACAAGAAATACATGTGAAATATGAAAGCCCTAGTGCCAACCGTTCAAAAGTTATGACCAAGTTTAAAATCTTTCAAAAGTAGGTCAAATTCCAAGGTCAAAGGGTCAAAGTTGTTGGTATCCAAAGTAAGGTCTTGTCACAAGGATTACATATGTGAAGTATGAAAGCCCTAGCACTAATCGTTCAACAGTTATGGCCAAGGTTAAAGTTTTACAAAAGTAGGTCAAACTCCACGGTCAAGGTCAAAGTTGTTGGTATCAGAAGGAAGGTCTTGTCACAAGGATTACATATACATGTGAAGTATGAAAGCTCTAGCACCAACCGTACAAGAGTTATGGCCAAGCTTAAAGTTTAGCAAAAGTAAGTCAAACATCAAGGTCAAAAGTCAAAGTTGTTGGTATCCAAAGGATGGCTTTGTTACAAGGATTATATGTGAAGTATGAAAGCCCTAGCACTAACCATTCACAAGTTATGGCTGAGGTTAAAGTTTTACAAAAGTAGGTCAAACTCCAAGGTCAAGGTCAAAGAGTCAAAGTTGTTGGTATCAGAATGAAGGTCTTGTTCCAAGGATTACACATGTGAAGTAAGAAAGCCCTAGCATGAACTGTTCAAAAGTTATGGCCAAGGTTAACATTTTTTCAAAAGTAGGTCAAACTCCAAGGTCAAAGGGTCAAAGTTGTTGGTATCCAAAGGACAAGGTTAAAGTCTGAAAAAATTAGCAAAACTGGGTCAATCTCCAAGGTCAAATGTTTAGTACACAAAGAAAGGTCTTGTCATAAGGAATACACATGTGAAATATGAAAGCCATAGCTCCAATCAATCAAAAGTTATGGGCAAGGTTAAAGTTTTCGCAGACAAACAGACACACAGACAGACGGACGGACAGGGCAAAAACTATATGCCCCCAAATCTTCAATTACAGGGGCATACAAATATGAATTTATGTGGCAGATCAGGAAAGTGACAAATATCTTTAAAATAAGACATCACTGATATAAGTTATAATGATTACTGATTAAAATATAATAAATTGATGTCATATTGTCATTATTTTACACTTTTAGACTGTCTTTACTGTGTGACAGTACATCAGAACACCTCTGACACAGGTTATTATTGTCTGCTGTATTTCTCCAACAACGCTCACACCTAGAGTAACGGGCCTTTGTCAGCACTACTGTAAATGAACACTTAGAATCTGAATGAACACCGTGTATAACCCTGGCTTCCTCTTGAGAACTCTGGGAGTCTGAGAGAACACTGTGTATAACCCTTGCATAGTCCATAGGTTTTATCTCCTCTGAATGAACACTGTGTATATCCCTGGCTTCCTCTGTAGGGTTGATCTCCTCTGAAGGAGAACTGATCAGTCTTGTCACTGCTGTCTGGAGTATTTCACAGAGGGGAGAATCAGTCAATGTCTCTGCCTGCTGAAGTTTCTGTATAAAAGGAGCAAAGTCAAGACTTTTGTTGGGGAGATCATGGAAATGAGTCATTTTTCATTTTTAATACTGTAAAGGGACCAGCCGATAAAAAATGCTGATTTTATTTTCAAGAAAAAAAATACTCTCAATTATTGATAATAATGGATAATAATGGATTTGGTTATGTCCCTGACTGGTATATGGAAGGATGAGTGTTGATCTGTGTACACATTTACCTGTAATTCTTTATACAGTGGATTTTCAGCTACCACAAGAACATCATAATTTCCAGGAGGTTCAGACACCAGGTTTTCATTTATATGATCTCTGATCACAAGGGCATTAGAAATCAACTCCTCAACAGCTGGGTTGTTCCAGTTTGGCTGCATGGTGTACCACTTGGTGTGAAACAATGGAGTTGTTTCTGTTCAATAAAACAAACCACAAATTTTTAAGATTTTGCTTCATAGAATATACATGTATTTACCAATTTATTCTGGGATGTAACGATGCTATAACTGATGATAACTTACTTTTCTCTGGATGAAATTTGTAGACCTCTTCAGCTAATGAAGGAAGGATAGGTGCGATTGACTTGGTTAGAGTCTCCAGTGTATGATATAACACAAACTGACAAGACTGGTGTCGGATGTCCTGAACATTATCACAGTATAACCTGTTAAACACCCAAGTCATATTACATCAGATGCTCTGGAATTTCAGTAAATGTGATAAAAAATGAGTTTCATGTACTCTGTAGACACTTTTTTTTACCTGTCTTTAGTAATGGTTATATAAAATTTGGAAAGGTCACTAAGAATTTTTTGGAGAAGTATCAAAACTCTTCCAAATTTAAATTCTTCATACATGGATGTGACCTGAAAATAAATTTAGTTTATAGTTACTTTCTGAAGCAATTTAGTAACATGCAATATCAAAGGATCACTTATAATGTGTGGAACAAAAGAAAGGGCCCATACAGATTACACTGGGTATCATCTTTTGAAAGAAAATGTATTAATTGATTTAAGACCATATTTCATTGTATCCAATGACATATATACATGTGCATGTATCATACATATCATATACATGTACATTGTAAAGGCTTTAAAGATAGCTGTTTTGCAAGCCATGCCTCATTCAGGATGGCGCCTGTACTATTTAAAATAGAAACTATCAACTCCTTCCTTTGTTCAAGTAATCCGAATTTAATAAAAAATAAATTTCTTTAAAAAAAATTACTTCTGTCCTTTATATATACATGTCCTTTATATATACATGTACTATATACTTTTGTTACCTGAGATCCGTATGTGTATAGAAGAGACAGCATGTACTGGTCCTGTGGGAGTAGATCATTGTAATTTATACTGTGTATGCTTGAATCAAATCTTTGTAGAGTGCCCAGTAGATAGCGTAACATCTTACGAATCTGGAGAAATCATTGTTCAAAAGGTATCAAAAAATTCATAACATTCTTCAACTACATCAGGTTAAAAATATTGTGATTTGCTTTTTATAACACTTGTTTGGATGAGAAGTTTTCAATATCAAATTCGAATCGATACACTCAACAAAGGAGCAGCTTTTACTTCGTATTGCTTTTTCTTGTCAAGTGGTTCTTTAAAGAGTCTTTAAAGAAGATTTTTAATAAATTACAAAACCCTAATTTTCACTATTTTGTTACAATTTTTTCCCCTTGATAAGGGGACATGCAACTCATTTGGGGAAAAAAAAAAAAAAATTGAATCCCCACCACCCAAGGATATTTGAGGAAAGTTTGATTGAAATTGTTCCAGTGGATTTTCATCAGAAGACAAAACGAGAGACAAACTTTGATCAGAAAAGTTCAGATGAGCTTAAAATCAGAAAAGGCATCAATCTATCAAATTCCCCTATAAAAATCTTATATGACTTGTATACCATCAAAGATTTGGAAACAACAGACCTGGAAGAGTTCCTGTTGGTGGATGTCCAGTATATTAGAGCCGATGGCTACTTTTGTTTGAAGACCAGAGTTGGCCACCCACAGTCTGAGAACATCAAGTCCGTACGGAATCCCTGTAGTCTTCTGCCAAAACAGTCAAACATATTACATTTACCATAATAATACAAATTTTAACTGTACATACATATACCGTTATGTACTTTTTCATTTTACAAACTGACAGATTCAGTTCAGAAAGTCCATTATATCACCATGTTAATCTTTGTATCAAGGCAAGCAGTGGATAATTCACATGATTTAAAGAATTCCTCAGGTTCTGTTCATCCCAGATAAAAAATCTCTCATATTCATTCCTCTTGCAATCAAGTATGTAGAGTACATGTAATTATCAGTTATACATGTAAAATGTAACGAAGCACAAATGTTTACTAGGAATATTACAAATGTATGCATTGGTTACATAAAAAAATTAAATATAAATGATAGGTCATTTAAACATACATTTTTAAATACAAAATAAGCCAAGGACCAGTATTAAACAGAATACTTTTGTGCACTAATTGTCTCTTAATTAATTGTTTCCTGACGTCAGCGTTTTTTAAAATCCCAGTAATTCATGTATTTGTGTTAGTGTCTTACACTGACTCCTTTGTTTATCTCCCCTGGATCTACCACATTCCCAACAGATTTTGCCATCTTGTGTCCCTCTTCATCTACAGCAAAACCATGGACAACCAACTTCCTGTGTAAGAAAGTACCAATGAACTACCGGTATATATCTGCCCCCAAAATGTATTACAATACTTGATGGAGAAACTCATAATTATATTCATATAAGCAGGGGAATACATGTGTTTGTAGATGTCAATTAATTAATCTTTGCAATAACTAAGATGTCATGATTTAGTATGACTTCAGAAACATGATTTTTAATGATTTTTTAAGAAATATATATGTGGATACAGGTGTATATTTATTAAGAAATACAGAGTGGTCTGCCCCGTTTTTATCTTGTAGATCAAATGACAATATCTTATATGAATATGAAATCTGGGCAAACTTTCACTTTCTGCTATAGATTTGTAGCAACTTTCTATACAAGGTGTACACGTTTGTACACATTTTGAAAAATTTGAAAATTCTATCATGAAGCAGGAATTTCCCATTACTAGATATAGCACCTAGTCATCTGAAAAGATTTAACACAGATACCAGTTCCATAAATGTTTTAAAACTGATGACTAAAATTTAACAAAACAAATAATACACACCAGTTATTAATGACCTACTCAGCTGATTCACTTTTTCATCAAATTTCATTGTCTAAGTAAAATTACTACAGCATTTCAATATCCATTTACAAATAATTTTCATCTACATTATCTGTCTCTATAACAGTAGATTTGATGGCTACATTCCAATGATTACTGCACTACCTACTTAAAAGGAGCCTTCCCTCTGTAGGCCACACTGGTGAGGAGGGAGGACTGGAACCATCCGCGGAACTGATCCAGGCCCTCCAGATACACATCAGCAACCTTGTCATCTATCAAATAAACATTCAGCTTCCAGAAAAACCTTGTCACTGCTAGGGTAGTTAAAAAATAGCCAAATACAATCAAATATGAGATTCAGTGCTACAGTAATGGTGCATTATTTATCTACCAGGGAGAACTGAAGCCCAGGATGTTCCGCTGTCGAACCAGATGTCTATGATGTCACTTCCTCTCCGATAAGAAGCAGCGCTCCCCAGACCACTCTACAAAAAACACAGAGTATGATACAGGGTTATCAAAATTCACTAAAAAATAGTGTTATCCTCACAGTGCTGTTGTCTTGAAAACCTTTGTGAAAATGCTTAAACCTTTGAGAGTATTTCCTCTGGTAACAGTTCTTCTGTACTCATATTCCACCAACAGTCTGAACCGTGCTTTGATATTAGATCCTGAACATGATTAAAAATCTCTCTGAAAGATTATAACATACAATCAACAAATGGACAGATTTGAATTCTAAATTTCCGGCGTCTCTTCTAAGACAATCTATGATATATTACTGACCTGTTTATTAAAATTTGGTCTGTGTCTCGATGATAGAACACAGGAATTGGAACCCCCCAAACTCGCTGTCGGGAAATACACCAGTACCTCCTTTTTAGCTGTGTATCCATGTTTTGTCGTAGTGAGTCAGGATATACCTCAACGTCTTTCATACATTCCTACAAGTCGGCAAGGAACATACATCATAAAACTCATGAAATAATTTTTAGTCAACAGAAACCTAAAAAAAGCTTCCCTTTCCACTTACTGTAAATCACTTTTTATTCACAAAAACATGATTTTCACATAATCATATGAGACCATCTGCTGGTGAAAAATTTCATTCTTGCATATTTTATTTTATTAAAGATTATTTAAAACAAGCAGCAAAATTCGTGAAATTTTTTCTTGCTTAAAAATACCAAACAGCTATCTCACAAAAATAACATAGCCCAGTTTGTATTATAGCATTGTGGAATTCAAATAAAAAAAAAAAATAACATAGCCCAAAAATTCGGTGATTTAGAGTATATTATGGTCAGAAAGAAATTTTGAATAAATAAACAAATAAATCAAAATCAACATAATTTTTTCTGAGATTTTTTCTGAGAAAGCCCTTTGAATAGATTTAGTGATTTACCAAGGCTTGATCCTGAAGTTTGCTCGTATCTATAAACCACTGTTTGCTCGCCCGTAAGATGACAGGCTTCTTAGTTCTCCAGTCAATGGGATAACTGTGTTTATAATCCTCTTGTAGTAGAATATAATCCTTTAGTAATGAAATAACTGAAAGTAAATCAGGTAAAAATTTACAAAATATTAAATTTTAGAATTTACAAAAATCTAAAATTTACAATCATAAAGCAGAGCCACTCTTCACGAGTATGAATAAAATTATGTATGTACAGTAGAACACTCTGATAGGATGAACAATTTTGATATTCCAGATAAAAAAGCATTATATCCTAAATGTTCATTTTATGTTTCAAAACTAGAGAAATGAGAATCATTAGCTGTATGAAATCATTTTATAGAGCATATTTACTGTAACTGTGTTTTACTACAGTAAAACACGCTTATGATGAAGTGCCAGGGATGGACAATTTAGTTTCATCATAAGCGTAATTTGTTATATCCATTAAGTTTACAATATATTTTAAAGTCACAGGGAATGGCAATCACTTCGCTACAAGTGTCAGTTCTTTATAAGCGTATTTTACTGTATATATCACGTTTTTTATGGAGAAAATATTTTATCTTTCAAATCAAGAATATTATTGAAAACAAAACTGTAAAAATCCTTCATAACATGAATTCAATAATGGATATAGGACAATTAGTACACATGTACCTGTATCTTCTGCATCAACATGAATCCTTTTTCCCTCTAAATGTGGGCCTGTTTCAGGGGTATACCTCCCAGCTTCATCAACCAGAGTGTCCTGAAATCATAAGACAGCCTTCAGACACAATCTAAAAAACAGCAAATATGTACAGGACATGTAACAGTAGAAACAGACAAGGGTAGATGGTCTTGTTAAAGATACTTTTTTTACAATGATGGGTGATCTGTGATAAAATAAGTTTTTAATATCAATGTGTACACACCACAGGAAGTCCATATTCCAGACCTTTCTGGAAATCCTCATGGCCATGAGCTGGGGCTGTATGAACCAATCCGGTGCCTACATCAGCAGTCACATGACCACCTTCCAAGAAAGGTAACACTTTTGCATCATGAGTTGGATTCATGATTTCTTTTAGAGGATTAATATATTTAAATTCTTTCATAGCAGTACCTATTTGAAAAGGAAAAAAATTTCATCATCATGTAAAATTCATTTTTTATGGAATCTGAAGAGAAATGCTCAATAAATCTATCCCAATACATGAGTGGTAAGTACCTTTAAATTCATTGATAATGTTTAACTTTTTATTTAGTAAAGAATGAAGTTGGTCCACAAATCCCTTTTCACAGATGTAAACCTCATTATTAACTGGATCTTGAACTAAACAATATCTAAAATAGAAATATTTATCATAAGTTACTGAAATACAATATAATATATGTTTCTACTAAAAACATTTCCTTCAATGTGGAGGTTCTAAAACAACATATAACACTATGCTTAAAAAATATATAATTACATTAAGCGAAAACAATATATTACATTAAGCTAAAACAATACATTACATTAAACCCGCTCCATAACAAATGGCTTCATTGGCCGGCAAGGTCCACGGTGTTGTGGTCCAAATCAAAGCAAAAACCTTGGTCTCATCTAAAGCGTTAAAATTGAAAATCATGAATGAGTTATTTTATTGAAAACCTGAAAAAAAAATACAAAAGATTCTCCCTTGAAGCCCCTTCCCCTGTTTATTCTTTCTTACATGTGGGGAAATTCCTATACTGTGGCCTGTAATTTACCTTTGAACACCCTCCCCCACCCTTTCAAGTTTATGCATATTCATGTACTAAACATGGAAATATCTAGTAATACTATGCTTTTTCAACTCATAATAAAACTCACACAAAATGTAGGCATGCACTCACCTCTCAAGGAAGAAAATCTGTTTAGAGAATCCACTACCACTGGGAATTTAACATATACAGCCTTACTAATGAAATCAGGGTTATATTCAAGTTCTGCTTCTGCTAAAGCCGTCCTTTAAAAAAATTTAAAAATTGTAAAATGAAAGTCAAAATGGAGACTGAATCAAGCATATAAATCATACAAAGACTATGCTTCTACATATGTATTGTGTACACCTTATGAAAGGTCATTGGGCACCTTATTATATTATATATATATTATAGATGTTGGAAACTTTTTCTTAGTCAGATTGTCAGTTATTTATTTGGGAGGGGGGGTTAAACCCTTGGTTATTCTTAAGTTCCTGCACATAGGCCATGCATTCTCTAAGTGCCTTGATGTGAACGAATCTGAATTTCCTACCGTAAGTTAATAGAGACCAAATAAATAGAGATAAAAAACAGAAACTTACCTGGATGATGGTGACCAATAAACAGGCATGTATCCTTGATATACAAGTCCCTTCATAAAACAAAAATGAAATCATTATAAGAAAAAGAAGGTTGACACATTACATAAATCATTTAGAGGAAAGACAGATATCATGTATAAACATGGAAAAATTGAATCCATCTTTTTTTTTCTAACCATGATAACAATCAAGAACTTGACAATTACAGCAAATCTCTACCTTCTCGAACATCCTATAGAAAACATCCAACTGTTTGGCTTCATATTGAGGGTCCATGGTCGTATAATACTGTCCCTCCCAATCAGCCATCACCCCATAGTCCTGAAAACCCTCCTTCTGTACTTGCAAAGAGTCTTCTGCAAAGGTCTTGGCTGAAAAAAGGTATTTATTTCTTTTTTATGCCATTTTAATATTGACATAACAATCAGAACACAAGAAATTAGATTCCTTCTATCAATTCATTATTTTTTGGTCTTGTCCTTGTTATAAATATAAAATTATGCTTGCTGTATAATGATATATTTTACAACATTATTTTTTTAATAAAGATTTTTAGATGCAATTTTTTTTCAAGATATATATTACAGCATCAGTTTTGACAAAGAAATTCAGATGCATTGCAATATATGAAGTGTGTGTACAAATGTAACTTATGGTTATTTACTTTCCTGCCCAGTACCTCATATTACTGTATACAGGGTTATTTTCACCCCATGTTATTTTTGCCCTTTCACACTTGTAAACAATTTTGCCCCATTTTAAATTTGCCCAGAAACAATTCTGTTTAAGAAATCATACTGTATTTTTTGAATTCGACCTGTTTTACATTCGCCCACCTGTGAGTAGGGCGAAAATTTCCCTGTATACCGTATAAGAAAACTTACAAACAGCTCTGATGGAGACATCTGTCATTTTCTGTTTCCTGTTTTTAGTCAAAGCTTTGAGTTCTATTGGTAAACCATGGCAATCCCAGCCTGGTACATAATGGATCTTGTATCCCCGCAGTAAATAGTAACGATTGATAATGTCTTTAAGAACCTAGAGAAAATAAGTAACATATTTCTGCACATCACAGAGAGATACAGATTTTTCATCATTAATGGGACTGTCCACTTGTTTTAATTGATATTATCAAATTACTGGTTACCGGTATCAATCATTAGCAATAAATATCCAAAAGTAATATATCTTTATGTTACCTAAACAGGTACACATAGAAAGTATTAGAATGTAAATGATTTATAATTTTCATAGAACTTTGATACTGATGACAACAGTTAAATAAAATGTGTAATCATATAGAATCAGTACATGTTAAAAATTCAAACCTTATTAATGGCATGACCAACATGTAACCTGCCATTTGCATACGGTGGGCCATCATGGAGAACAAACTGCTTCTGTCTGTCTTCATGTTGCTGCCACTTATACAGGTCACTTAATTCCAGTCTCTGATAATAATAATGCACATAATATATACTTTATACCTAGAACCAAAGGAAATTTTGATTGAAATCTATACACAATGTTCAATGAAATTTTGATGGATCTGCATAAATAAATTCTAAAACTCCCAATCCTCTATGTGCACATAGCAACATGATTGCTAAAGCATAGCAATGACTTACTTGAAAAGATTTAAAAAAAAAAAATTTTAATGCTATTTCTATGTCACAAAACAGCCATTTGATTCCTTATTGAACATCACTTTGCATCTGACATCATATTTTGGTCACTTACATAGCTCAGATTTTTTTGTTGGAAATATATGAGAAGTTCAGAATCTCCATTCCCAAACATGGGGAATTTGCAAAGTTAGAGAAAATTTCTATTTATCATAAACATTGTTTTGGGGAAAAAAAATATTACAAGACGTAGTAAACACAGGCTTCAGGAGTTAACTAAAAATTGAAACATCATTAGCAGTATGCAAAATGACACTTGAAAAGTGTACAATTTGCTAACATGAATCTTACCCGGGGAGAGGTGGAGAGGATAGCTAAGAACAGAGAAGAATGGAAATCACCTAGTCCTTGCCCTATGTGCCTCTGGGTGCAACAAGGACTAGGTTGGTAGGTAGGTAGAATTTGCTAATTGATTAAACAAATGAAACTGCACTGATCCTTATGGTTCCACTGTCTGACATAGTGTGTCACTTAAAGTATATTCTATTTTGCATATTTTAAGTGGGTATAAAGGAATGAAATATGTATTACATGTAGCAAACAATAATGTCAATCTTATGAAAGCAAAATTTAAATAATATTGCAAATAACAGGACAGACAAAAAAGTGTTTCGTACAATATGTGAATGTGATGTATGTACCATCCATACAATTTGAAAAAAAAAATGTCATGACATGATTAATCACTGTCAGAGGTAAGTAACTGTGACTTTGTGGCTATAAAAGTGGTGTCTATATAGGCTAGAGTACTTATTTATGAGCTGGCTTAATGCTTCGTCACTACAATGTTGATTGTAACCCTGAACAACTACAATGAACTTAGTAAGTATAGCTGTGCACTATTCTCACAACACAACATACCATAACAGAACATACCTTTTTGACAATGTCTTCATTCTTTTGCTTTTTCAGACTCAGAACAAATTCGGTCTTTGGGAGGTTAATGGTGTCTTTGTACTTCCCTCCTGGAGATTTAGTTTTCTTTACTTTATTATCGCTGTATAAACACGCCCGTAAGGAAAAGTAGTTATTCCAGTGTGGCTTTAAATGCTTCGATACACGGAGAAACACCATGTTTTTTTGTTAAATGACAAATTCACACGTCGTGTCCATGGACGCTGACATGTTACTATCTCGCAGAAAATGAAAACGAAAGTAAAGAAAAGGATAAAAATATTATTTTATTATGAAGTGTGTTTAGATTTTTACATTTATATACTTAATATTGATGGTTCCAACTTCACTAAAGATTTTTTTTTCTTTTTTTTCAAATGTTTTAATTTTAAGGTCAAGGTCGCAGCTGTCATGTGCCGTTTGCTCCGTTACATGTACTGCTTTGTTTTCCTTCCTTTAGAAGTTTAGTTCAACGAGTGACCAGATCAGATATATTTTAATTCTGACATGAATGAAAATATTTATAGTGTGACCTCATATAATCGGGAATGCATGTCCAAAGTGGCCAATTGATCGGATTTCCCAAATGTCATTCTCGAGAGAGCCAGGCGAACAACTAATGAGGAGCCATGACATTTCTCTAAACCCAAACATGGGGAAGCATTCCAAAGGAGGATGGGTCATCAATACAGACGATTTCCCTGCTGTGAAACCCGCTCTTGCACCAACTACCCAGTTGTCATTGACAATCACATACATTTGTCTTTATGGATTTCTGTTTTTATTTGTGCTGTGTCAGTTATGGATGATTTGGTACTACAGACACAAACGCTTCAGCTATCAGACCTGTTTTCTTTTCACCTGTCTTCTGTGGTCAGGGTTGAGAACAACTCTGTTTTCATTTTATTTTAATAACTGTATCCAGGCTAACAAACTCCCCTTGTTTTTAGACTGGTTGTTTTACTCGTTTCCCGTGTGCCTGCAGTTTTTCACATTATGTTTGCTTGTACTCTTCTTTGGTCAGGCAAGTATAAATGTCAGATCACAATGCTGATGCACAGGCACCTGATGTTACTTATTTTTCTTATTAAAAAAATTCACCCCCTACCTAGTAATGAATTATTAGGTACTAAGGGGTGCATTTTTTTATTAAAAGAAAAATAAGTAACGCCAGGTGCCTGTCTGCTGATGTACTATAAACACGGATATTTTTATGGGGTAAAATTTGTTTAATGGGGTTAAATTTTTCAACAAAGCATTCACTAAGGGAGTATTAATTGCTGAAGTTGGAGAATTCATGAATGTATTGGTTTATTATTTAAAACACTTAATTTCACTTCTTTTTGAAACTGTTGGTGTGCATTATGTTCTGCAAAATTCACAAAAATTTCCCCCATATAAACATTTCCACGTTTACAGTAGATATGATATGAGCTACTGATTTTTGTGCACTATGATAATTTCGTTAGATTTGGCAAAAGTTAAATACAATTTTTTTTATTCATCAGAATTATACTCTGTACATGTATTATCAGTGATTACTGTTTATATGGGTTTTTTTATTCGACATAAATGGTATTATTTTTAAAGGTTGTGTTTAAAGCAAGAGCGAAGTATGAGCCTAGTCGTTATAAGTAAGTATACAGAGATGGATTTATCAATAGATGTCACTTGAAACAGGAAAAAAACTTAATATTAATAAACAGGAAATAGATAAATGAGCAATAAGTTCCTTTTATTGCTGTCCAAATGCAGGAATCATTATTTTTCATTGTTGCAGAGTACAAGTTTAACAATATCAGGGTTAAAATTAAATGTAACAAGCACTAGTCTGTATGTGCTAGTGGACTTTGAATTCAGCTTGTCCACAGAACATTTCAGTGATCAATGAATTGAAATATAATAAAACAATATTAACATGTTAATAATAATACAAGTCATGTATATAATAATGTTAACATCCGCATGTGTTTTGCATATTGATTGATATACTTGTGGTTGGCAAAATGCTTTAATCAAAATGTGGAAGTAAATAAACAGAACTGGATATTTTGGCCTTGGGTAATGAATATTAAATTGAATCTGGACATATAAATTTTCTGAATTTTACATGCATTCAAGTACATAACATATGGACTAATGGGATGGAGAACAGTGATTTTACTATTCTCAGACTTATGAACATGAATACAGAATGCATCTACAGATTTAAGAAAAAGGATTTGAAAAACTGTGGGTGTCAAGTCATCTTAAAAGATTAACTTCCAGATTGTACTGAATTTCATGTCTGTTTGTTAGGATTCCTTTCCGCCTGACAATGGCAGTGGTTGTGTTGATTTTCATGGCTAACAACGTGACGAGTGCGGTGCTGGTCAGCCACCAGGAGAAGTACCACCACTCTCTGCCACTCTACATCCTCGTGGTGAGGGTCAGCATTAACGGGACACTTTTCTTGTTGGCAGCCATTGTACTGTCTGCTTGTATCTACAAAATGAGGACCATGTCCTCTTCAAATGTGATATTAGAAGCCAAGGTAAAATTCTACCATTGTTCTGAGAGTTAGTGTAAAATCATTTTAATATGTAGGGAGTCAATATTTGTGGGCAATCAAACTTTTACTGGTTTGTGGAGATGTTATTTGTGATTAAGTTGTATATTCAATAGATTTTCTGTAAAATCACTTATTTTTGTGGGGGCAAATTTTCATGGTTTGAGAAAAAAACATCGGTTCGAGAGATTTGATTTTGTGGTTAAGAAACATCATACTGTAGTATTGAATTTAAATGCTGGACACATGAATTTGTGGGTCCATCCATACAATGAAAACAATGAAAATTAAACTCCCACGAAAATTAGTGATTTCACAATAATGAATGATATATTGACAGAGATATCATTCATGGGATATAAAGTCGTGGGAAAGGGTAGAGCAGGAATGTCTTTAAAATATGCGTAATATTCTAAGTGTTCTTTTCATGACTTGGAAGCAAATTCACACCCCTGGGTAAGGGATTGAGGTTTCAGACTGAGGCAAATATATAAATGTGGTAAATGTTTCCTTAAAAATCTACCTTCCAGAGGTTTAGCAAAGCTGTATTTTTTGTATGCTATTCTAAAGATAACCCTAACAACCCTCCCCCTCCCCCCAAAATAAAATATGAATGTGTTTAAGCAACACTTTCTGCATGTCACTGTACTAAAAACATTATCTTGGAAATGGAACTTATTAATGCTCATAGTTAATACATGAGGTTCTATTACATCTGTGAAGAAATACAGACATGGGTAAGGTTCCAGGGCTTATTTTTGAAATAGTTGCTGCATGATACTTGGTGACCATCAGAAAGGCTCATGGGCCTCTTCAACATACAACATGTCTTGTTAAAGATATACATGTATATGTCTTTTTATTGTTTTAAAAGTCTAAATACCTGTGTATTATACATCCTGTACAATATGTAATTTTGGCTTTCCAGGGAACAACACTTTGCCAGTCAATGACAGTATCTATTTTAATCATTCTGTTGTATGCCTCTCGTGCCATTTACAACATCCTAGCTGTACTTTTATTCAACAAAATGCCAAGTTTTGGTTATGGCTGGACCAATGTTACATCGCAGGTATTCATTTATCTCCTTATCTCACATCTTTGCTAGCCAAGGATTTCTGATCGGAGTAGAAAACCTTATTTGGCTAGCGAAGATGCTTATCTCACTGTAAGTTATTTTTGTGTTACAAGAGACAAATGCTTATAGATATGATTGAAACTAAGAACTTTATATACATATACATTTTTCTGATAGATTAAATATTTATGACAGGGCCTTTATGATGAAATCTGGTCATGAATGGACTAATTATTGCATGTACCCCTGGTGTGTTTATCTGTCAGTCTGTCTGTTTGTTTGAGATGGGACATTTGGGTTAGTCTGTTCTGTATATGTATTTGGCTGAGATTACTCATAGGGTTCATAGAAGGGTATGGCTTTTGTGTCTAAAATAAATACTCCATCAGATATGAAATGGATTGGGCCATAAGTTGTTGACAGAGAAACTTGAAGTAGTCATACACTGTACTTGACAAAAATCATATGCATGTTTCGGCATCTGATTTAAGAATCTTGTGAAAAGATCAAATAACTGGGAAAGAAGGGTGAAATTTTGGTTTCCATTTCAGAGAACCATGGAAGATTTACTTAGACAAGTTAGAGTTAGGGAATAATTATAGAAAAAAATTGCAGCATGATACATGTACTTAAGTGATCTTGACTATGGATCTGATTTGTGGTATACAACAAACTTGTTTGAATTTCAAAAAGAAAGAGCTGAATTTGTTTGACAAAATAATGAAAATATACAACTTAAATGGTTAAATTTTCAGGCTGACTTGGTGGACCTAGATGGGGGATATGCTTTTCTTTCTTTTGGAATAGTCCTTTTTATTTGGGAATTTCTACCAACATTTGTTATTGTGGTGTTTTTCCGAGTCAGGAGACCACAGACTAATGCAGTGAGTTACCGTTTTCTTATATAAACTGTCATTTATGTACATTTTGTAAGCTTGCTTTCATTATTTACAACGACATACAGTTGTGAACTATTTTTTGACATGTAAAATTTGAATTTGACCAATTTCAGCACTTGGTGGACTTGTCTAATCATAGCCAAAGCAGCAGACAGTATTTTTTTGACAACCCTCGACGATACGACAGCGATGATGACCTTAGCAGGAATGATTTATCAAGAAGGTAAGTTCTATGTTGAATAACCAGTGTATTCAGAGGACAAAGAGAGTTGTGCCAAAAAAATGTTTCTTCAACTGAATACTGTATACAGGGATATTTTCGCCCCCGTTTTATTTTCGCCCTTTATGCCCTTATCACAAATGGATGAATTTAAAACGGGGCGAATTCAAAATACACAGTATCATTTCTTAAACAGACCTGTGACTGGGTGAATTTAAAAGGGGACAAAAGTGTTTGCAAGTGCGAAAGGGCGAAAATAACATGGGGCGAAAATAACCCTGTATACAGTAAAAACAAAATAAGGAACTTAAGTATCTCAATATCTTGATTATCATTAATATGTCAAAGTGAATTTGGATGTCCCAACCTCTTTTTCATTATATATTTTAATCTCAGTATTTCAAATTCTCAAATATCTTGATTTTTAGCTCACCTGAGCTGAAAGCTCAAGTGAGCTTTTCTGATCACCTGTCGTCCGTCCGTCCGTCTGTAAACTTTTCACATTTTCAACTTCTTCTCAAGAACCACTGGGCCAATTTTAACCAAATTTAGGGCCAAGTCCCCTTACAAGGGGAGATAATCAAGAAAAGACAAAAATAGGGTGGGGTCATTAAAAAATCTTCTTCTCAAGAACCACTGGGCCAGAAAAGATGAAACTTATGTGGAAGCATCCTGGGATAGTGTAGATTCTAAATTGTTAAAATCATGACCCCCTGGGGTAGGGTGGGGCCACAATAGGGAATCCAAGTTTTACATTGAAAAATATAGGAAAAATCTTTAAAAATCTTCTTCTCAAGAACCACAGAGCCAAAAAAGCTGAAACTTATGTGGAAACATCCTGGGATAGTGTAGATTTTAAATTGTTCAAATCATGACCCCCAGGGGTAGGGGGGGGGGGCCACAATAGGGAATCCAAGTTTTACATTGAAATATATAGGAAAATTTTTTAAAAATCTTCTTCTCAAGAACCACTAGGCCAGAAAAGCTGAAACTTACGTGGAAGTATCCTGGGGTAGTGTAGATTCTAAATTGTTCAAATCATGACCCCCGGGGGTAGGGGGGGGGGCCACAATAGGGAATCCAAGTTTTACATTGAAATATATAGGAAAATTTTTTAAAAATCTTCTTCTCAAGAACCACTAGGCCAGAAAAGCTGAAACTTACGTGGAAGTATCCTGGGGTAGTGTAGATTCTAAATTGTTAAAATCATGACCCCCGGGGATAGGGCGGGGCCACAATAGGGAATCCAAGTTTTACATTGAAATGAATAGGAAAAATCTTTTAAAATCTTCTTCTCAAGAACAACTGGGCCAGAAAAGATGAAACTTATGTAGAAGCATCCTGGGATAGTGTAAATTTTAAATTGTTAAAATCATGACCCCCGGGGGTAGGGCGGGGCCACAATAGGGAATCCAAGTTTTACATTGAAATATGTAAGAAAAATCTTGAAAAATCTTCTTCTCAAGAACAACTGGGCCAGAAAAGCTGAAACTTATGTGGAAGCATCCTGGGGTAGTGTAGAAGCTAAATTGTTAAAATCATGACCCCCAGGGGTAGGGCGGGGCCACAATAGGGAATCCAATTTTACATTGAAATATGTAAGAAAAATCTTCTTCTCAAGAACAACTGGGCCAGAAAAGATGAAACTTATGTGGAAGCATCCTGGGATAGTGTAGATTTTAAATTGTTAAAATCATGACCCCCGGGGGTAGGGCGGGGCCACAATAGGGAATCCAAGTTTTACATTGAAATATGTAAGAAAAATCTTCTTCTCAAGAACAACTGGGCCAGAAAAGCTGAAACTTATGTGGAAGCATCCTGGGGTAGTGTAGAAGCTAAATTGTTAAAATCATGACCCCCAGGGGTAGGGCGGGGCCACAATAGGGAATCCAATTTTACATTGAAATATGTAAGAAAAATCTTCTTCTCAAGAACAACTGGGCCAGAAAAACTGAAACTTATGTGGAAGCATCCTGGGATAGTGAAGATTTTTAATTGTTAAAATCATGACCCCTGGGGGTAGGGCGGGGCCACAATAAGTATTAGAAGGGGGGAAATCTGGTAAAGAACAGCATGGCCAAAGTTACTCAGGTGAGTGATGTGGCCCATAGGCCTCTTGTCTTTTTCTTGGTCCCATCGAGTGCAAGATAACAAGGTTGGACTGTATAGTTATAGAATATAATTACATGTATTTTGTTTTCTCAGTATCAACTCGTACCAGCCTAATGGTGGTTCAGGGACACCCACCAGAAGTACCCCACGAGGCACACCAAGGCTGTATGGATCCATGCACAGTGCGGCTGGCAGCTACACCAACAAGTTAGGGGGATTTGGGACTCCCCCAGTGTCCTCTATCAATGACTAAAGCTTACTGAAATATGGGGAGAATAAGGCTACACTGCAAATCTAGAAAAAAAAATTTTGTCAATTTTGTGAATTGAGTCAAAATATTATGCACTTAGAAGTATTACAAATTCTGTTCTGAACTAAAGACTACTTGGTTTCTTGGAGCTTTGTAAATGCTTATTCACCTTTCATCTAAATTTTGCTCCTCTTTGATCATAATTAAGGATTAGATTCTCACACAGCATTTAGCTAGTCACACACAAGCTATTATGTTTTACAATTACTGTGTACAGGGAAATTTTTGCCCATTTTACTTTTGCACATTTCACCATTGCTACAAGTGGGCAAATTCAAAGATGACAGTTATCTCTTAATTAACACCACTGTGTCTGGGCAAATTTAAAATGGGGCAGAATCGTTTGCAAATGTAAATAGGCAAAATAATCTTGTACAGTACTGTTTACAAGTACATACCTGTTAATTAAAAAAAAATAGAATATTTTTTTGTACTTTACAGTACTTTTAATTGTTTAAAATGTTTAACTGTTAATCATTAAAAAACCACTTTATCACTTTATGTCTTGGATTTTCTCCACCCATTTGTTTGTATCATTTTGTATGATTGGGACTCAGGCATTTTCTTCATATTTTAAATTTTCAATACACGACTTGAGATTCATGGATGTACACCTCTTTTTTGATGAGCAAGGACACACGAATCCAGGATGTTTCGCGCTGATTCTGTTTCGCACTGAGATGGTTCGCGCCGATTTGCCTGAGAAACATCTCACGTTTTATTTTAAATATTTCATCACATTTTCATCCGTTTTAAATTATTTATCAAATATGATATAAATATTTTGTGTGCTCAAATTCATGACTTAATAACATGCACTGCTATAATTAACGGATCGTACGGTGCCCATTTGCTCAGCATGTCTGTTCAACAATTCAACAGTGTTTCAATGAGGATTTAATTGTAATAAGTTGGAGATCAAAAGGTGAGAATTTAAGTTGATGTGTGGGTTGTCCAAGCCATCAATAATTACTTAATTAGATGGCGGTATTATAATTATCTACTTATACGTAATTAGCATGGTGTTATAACAATTCATAATTATGCTATGTATGTATACTTCAAACACAGACAAATAATTTACGTCTCTGCTTTATATATAATCTTCTTCAATTTAAAAAAGAAATGTTCCAAAAATATCTATATTTAGATATATTAAAAATTTTGTTAATGAACTAAACTTAGTAGCATATTTATGTACTTGGAGTGAAACATCGCGGGGCGAACCATCTTAGTGCGAAACAGAATTGGCGCGAAACATCGCGGGGCGAACCATGCATAGGTGCGAAACATCCCGTTACCGGACACACTCATACATGTACCATGTTTTCATAATTTTTCATTGAATACCAGTTGTGGTTTTCTTGGTTAAATTAACTACTGGTATAAAAAAAAAAGTGATCAAATATAACTTTTTAATAGAATAGAATGTGGTAGTTGTCCATGAACTTACATATCAAAAATTGTATTTTATACCCAAAGGCAAACCATGAAATTTGATCTCCATGAAAAGTGATGAAACTACACTGTCTATTTGAATTAAATACGATTGAAATATGGTCCATGGTGCATATACAGTCATATTTTCACCATTCAATTTATTGCCATATGCACATTATTTTCAAAACAAATGTCCATTTTAGTGTGTTTATTATCTGCATAAGGATCACCACCCAGCATGATCAGTGAATCGATAATTAGTGGTCATCTTGAATCATTGGCAGTGACTAGAGTTTTACATGTAATTACTGATATCTCGCACTAGTACAAAACCCATTGTAAATATTTAGAATTCAATTGCAAAATACTGCATTTATGAAAGTTTAACTTTGGTATCTCAAACATCTTTATCTTGTATGCTAGGGATATGTCAAGTGATTTGGAAGTCCAGCATCTTTTTATTCATTTAACCTCAATATCTTGAACCCTTGGAAATTGAGAGATTTTTTTTTTCTCTGCCCCACGAAGTTCTTATAGCATTACTTGCATTGACCTAATTAATAGAAAGATCTCTATGCTATCTAGAATGCAGATTCTTGCATGAATTAGAATCCAGAGATTCTTTATTTGTTCAAGTTAATTATGTTTTTTGTTTTGTTTACTTTCTCATACACTAGATGCATGTACATCATGCCTATATATCAGGATATGACGAATATCTGATATATTTTTGAATTCATTATACTGCCGCATATTCAGAATTACAATAGGGTATATCAAGATATGACTGTAAACTGTAAATATTTGTAGACAAAGTGCCCTTTTGAATGTATATACCGGTAAATTATTGTGCAGAATTTAATTGTGCTTTATTTATTCAAAGTAAATGGTACCATCTACTGGTCAGGAGTATTAACACAATTTAATGACCAGGAGTGCATGGTGATATATTTAATAAATATGTAGATTTTGAATGGTATGTGTTGCTATACCAGTGATACATGTACTGTGTATGTTTAGCTATATGTGTGGACATAGAACATGCAATGCTATTTTGTAGCAATGATGAAAACATTTTGTACATATACATGAGTGCTAGTCTCATCTCTTATTAAATCTAATTAACATTCCTTTGTCAATGTACAGTAAAATTTTAATATTCTTTGCTTATTTTAATTAACTTTGTTGAAGTTTGTACAAGCTTTTTTCAGAAAATGGGATGGGGAAGGTTATTACGGTAATTAATTCTAAACAAATGTACATTCTGTAATATATTATGCTTACCTTGGGAAATGGATTTAACAACCAATCAGCTATTGAAAGTGTGTTGAAAATCCAAGTATGGTTATCATTGGGGGGGGGGGGGGGGTTAAACTTTTTTTTTAGTCACTATATATTTGATTCAGCCTAAAAGATCAGTGGACCTTTTCACAAAATATCTTCAGACTAAGACAAAAATTTTCCAATTCTCCAAAAAGTATCTGAAGTTGTAAAAAGTCGCAAAAAAAAAAACTTCTATTTTTGTTTTTCATTAGAATAAATGTGAATAATCCTTCACAAAAAATTAAGATCTTTATCAAGCAAAGAAATTACCGGTACAGAGCCATCAAATTTTAATCTTAGTTGTAGAATTTTTGTGAAAATGGTTGCTGTAAATATTTTAAAGTCAATGTTTGCATGGTAGCATGATATGAACAAAACTGATGGCTTGAAGAACCATTATAACAATTACATATACATGATTGTCTGTCAGCAGTTGTGAAACACTCTCAGTGATAAAATCATTTTAAAAATTAAATTTGTTTTGTGGAAAATTAATGTTTAAGAGTTTTTTTTAGATAAATAAAATCATTCTTTTTGAAGAAAACTGCATTTTGCTTCTTATACATGTAACTGGGCATTAAACAACCAAGTTGCTTTATTTAGTGAAAAGAGGTACCAGGACAACTATTTTCAATTATCATATTCCGTTTTATCATTGATTTACCAGGTCTTGAGCTGGTAGGATTTTCAGCATCACAATATATGGTAAATGTTTTCAATTTAGGGGAGATAACTTGCAGTGTACAGGATGATTCTGAGGGTCATTTGACATAGCATTTTGTCTCCTGTATATGGATCCCCCCTGTTGTAAAATGGTACCAGCTTTAGAAGGGGAATCTAACAAAGAGATATTCCTGTCCAAGGAAAGTTATCTGGATTTTACAGATTTGGTCAGGCACGGAAGCTGATTTTAACCATAGTAATATCATAAGTCCTTTATGGCTGGGGTGGAGGAAAACAATATTAAACATGTTAAATCTGTTACTTTTCCAGTGTGTACTTCATTCATTAATCAAAATTGATGTAATAAGATGTATTTTTGACATATAAATCAAAATTGACCCCTTTCCTTGCTATTATTGTTTATTGCAATGTGGACAAAATAAAATTGTTCTTAAGGGGACTGTAGCTAATAAATTCCAAGGAGTATACACTTAAAACAGTGTGTATTAGAGGAATATCACTGCAAGAACTCTGGAACCATTAAACTTTAACACTGAAAATTTTTGCGACACTCAAATGATCTTGACTAGGATGTGTCACATCATAAAGTTAGAGATAAGCATCTATTTTCTGTCCTTGAAAAATGGTGAACCACTCTGGCAAGTTTACCCAGTCCACTAGAGAATAAACTATGGTATTCAAACAAAATTTACCTCAAGCCCCAAGACCATAAACTGAGAAGAGACTTGAAAAAAATTTCAAATTAATAAAACTTTTGAAATAATTTTGAAACTTAAGTGTGGTATTGTGGTGTAGTGGTTAGAATCACAGAGTAAGTTGATCCAGGTTTGAATCCACTACTAGACATGAGAAATGGTCCTTCAGATGAGACCATATAAACCAAGCTCCTATAGTAGGTACAGTAGGTACTGTTACGATAAAGATCCCTCATTGCTCCATGGCCTAAGTGCCAAGTACAGGTCTAAATATGCAGCCTTCAACTGGCCATTAGTGGCACAAAGCAAAGAAAGAAAAAACAAAACAACATGTGTTTGCATTTTAAAATTTAAAACTTTACACGTTTGTTTCAAGTAAAAATTCAAAATATTCAACTCTAAATTTGAAATAAATATTTTTCATTTCATTGTTTGGAACCTGACATTGCAAATGGATTGGAATAACAAATAAATAAAAGACAAGTGTTTTTTACTAAATTTTTTACCTGAATAATCTTTACATTTTGAAATACATATGCATTGATTTTGCTGAAATCAATTTTACATCATCTCTTTGTAAGAGACAAAATACTTGGATTCTTCATATCTCTTGTGCTGCCTCTGCTGAGAATCAGAGTCGCTCTCACTTGAATCTTTTCGCCTGTGCTTTTTTGATGTTCTCTTGTGTTTCTTTTTAGATTTGTGATCACGTTTTACTTCCCTATCACTAGAGTCACTATCCCGATCCCTGTGTTTTTTTGATTTGCTATCACTTATCAATTCCCTGTCACTAGAATCGCTAACTCTATGTCGATACTTTTTCTTGGACTTGTGTGACTTTGTTCTGTGTGTTGAATCACGTGAATCACTGTCCGAATCACTGTCTGTATCGGACTTGTGTTTTTTGTGTTTCTTGGACTTTTTCTTTCTTACTGGTGACCGTGACCTTGTCCTAAAATACACAAAGATGGGTACATGTATATAAATTACTGGTACATACCATTAGTACATTGTAATTACAAATTGGAATAGAACATGTATATAAATTACTGGTACATACCATTAGTACATTGTAATTACAAATTGGAATAGAAAATCTAAATAATTCAGAAATATAAGTCGTCCATATGATTAAACTGTGAACTTCAGGCAGCAATTTTTTCCCCGAAATTATAACCTTTTTTTATCTGCTAATTAGTAAAGTGTCAGGCTTAACATGGTTGATTTTCCATATATACATTGTAAAAAAAAAAATAATACAATTTTTTTTCTATTTTGACATTTTCCTATTTCCCCTCTGAAAACTCCAATTCAAGGACCTATAGAGACTTCTGTACCTAATAAGATGCACTTGGAAGTTTTCTAAGAGAGCATTGTGTTCCAAGGTGTAGTATACCTGTGTTCCATGATTTATTGAAATCTGACAGACAAATCTGTAGCTGGAGCAGCTTTTTAAAAGTTTTTTTTTGAAATTTCTATTTTTAGTTACCTTGGAAATACTGTTCATCCAAACCAAATTCCCATAAATAAATTTATGCATCACAGTATACTCTATCTGTGCCAGTTCTTATTGAAATTGGACCTAAACTGAAGGAGGAAAAGCATTTCAAAATTCTGTTGACTGACACATACAGTAAAACTTGTTTAGTATGAACACGGATATAACGAATTTATGGATATAGCGAAGTTTTTTGCAATCCCCAGTGAAATTCCTAATACCGGGTAATTCCTTGTAAAATATTACGGATATAACAAACTCGGATATAATGAATTTACGGTTATAGCAAACTGATTCTGTGTCCCCTAGAAGTTAAAAATAACGAAATTTACATCTTTTATATAACGAATTTTTAAAGAATTTAGTTTTTAAATTATTGAACTGACATTTACTTTGTAAGTATATATATTTAGAACACTATTCATCCGAAAATTTTTGAACTCTAAGGTAAATTTTATATTTTATACTTCCCTAAATACATTTGGTAGTCATACTTCAAGGAAAAAATCTATATTGCGAAGTCGCTATGTATACTTTAACGAATTTGTTATATGGATATAACGAATTACGGATATATATAGCGAAGTAAATTCTCAGGTCTCAAGAACTTTGCTATAACCGAGTTTTACTGTATACGGATGATTGACATCTTATCATTGCATAGCTCCTGGTCTTTGACCTGTACAGTTAACCCTACATACGGGAAAATTCCCTCTACTGACCAAAACTTATGTGGGTGTTTATGCATAATTCTGACTACTGGGTATATCCTTATCTAAAAATCCTGCGAAACTAGAGAGTGTTAAATATTTCTTCATGGTTTCATTTGGTGCAAGATTTTTATTCTCCATAAAAAATGAGATTTTCAATTAAATATGAAATATTTAATGTTCAGTGGACCTTTTCACAAAAAATCTTACGACATATTTTTATCTTAAGTGAAAACATATGATGAAAATCGTTTTCACAAAAATTCTTAAGAAAGTCGTAAGTGCAAAATCTGTCGTAACTTTACGAGAGCCCCAACCCTCTCTTAAGTATTTTAAAATCGATTTTATTGTAAAAATATAACCGCAAAAAACAAAATACACGTTACATAAAACTTTTTAAAGCAACTTCCAATAATATTTTATATTTTTTTCACAATCATTGTCGAAAAATTAAATGAAATACACTACAAAATATTTACGATGTAAGTTTCACTTAAGATTTTCGTATGACCTACTTTTACGTCAGACTTGCGATTGTGACGTCAGATTTTAAACTTCCTTGCTTCACAAACGATTGCATTCGATATTTGTATTCAATAATGTTTGTTTTGCTGACAAATGTTGAAAACTAAGTTTTATTTTTATTTTCACCCACTTATTTAAGGATTATAAAGCATATTGAAGTCGTTGCTAGGGATGAAGTCTGTCGTAAGTAAAATCTTAAGTTCAATCTGCTACGAATGCGTTCGTGAAAAGCACTTAAGATTTGTCGTAAGAGATTCTTAAGTTAAAATCTTACGCAAAAACTTAAGATTTTTTGTGAAAAGGGCTACAGGACTTTACATACACACTTTTTCACAATCTGCAGTTTATGTATAAAAGAATTATTTCTGCTTTCATCCAACAAATAAATGTAAAAACCACAATTACCTGTCTGTTTTCTTTTTCTTTGAAGATTTCTTTATATCTTTCTCATATTTTTCTACAAAATATACCAATTATGAATAGATCATTCAATTAAAATCCATTATATTACACCTGGAATATGAGACAAATTCAATTGCTGTAAACCAACTTTCCATTTCCTGAGACAAACTTCACAATGTCCAATAAAACGGTTTTAATTTGATTAAACCAATCAAGTGAACTTTGCATACATCCTGACAACACATGTACAGCATTGTGATTCTGTGTTTCATTACCTTGAATTTCAGTATCTTGAAAGATAAAACAACCCAACATACAGCTGTCATAAAATAAATATCCCAGCATATATCATATGCCTTCACAAAATCTCAAAAGGAGCAAGAGGAGAAGAAAGTTGTTTTACATTATATGCCTTTTCTCACAATTCAGCTAGAGTGCATCAAGTAGAAATAAAAGTCTAGTACAAACAGTAAAATTGTAGCCACCTTTTTTGAGCTGTGTAAGAGGGGACACAAAATCCTCGTCACTGGAGTCTGAGCTGGTGCTACTGACATCCAATAAAACCTCCTTGTTTGGGTCAGCCTGAACAAAGTTACGACACTGGAATGTCAGGTGACCAGCTGGAAAAGACATTTTTTTTTAATAAAATCTTCACTATATCCAATCTTTTAAAGATAACTTTTCTTATAATTTGCTATCTTATAAAACAAGTGTTTGTGTAAGTGTTGGAAGTGTGTGCTGATGTTTATTCTAATGTGTAATAGATTGTGCTGTACAAAGGGAAAACAGGGAACCAGTACATTTTTGTCAACCTAATGGGTGTTAAAAGTTTATTCTTTCTGAAGAGGAACCAGTAACATTTGTTATGATGTACTATGTACCACATAATACTTACAATGATGAGGAATACCGGTAAATATCACAATACAAAATGACAATATTGAGCATGATTAGGTGTCAGTCCAGTTCAGTGTGCAGTTTAGTGTGATATGTTTTAAAATAAAATAAAATCATTAATTTTAATCCAAAAAAACCTTACCATAGCCACATTTTTTGCATGCTGCTCTTAATCCCTCGTTAACCTTTGGTGCAAAAGATGCCATCCAAATATCCTATAAACACAAGAGGTCCATGGCCCACAATGCTCACCTGAATCACCTTGGGCTTACTATTCTTGAGAAAATTTCAAGATTCTTTTCTATATGTATTCCCATGTTACTTTTAAAATCTAAACTCCTTAGCCCCACATTCTCACATTGTTAGGGGTCCTGACTCAACCCATTGTATCCCTAGCCATATATGCCAACATTTGAACAAAACTTGAACCTTCATCGTATAGGAATGCATAATATTAATGTACGTAACTTACTGTCCTTGTGCTGAAGAATTTTTTTTTCTTCTATTTATTCCCATGTAAAACTTTGATAAACAATTTCGTGGCCCCACCCAATCCCACAGGCCATGATTTAAACAATTATATGAAAGGAAGTTTTTTTTATGTTATGTCTTTTCTGGTCCAGTGTTTTTATGAAGATTTAAAATTACCCCACATTATGTTCACTATTTCTGAATTAATATATTTCTTTGAAAGAGGATGTTGATCTTTTTTTCTATTAACAAACTTGAATCGTCACCCTCAAAGATGCTTTGCATGTCAGAGGCAAGTTTGATTGGAACTGGACCAGTCATTCTAGAGAAGAACTTCAAAATGTGAAAATTTTACAGCTGACAGACAACAGATAGATGGACATCAGACACCTCAATCAGAAAAGCTCACTTTCAGAGCAGAGGATTAGAAAGAACATTCTACTGATAAAATGATATTGTCCTACAGATCCAGTGAGGGCTTGCCCAGAGACATAGTTAGATTATTGATTATTCTAACTAGGCAAAGCTGACCTAAATAAAAGAAAAACTTGTAATTTAAGTAAACTCTGCTTTCAACATGTTCAAAGAAAGACCACAGGGAGCTCCTTGGGTGCCTCGCGCCTCGCACACTAACCTTGGACGTGAACGGTGTTCTACCATTTTGCTAATACATGTACAATCATGTGATCCAATTCAAAATTCCTCCAAACGTTATTCCTATGAAATCTGAGTTACTTTGTGGCAAGCCCAATTTAACCCTATGTTTCAGATCTGCTTTCAAAAACCACAAACATAAGATTGTAATCAAAACCAATATACAAGAAAATAATTCGACAACTTTTAACAACTTTTGTTGTGAACTTATGAGTGAAATATGAAATGAATTGGTTTGATGCATATTCCTCCACCAATCACATCTGAGGTTTGTATAGAGTGTAGTGGAGTCGGCCAAGGATTGCCGATTGAACAATGACTGTCATTGATGAATTTGATACTGTAGCAATGGTAACTGATACTGTAACTTTTATTCGCATGTGAGAAATATCGATGAGTTTCGCGACCTACTTTAACTCGTGAATATTAATCACCGCAAACCATTCATTTTGCTTTTATTTTCGTAGAGAATGTTTCTTCAGTTGCAAAAATTAATCATCATGGATTGATTTCAAACTGACAAATCGTGAATAAAAGATGATGCGAATAATAGTTGGTTTACGGTATATGATCAATTCAAAATTCTCAAGTATGACATATAGCCTATGTCACTCCAATTTACAGAAAGTGCTATAGTTCCTTACAGATTAACTTGATTTGAGGGCTAAAATAGGCTCCGTCTGCTGCCATATCTCATTCTCTTTGTGAATAAAATAGCTAAAATCAAATTAATTTTTATCCAAAATTTCCAACAACTGCGTTATATGTAGGTGCATGGTTTACCAAATCATGAAATGTTTAACTTCATTGTTTATTTCTTCATTTCTTATGCATTTAAAAAATTCTAAAAATTTCTTATGCATTTATGAATACATAGTATACAGTATGACACAATTCTTATATTGGCCTTAGTCCAGGTTTAGGAAGTTTCTGTATAACAATTCATTAGGCCATTTAGGGAACTAGGATACTACTCATTACTAGTTTTCTAGATCGCGGTTTATCAATATATGTCATAATCGTAAAATATTAACTACCTTAATCAGTCTCTGTTTATAACTGCAAGATCTAGCTCTAGTTGACAAGCAGCTGTCTTCCTGATAGACACTTGCTTGTCAGCCCCCTCGGACCCGTGTACGCTTACACTAAGTTCACTAACCCTTTCTTTCTCAGCCACTTTATTTCGAATTCCCTCTAAAATGAGGTATAATGCAATAAACTGAATATCGATCCCGATCTTCTTTTATTTTTAAGAAAATAGTTTGCACAAGAACCAGATAAAAAGCCTATATATACCGATTTTTATAATATAGTACCAAAAAAATTGAGGTACATATTTTTGGTATTTTTTAACAGCTTTTGGAATGTTAAGACTAATGTTAAAGATATTAATTTATAAATCATTATCTTGCCTTAGGTTACCTAAAGACCACCACTTCAGTTTTTCAGAGGCCTGATTTTTATGCCTTTATGGTTATGCGTATGTATAAACTTGAAATTTCTATGTTGCATTGATTAAATTCAACTATTTCATCCAAATTTAGAAAGAACTTGAAATCAAAACTTTTCTTTGGTTAACTTGTTTGAGATTATTATTTAATTCTAAATTCTTTATATTATTAATCTCAACTTTGATAGCCAGTTCAGTGTACACGCAATTTCCAATAGCCCTTTTTACTAATATATCTCGCAATAATTATATACTGGAAATCTAAGATTTTTGTGTACTTTTTGGAGTTTGGTCAAAAAGAACTCAGAATTTTCAAATTTTGTGAATAATTAAGACTATATTTAGATTGAAATTGAGAAGTTGGCAAACAATTTTTTACAAAAATCTTAGAAATCAGTATTTGTACACCTAATCCTTTACTTCAACATTTTAAAAGCAAAAACATCATCATTTATACTTTTTTAAAATTTTATTACATTAGTATAACAGAACACTTCGTTATATTAGATTTGCACCAGATTTCTACAGGAATGTGTCATATAAAAAACAAATTTGTGTTTACAAGACAAAACAAAATGCATCTGATGATAACAAAAGCCTCCTAATTTTTTCATATTCTTGAGATGATTTCTTGTACAACATAAATACATATATTCAAATTATATATTCAAATTGCAATTTAATTTATCATCTGCTAGATAATTAGAAAATTTACTCAAAACAAATACAAAAAAGATCCATTTAACAATTTCTAAATGTACATGTAGGTTTTCATCAAGGCAATTTATAATCCTGACCTGTGTCTTCCATCTGTCCCTAAATCTGCCCAGTATAATGTGGAGATTCGTGTATTCACATCTAGTCTCAGATCTCTCATCATAAAGCAACAAGTTCCTTTAATACAAGTGTATGCAACAGCAGTATTTTAACACTTATACAAAACCAATCAAATTCCCTCAACCTTGATTATATACTGCCATTGAGGAAGTGACAGATGACTGTACATGACTGTTCTAGTTATTTATGGTAAAAATATTGATGGGAAGCTGTAAATGCTGACTTGGAATGACTACCAATTTAATGCTGTTAACAATACAATAACACAGTGAGCTTACATGTACCTATATTTAAAAACCGGTATCAGCAAACACAGTAAAACACACTTATACCTAAATGTCCATGATGGACGACTTTGCTTCATTATAAACCTCATTTGTTATATGCGTTGAGTTCATGATATATTTTAAGGCCACAAGGAATGAAAAATCACTTCCCTGTAAGCATCAATTCATTATAGGTATGTTCATTATAAGTATGTTTTACTGTAACATACAAGTTTCATTTGGCACACAGAGTGAAAATTTCTTCGAATTTTACATTCCTGATATAATATGTTATATTATCTCTGAATAAATGTTAAAGGGTATAATGCTGAACATACAATGGAGCTAAAATGTTATCAAACTTTCTTGTCATTTAAAACAGAATCCAAATTTAATTCGGTGGAAAGAGTTTGGCTTTTCTTGTTGCATCCTGGTAACAAATCAAGGCAACAGATCCAGATGGTCGAGTAGCTTCATATCTGAAAATTTAAAAAAAAAATCTTAAATCATATTAAATCATTTAACATTTAATCAAGTTGCTCTAAAAAAAAAAAAGAACTTCATATTATCTTTGACCTGAATAAAATCACTCATGCTGCTTTTTCTAAAATATTATGTTAATAAGTCAATCAACTGTATGGAAGGGAATTACCGCCAAAAGTCTATTTATCTTGCTTTTATTCTTATTCTGCTTACTTCTTTATTCTTTGTTATTATTGTAACTATATGTCACTTCATTGTTTTCATATTCGTCTTTATCATGTTTATCACATTTCACTTTGAACTTTTTTCATTCTTCATTTTGTCCTTACTTCTATGTTGCTTTATTCTTGTAAATTCGTTCTTCTTTCTTTTAAATTGATACAATTTCTTTAATAATCAATTATGATTATCTCTATTACAAATGTAAATTCAGTCACGCAAACCATGAAGCGCATTCAGCGAAGACGAATACAAGTAGTGTAAATTTAATGCGGCATTATAACGCTAGGTGGCAGGGTGTTCGCTGCGAGTGTTGGTAAAATTAGGTACGCAAACCCGGGCCGAGGTTATTCGAGATTTTTCAATTTTCTGCCTTAATACTTTATCAATCGAACCCAAATTTTCAAGTTATGTTAGTTATAGGTTTATTTGTATTCGCGGTAAAATTGCCCCGAAATGCTCAATATTTTAGATTTTATCAATGATATTTGATTTCCAAGTTGGTAAAATGGGAAGGTAGTATCAAACTGACATTTTTAGGTGTGTGTGTGAGGGTGTGTGTGTGTGTGTGAGGGTGTGTGTGTGTGTTTTGTTTATTTTTTTGACAAAAAGCTAATAAATTTATAAATTATTCTGATGTTAAACATTATATTTTAACTATTCATAAGCATTTCTTCTTTCAAATGTGCTTTTGTTGCTTTAAATAACACGTTTTAAGAAAATCTGGGTCATTAAAACCGGACAAATGATGGAAACTCCGAAATAATTGTGTATTTTCTGTCACCTGAAAAATATAACTCTATTCAAGTTATTTGTTGGATGATTGAATTTCAGTTTTATTGATATAAAAAATATTAAATATTTTGATAATTACTAGTATACCCTTATAAATTGAGTTGTTTTTCAGGACCCCTATATATTCTTCCACTGAACTCACATTTCTTTATTTCAGGATAATAATTGTTCATGCGCACTCGCGTGATTCTGGGGACCGGGGCTAGTCTGGTTTTGGCCATCCCATAATGCTCTGCAAAGTAGTGCGGAACGTCATGGGTAGGCGTGGCCAGAACCAGGCTAGACCGGGGCATACTAGAAACTTCCTCCGGTTTTATGAAAATCTGTATTAATTTTTTGTACAGAAATAGCACTTTACTTTTCAATAAAGAAATAAATATCTCTAGTAAGCACACAGTGTTTGACATCAGAATAACTCAGAAAATCATTTTGTCAATGTCTCGTTTGGCAAAAAATACGTAAAATGTCGGCTTGATATTGCCTACCCATATTAGCAAATTGGAAATCAAAAATCACCAAAAATAATCAAAAATATTGAGATTTTCAAAATATAAATACATGAATATAAATATTGGCAATTTTTACAGCGATTACAGATAAAACCTAGAGACGTAGCATTGTTTTTGAAAGGGGCAGCCAGAGAAAAAAAACACTTACCTTAAAATCTTGACAAGCCAAAAAAAAAAAAAAAAAAAAAGGAAAGAGGAAACTTTGTCAAACTCGAAAATTCTATTTGGGGGGAGGGGGGTCCAACTTCTTTCAGTACCAAATTTTACTCATACATCACCACGTACATGGCCCTTATTTGACTAGACTGCAACAAAAAGTGGGAGGGAGCAACCAGACTTTCATTGAACATTTTCAGTAGTTATGGCTAGAAAAATGTTTGGTGGCCAGCCCCTCCCCTCCCCCCCCTGCTACCGGTGTCATATAGTGAGACTTCCCCCATAGTGAGTCCCCTCCCCCCCGGAAGTCTGGTTATATAGTGAGACTTCCCCTCCGGGGGGGGGGGGGGGGGGGGGGGGGTGGGGGGGGTCAATGGCTATATAGTGAGACTTCTCCTTCCGTGTTTGGTTTGGATTTGATTTACATCGAAGATGTATATATTGCATATTAGGTTGTGATCTTATATATCAAACAAAAATAAAGATGTATAGTTTCAAACGAATCAATATAAAATGCGCATTAAATTTATCGTGCACAGCAGATCATTATATTGTTCAGAGACGATTCTTATCAAAAGAAAAAAGACATATAAATAATTAGTTTAACAGTGAAGAGGTCATTATCCGTAGAAACATGCAGTTTACCTATGTTTACCTGCATGTTTAAGATGTTTTAATTATAATTAAAAATCACTATTAAAATGCTTTAATTATTTATTCATATATTTATTCATTCATTCATATAGGACGGAGAACTTTTATCCGAACTCTGAAAACGTTAGACTAGTATAAAAACATTGTTTTACAATAAAAAAAGATATTCGGAAACTAAATTAAAGAGGGAAGTTTCGCTATGAGGGAGATAAGACTAACTATATAGTGAGAATTTCCCCCGGAAGACTGGCTATATAGTGAGACTTCCCCTGGAGAAGTCTCACTATATAGCTAGTCTTCCGGGGGAAGTCTTACTGTACCATCTAGCCAGCCTTCAGGGGGAACGATACGGGGTACATACCTGAACCTATAACATACATCATTAAATTTGGGTTCGATTGATAAAGTATTAAGGCAGAAAATTGAAAAATCACGAATAACCCCGGCCCGGGTTTGCGTACCTAATTTTACCAACACTCACAGCGAACACCCTGCCACCTAGCGTTATAATGCTGCATTAAATTCACAATACTTGTTTTCGTCTTCGCTGAATGCGCTTCATGGTTTGCGTGACTGAATCTACATTTGTAATAGAGATGATCATAATTATTTATTAAAGAAACTGTATCAATTTAAAAGAAAAAAGAACGAATTTACAAGAATAAAGCAACATAGAAGTAAGGACAAAATGAAGAATGAAAAAAGTTCAAATAAAATGTAATGAAGACGAATATGAAAACAATAAAGTGACATATAGTTACAATAATAACAAAGAATAAAGAAGTAGGTGGAATAAGAATAAAAGCAAGATAAATAGACTTTTGGCGGTAATCCCCTTCCATACAACTGCACTCTTTGTCTTACAAGACCTAAGAATTCTTTCATTCAAACACAGATAAGAATCAGAATGACCTAAATTTACTATGATAATAACTTCAAAATGACAAAAATGGTTCTAATGTTTCTGTCCTTGACCTACTTTTGTGCTGCCCTGACTAGCATGATATCTGCTGGTCCGAGCCTGTACTCCTGTCCCTCCACTGTAACAGTAGAGGTTCCCTCCTACAACACAAAATTACAGAACTAATGATGATGTTTAAATCACAGATAATTATTTTTGCTTTTTAATCCATCATTATTAGCATTCAATTTATTACATTTTGAATTTTAAGGAATCCATTGACTTTTCCATAAAGAGAGAGAATTGAATCATCCTGCAATTTTATTCATTTATATTCATTTTATCTTTGACCACAAAATTCCACAAAACACATAAGTGAAAATTACTAGAAAACAGAATAAACTGTGTATAAAGCTATAAAAATATTGTCTTACTATTTGCCAAATAAAGGTTTCTGCCTCTTCCACTTTTCCTGTGTTACTGCCTTTGCCATACAGATCAACCTGAAGTGTACCAGATAAGTGGAAAATAAATTGTAATTTATTTAAATGAAAGACCCTTTTCCATTTTCTTTTACGCTTAAGTGAGAAAATAAACCATTTAAGTTCATTTTACTTTCCCTCAAACCAATGGGGCAAAAAAAACTTCTAAATTTCATTTTAGTCTTACCTGAAACTGATTGTTGTCTCCAAACAAGTTGACTTTTCCCTTCTCTTCTAGTTCTTGACGCTTCTCATCAATAAATGTGTGTAAGTTGAATGGGTCTTGCAGTGATCTCTTGCTGTCTAGGACAATGGGTGGGTTCTCAGGTATGGTTCCTAAGTAATAATTCAAGATTAAACTAGGAAGCAGATAAGCAATTTATTCAATGTTTCAGAATATTTTCTTTACCTACATTTGGGTATTAATTAATGCAAATGTTATATTTACATCCACTGAATATTTTCTCCTTTATTTCTTATGAAACCTACTGTACTTCCCCTCATCAATCCATTAACCTCTAAACTCCTTAGAACTAGTTTTTTAAGCCAACTGTATGAGATTTCTTAAGCAGTGGGCTCTTCCATCAGTGAAATGTGTCATGACATCCACAGATCAATATACAATATTTTAAACCTATATCATGCAAATATATATATATAAACATAAAAAATACAAAGATATTTGTGAAACACTTACAACCCCCCCCACAATCCCCCCCCCCCCCCCAATAAATGGAATTTTTCTAAGCCCATGGAGCATAACTCTGTCAAAAATTAATCAATCGTACCCATAAGAAAACTTGACCTAGATATTCTTATGATAAATCTGTATACCAAATTTCATTTCAGTATGTGCAACCTCTGCGAAGAAAATAAACGGAAACTGTTGGTAAACCGACAGACAGACAGACCAACAGGCAGTAGCAAAGCAATATGCCCTCCCTTCTTTGAAGGGGGGCATAAAAATGTCTTTCTTTCTTTTTTAATGCAGGATTTATTGTTTCAACCACTGCAGTAAAATAACACATCCCCCGTAAGCGGGTTTTTGCATTTTTTCTTTTATGGCTGCCACCATCATTCCCTGCATTAACAAACAATGAAAGCATTTTATTGTTTAAAATAATCTGTTATTACTGACAACACAGCTTAATTTTATTGCACTGGGGAAAAAACATCAAATTCAAACTTCTGTTAAAATGCTCATGTAACTTAAGCAACAGATAGAGATATGGATAGAAGTGTTGATTCAAAATCATTTAAAAACTTGTGGATCAGAAACAGAAAGAATAAGCCAAGAAGAAATACAGTAGTTAATTGATCTCAAAGTCCTATAGTTTTTAAACTTAAGAACTGACCTGGAATAGGCTTTCCTGTCTTACACTGCTCTGATGCAAAGAATCTAAATGAAACAACATCATACAATTTAAACTGATGTTAGTAAAAACTGAATCCAGTCAAACCTGTATTTAGTGACCTATGAAGGGAAATTTTAATATGGTCACATATCGCAGGTAGTCTCTTAAAGCAGGGATTTATATTCTAGCATTTTTCAAAGCTCATGTTTAAATATTAAATAGTAATTGTTCCCTGTCCTTCGATCATCACAGTTTGAATGATTTTTGCTCTTCTTGATAAATAAAATATATTCAATAATTATTTGTTGGTACAAATTGTTTTTATTCCTTGTGTAAAGTATAAATTTAATTTTTAAAAGAAGTTTTTTTAAAAATCATGTTTCACATTTTTATGACAGTGTATGGATAAAAACTTCTCATGACAAGATTATGCTCCAAAAAGGGACAAAAAAAAGGGGGGGGGGAATAAAGCACAGGATAATTACCAAGAAAATGCTAGGATTTTTAAAACGAAAAACGTACACAAATTTTGTACACTTCTTGTCAAAACCACTTCAAAGTTTATCTATGGTTACTTTTCACGTTTCTTATTAGTCCCCTATCAGTGAAACTAGTGGGGACTATAGGTTTCCTCCTTGTCTTTCTGTCTGTCTGTCTGTCTGTCTGTCTGTCTATCTATCTGTCTGTCTGTCTGTCTGTCTGTCTGTCTGTCTGTCCCTCTGTGGGTCTGTCCTACACATTTTCTGCATTATTCTACACACTAGCACATATTGAGCTAATATTTGGTAATTGTGAGTCTACCTTGATGAGTTACAGATCAAGTTTGCATTTCATTCCGGATAGTTGATTTTTGATGGAATTACAGCCTTTTTCAATTTTTAAGGGGAATAAGACTACAATTGTTAGTGGGGGACTAGTATTGCTTATGCAATTCTCTCAGAATACTCTTTTAACAAGTTTCTATTTGAAATCAAATCAAACACTGTGAAATATTCCATAAATGAGTTTGTGTTTGCAAACATGTTTGATTAGGAGTGCCTTTAGATGAGGGAAACAAAATTCTGATTATGATTCCTACCTTTTGATTACGAGTCCTTCATTTGATGAATATTTCTATCTTTTAATGACCAGTCCTATCTTTTAACTGTCTTTTAATGACGAGTCCTACCTTAAGTTTGATTTATATTGGTGAGCCTTACATTTTAAGGATAATTCCTACCTTTAATGACGAGTCCTACCTTTAATTTATAAAGTGAGTCTTATATTTTACAGGTAGTTCCTACCTTTTGATTATGAGTCCTACCTTTGATTTATAGTAATGAACTGTACATTTTAAGGATTATAATTCCTAACTTTTGATACAGATCCTACTTTTATTTATAGTAGTTAGTTGTACATTTTAAGGATAATTCCTACCTTTTGTTTATGATTCCTACCTTTTGATTACAAGTCCTTTATTTGATGAATATACTGCTATCTTGATTTCTTAATATTTACATTTCCAAATATTTTTTCTTAAGATTCTTGGCAATTTGAAAGACTGTTCATTTTCTCATGAACTACCATGGATGAGCATGAATATCTCCATTGTTACGTCATAATACCTTACTTGACGTCAAAACTATAGTGCAAACTGTTTTGCTTTAAAAATGACAGTTGAATGGCTTAATTTGTGACAACTTGAAAAATAATGTAAATATAACAAATGAATTTAATTTTTGAGAATTCATGAGGTACATGAACTACAACGCTTCACGCTGGCATATTTATCATGAAGCGCTAACGCGCTTCATGAAATATGCCAGCATGAAGCATCGTAGTTCATGTCCTCATGAATCTTCAAAAATTAAATTCATTTCTTAAATGATGAGTTCTACCTATAGTAGTCTTACATTTTACAGATAGTTCCTACCTTTTGATTATGAGTCCTACCTTTTGATGATGGGTCCTAACTGTGACCCGAGGTCCTCACAGTGAAACCATTCCTCATACAATGATTTCAGGGTCTTTTCACCATTTTCTTCCATATAATATCTTAAAAAGACATAACAAAAAGAAATCTTATCCTCCCTGTCCATAAAATAAAATACATGTATCAAAGGGAGCTGTCATTGAAATTTAGAACCACAAACCATACGCATAGAAATTTTTGTCCCCATTTTATTTTATTTTTTGGCATTTTTAAACAGGTTGAATTCAACATATGCTATTATCTCTCTATGATAAAACTGTGCCTAGATCAATCTCAAACAAGCAAAATCGGTTGCAAGTGTGATAGAGCTAAATAAATAATATGGGACAAAAAGAGCCCTTTATACAGTAATTTAACCAAGTTTTTCATTTTTGGACAAGTATTAGAGGTTGCTAAAAATGTTGGATGGCATGATCTGACCTTAATCCATCTGATTCATTCTCTGCCCTTTCTCGCTCAATCACCAAACCTATTGTGTTTTCTTTTCTCTGAGGAGAATGGGCTATCCTGCCAGGAAGCAGAAATATCTACAAAAATAGCATTCCATCAGAGTCCTCTTTCTAAAGCTGTGATGATCAGCTCTTAGTGAAATCTTCTGTTAGTCAATAATTTTACAAAGTACAGTGTAATATGTGTCATGATACAGCTCTTCTTGGAAAAGTAATGATTCTGTCAGAGTAAAATATGGAAATTTTAATTAAAATTCAAAATTATAGTATCAATAATTATCACAAGGTTTCTGGGGAAAAAAAAGAGGGGATTGCTGGGGAGGGGTACCTCCTACCTTAAGCAGAATAATTTTTGTCATAAAGGAGAACCATTTTGATGGATTCCAGTGCATTCTGGGAGTGATTTTCAGATATTATATAAATAAGATCTAGCAGCACTTCTTTAAAACAATAAATAATAAATTCATATTTTATTTTCTAGAAGGGGGTCAACTGACCCCAATCACCCCTCCCCCTTCCCCCTTCTGACAGCCTTGAAAGTGATGTAGGAATGCTTTCTCATCAGCTAACAACATCCATGCTCTTCAACTAAGAGCAGGAAGCATGAAGAGAACATGCTTACCTCCCCTTCCTTGATTGGAACATCTCTGTGTTTTCCATGCTCTACAACTTTAAGACACATATCACCTTTCAGCATGTAGAAAAGCTAAAATAAAGATCACAAATTATACGAGAAATCTCTGAAAATACTCTGAAATAAAAAGTTTCAAAATATAATTTCTTATTGGATTATGAAATCAAATCCATTGTATGTCTTTCATTTTCATGTGTACATTCTATTAAAGATCAACTGATTATCCTGATTACAGGTATATAGACAGCTGTGTTTGATATGAGTACTAAAAGAATGAGTCCAAATATTCAATATATCATTCACATCTCTTCAAAAAGTAACCTTAACTTGTTACTTCCAATTATTTAAATCTTCTTCTCTGTTATTTAACTCACCTCCTCTCCTTCTTCTATGTGGTAATCTTTTCTTTGGTTTGGACCTCCGACAAAAAAGGACTTCACCTGCCCATCGTTATGCCTTTAAAACATAATATTAAATGCCAATACAATCTGAGAGGTGGTATATTAATTCATATTATTGTCTGACGTCATGGCGTCAGACAGTACTAGATTTAGCCAAGGCTTGTTGGTCAAGTCGTTCAATAGAATTTTTGTGATAGCTTGATCACGGAAACTTCATACTATCTTAACTATCAACTGAAGAGCATGAGGAGTAAAAGAAACATGCTTAACACCCAAACAAACCAAAGCATTAGAGCTGGTGTCATTATTATCACATTATACATTACAGGTTACAAAACATTTGGCCATTCTCGAATGCCACGTGATCATTCATGTCCTGCAAAACAGAAGGAATGAAGCTGGTCAGGTCAACACTTGTCCATTATCTTTATCAGATTAACTAATGGATGTTTATTTTCAATGCATACTAAGTCTCTCTACCTTAGGAACTTTTATAAAATAACTTGCAGACGTTTGATTTATTCGATCATGGTTAAAAAATATCACAGTGAAGGATAGATGTTGAATATTCTTTTGCTTAAATGCAAAGATGTTAGCTCATTTGTAACACGTTTTTTTTTTTATATAAAACATTTCTTAATTATCAAAATTATTCACCAATTGATGTTAAAATTTTTATGTGTTAAATTGTAGCTTTTTCATTCAAAAGCACTAGATATATTTTTGTATCCCTGAACAGACCCGTTGGAAGAAATTTCAGAAATTTTCAGTTTAGGGTGGACACTGTCGAGGAAAAATTCCTTATAGAGCATAAAAAATGTCATCGGAAGTTAATATTTACATGATTTAGGGGACACAAGCATAAAATTAATAGCTATGTATAAATCGGCAAAATTATTGGGGGCACGGTCCCCAACATACCCCCCCCCCCTTTCGGTTCTTAAGTCCATGAAAAAAGAAATGACAAGTAATATAGTGTATATAGAATAAATTCATGTCCAAGTTTTATTTTAAGTTGATGCCACTGAATTGAACTTTTCTTGTTTCTTAGCAAAAGAATTCATTTCATTACTCAGAGTCATGTTGTTAACACTGGGTTTAGCTTTTCTTAATTCTTTGCGCAAAAATGAATTTGCTCAAGTCAGACAAGCTTTTTAGGAAAGCTAATACTTGTTATGCTTCCTATCAGTTTGTCTCTGTATAATCAATACCCAATTATTTTCGCATAGTATACTAAGAATTCATATCACTGAGGCATGCTTTGCTGAAATAATGCATGACTAATTTTCTTAGAGAAAATTTATCAGCACCCACGCAGGGATCGAACATACAAACCCTGGAATGTCAGTAGAACATGCTACTGATTATGCCATATGAACTTTTAATTATAGAATGTATTTTTTAATAATGGTATTGCATAGTTTCATACATTTGACACAAAATAAAAAATAAATAAATAAACAGAATTCAAAGAAGTTAATTCAGAGAATTTGTGCCCCCCCCCCCTTTTAAGGGAAAAAAAGAGGGTGGAAGAACTAAAAAATCATGCAGATTGAAAAAGAAAAGAAGGTCAACCTTCACCTTACAGTTTTGGCCTTAAAGTCAATAAGGGCATTTTTTAAGTTAAAGAAATTCATGACCTTAAGTTTCAAAATCTAACAGAGACTTACAATATCACCTGAATGTATGTACGCAATATATAAATTATTGACCTCAGTCTTTGACCCTTTGACCTCAAATTCAATAGGAGTCTTTTTTTAAGTCATATTGACTAAATGTATAAAATCTAATTGCAAAACCTCAAAAAGAACTAGAGTTATCACTAAGAATCCAGTTTATGCAAGATATGAATTTCTTACAATGACTTTTTGATCTTAAAGTCAAAAGGGATCTTCTTTCAGTCAATGGGAATTACGATATAAAATTTAACAGAAAAAGCTCTTGGAAAACTTAAGTAATCATCTGGAAACCCTTTTTTGGATTGAAGGAATTTCTGACTTTAACTTTCAACTTTGGACCTAAAAATCAAAAGGAGATTCCTTTAAGTCACTAGGAGTTATGATATACCTGTACAACTTCATTTAAAAAGTGCAAAGAGAACTAAAATTATAATCTGGAAACCACTTTTTGCAATATATGATTTTACTACCTTTAATTTTGCCTTTTGACCTCAAAACAGTATGGGTCTTGTATGGGCCATAGGGAGTTTTCACTGGAAAATCTAAATCTCAAAGGCTTCTTAAGAAATAGTCCAGAAATTTTTAGGCCATAGGGAGTTGTGATTTAATTGTGAAAAGCTCAAAGAAAATTAGAGTTATCATCTGGAAACTATTATTAGCAATAAATGAATATGTATGACCTTGACTTTTGACCTTTTGACCTCCAAATGTATAGGGGTCTTTTTCAGGCCATAAAGAGTTGGGACATAAATTTCATCGCAAAAGCTCAAAGTCTTTTAAAATATCCTCCAGAAATGAAAATGTTTCACACAGACAGAATTCTGAATTTATTATTGACCTTTTGACATCAAAATCAAGAGGGATCTTCTTTAGGCCATAGGAAGTTGTGATATAAAATCCCATTGCAAAAGTTCAAAGGCTTTTTGAGATATTGTTCGGACAATAAAATGTTTCACAAAGACAGAATGCATGAATTTCTTACCCTGACCTTTGACCTCAAAATCAATAGGGGTCTTTTTTAAGACATTGAAAGTTATGATACAAAATTTATTTGAAAAAGCTCATAGAAAAATAAAGTTATCACCTGGAAACCTTTCTTTTTTTTTGCAATGTATGAATTTCTGAGCTTGACCTTTAATGTTTTGATCTCAAAATCGATAGATGTCTTCTTTAGGTCATAGGAAGTTGTAATATAAAATTTCATTGCAAAAACTCAATGGCTTTTTGAGATATTGTCTGGAAACAAAAGTGTTACACACAGACAGAATGTATGAATTTCTGAACTTGACCTTTGACCTTTTGTCCTCAAAATCAATAGTGATCTTCTCTAGCCCATAGGGAGTTGTGATGTAGAATTTTATGAAATATCGTTCAGAAACAAAAGTGTTATACACAGACAGAATAACAGAGGAATGGACACACCCAAATGAATATACCCCACTTTCAGTGAAAGTGGGGGAGAAAAATTTTATCAAATTTTTGCACTTATAAATTACACATTGTTACATTAACTAGTTCCAAGGAGTCATGAAAATGCTTTTTGCCCCCCCCCCCCCCCCCCATAAAAGCTGAAAGGTCAAGGTTGACTTTTTTCCCTTTCTCAATAATTATGCATCTTCAGTTCTTCCACCTTCTTTTTTTTCCTTCAACAAGTTCTCTGAATTAACTTCATTATTGTGCTTGAATAAAGAATGCACAAGAAAATTATCAATGAAATTTGATGTCTGCAAACAGGTTTGGGGGATTTAATTTAACAACAGTCACCATAATGATAACAATAGAATTTTGTTTTGCATTTATTATGCCTAAACAATTGTGACAAGTCATGGTTTACACAGAGTGCACTCGCCTCTTGCTTGTGCACTATGTGTCAAACCCTGACTGCTACTTAAGCATGGTACATGGAAAGTGCAACACTTTGAATTATTATTTTTTGAAAGACGTAGTCTTATAACTGCAATGGTGTGTGCAAACAAATTGAGTAACACACATTAGCACATTATGAAAATTTGCTTGCACACACTGTTGCAGTTATGAGACTAATTCAAGGCTTAAATTTACATTTTTTAGCTCATTGCCTTATTTGCAATAATCAGGGATAGACATTAACTTTCAGATTTACTTGCCCTTCGGGCAAGTGATCTCAAACTTTGACTTGTCCGAATGCAAAACTTGGTTGCCCAAATTAGGAAAGAATTTAAGAAGAAAATAATTTATTACTGTAAACGTTATGATAAGAAAAAATGTTACTAAATACAATACTGTCAATTTGGCAAGTTGAGCTACCTGAAAAAATTGCGATGCTGCATTTGTACATAAATGTATACCTTTGTACTTGTAAATTTAACATGTTAGCACACACTGACATGCAGCAATAACCCTCCATTTCCTTTTAATAAAGTTCATTAAAAATTATTTTTGGTAGGATCCTTTTGCGAATCGTGATTTTCAGAGATAACCGTGAAGCAACGCTAAAGGAAGATAGTTGCTACGAAACATACATCTTATCTTGATCACGATACATCCTGTTACATTGTACTTATATTTTGTGCGTGAATAAATAATCTAATTTCCTAATAAGAAGTTAACAAAATTTTGTTAGACGTAGAGTGTATTTACTACGAAAGAAAATAAGGAACCTGATTTTTAAATGAACGGTATATATACAGAAACACTAGCAAGGGATTCCGAATGCAAAAACATTGTCAGTCAGGTACGTTGCAGAAATAAAGTGTTCAATTTATGGTTTTATTTATAAATTAATGTAAACTAAATAAATATGTACATATGAATGAAAAAAAATCACTTGCCCTATCGGTCAAGTACGTTGACAATTTCACTTGCCCAAACTGATGATTTACTTGTCCCGGGCAATCGGACAACCGTTAATGTTGATCCCTGAATAATATTTCAAAATTCCTGTATTATCCTTCGGATAAGTTACAATCAATGGAAGAGCCATTCCAACAGCTACTACCTTACAATTGTCAATATGAGAGTGAATTTTAATTTTCTCTTATGATGTTGCATTTGCACAGTGTTCAGTGTCTGTGACATCAAAATAAAATTCATAACTTAACCTTTTGATGTCCCCATCTGTGTTATGTTGTATATTTTATAAGTAAAATACAGTCAAACCTCATTATCTCGAACTCAACGGGACCGAAAAAATACTTTGAGATAACCGAGGATTCGAGATATCTAGACATCTAGATCTATATAACGAGATATCTAGAGTAAAATACTTGTCAGTGAGGAATAAGCAGTTGGGACTTCAAAATGACTTCGACATATCCATGGCATTCGAGATATCCGTGTTTGAGATACCGAAATTCAACTGTACGTGTGGAATTTATTATTATAATACAAACACTGTTTAAGGATATCTACACGTCATTGATAACTTTATTTATAAAGGAGTGCAGTAAACATGTCAGCTTTTATTCACACCGTTTTCCCAAGGCCAGTGGCATGGCAAATGATATCTCATCACTACTGCAATGCACCACCAACTTAAAAGGTATTCAAAATACAATTAAACTTCGGTATCTCAAACTCTGATATCTCAGATATCATCATGGATTTTTTGAAGTGATTTGAAAGTCTCACAAATATTTTCTTACTGACTATTCTAACCTCAATACTTCAAACCTTCAAAAATCTCGTAGTTTAGTAGGTATCCAAAATATGTTATTACAACTATACATATCTGAACATGAAATAAAATTATTGGAATTTTTCATTCCCAGTTGGGTTCTTCTTATTGGAAAAGGTTTCCCATGTATGAAAAAAGGTCCAAAGAGGGTATGAAAAACATACAAGGTGCTATGTTTAGCTCATTTTCAAAAATTTGGCATGGGGATACATCCCAAATTACCCCTGTGAAGTGGAATATATATATGTTTTACCCCATGAAAACAGATTTTAGCATTTAGGTCAGCCTTGCTCAGAAATATTGAATAGGGGATACTCTAGGACTGTTGTTTACAGTTGAATAACTAAGTTTATCAATTGTAATATTTTAAGAGCCTAAATTATAGTTAATGACATTAATCTATATTTTACATCTCTAAACCATACTTTATGCCTCAATCTACTTTCCACAAGTGTAAACTATACTTAACAGAGAAAACAATTATTTGCAAATGTAAAACATGGTTGATCTGATAAACGTTTCACAAGTAGTAAACTCATCGTCGCAAACCACGGTTTTGAGTCCACAAGCTACCTCAATGATGGTAGAGAGAATCGATGTGAGTCACCCGTGGGTTACCGACGATGTAGTAAACTATGGTTAACGGTTTTAAAAAAAACTACATGTATAGTTTAGGGAAACATAGTTCAGTGTTTTTCCTTTATTTCAAAGTAAAGGGTTAGAAATCAATTGTAACAGCCTTTGGGTTGAGGTTTATGACAAATCTCTGTGGACCTAATTATAACAATTATATTTTGATTTTTTTTTATTTCAAAGCAGCATTTTTTATCAATTGAAATGGTCAAATTGGCTGGTAGCCAGTTCTTAGGGAAAACACTGTAGTTTATCTAATAAATATAGTTTCACAATTATTGAATCATTATAAATATCAACTCTTAATTATGGTTAACGAATGCTAATTATATGTACAAATAATAATTTTTATTTATCAAACAATCATTATAAACATTTATTCACAGGTAGTTAAACTTGGATTCGATTTGTAAACTATGTTTTACATCTGTTAAATATAGGTTTACAGATGAAAACTATAGTTAACAAGTTGTTAACTAGCGGTTAACATGTAAACTTAAATTAGTATATGATTAATAAACCTATAGTTATTCTATGATTAGCTCACATATTTGCCATACACATTTGCACTGTTTTGTTTAGCCACTCACAATATGAATCAGCCTGACGCTAACCTGAGGTACAGAGATTCAGGTACACTTTTGAAGAACTATGACATTCACCAAGATAATGAGATCTTATTATCACAATTTGACTAATTACGGATGATCTTGAAAGATTATATATACTATATACATGTAGCTCAATCATTAATCAGGTCTAGGCAGCCTCTGTTTTTGGAGGATAGATTTTATCCTCTGAAAACAGAGGATAGCAGTCTTGCCACCTACCGGAATTTTCAAAACAAAGGGCAGTTAACTCTTAACCAAACAATTAACAGCAACTCTTGCATTTATGAACCGTACGCTGAATTCGAAATCAAAACAAATAAAAGGTACAATTTAATATGATGATGGATAATTCCAGATATTAATCAATATAACTATATTTTTGTAATTGCCATCAATCAGTTATTCCATATACAGCTTGGAACATAAATTATATTGCACTTACCTGGCAGTGCCTGTGACTGCGGTTAATTAAACCCACTCTGATTTTCCAGTACCGTAATTATGTGATAAGCAGTTTAGAACTTTTGATAAACAAAATTGAAAAAAAAAGAAGTTTAATAATTCATTATTTCTTTCATTTAATAATTATTAAGCACATCACTTTGTAATATTTTGTTTATGTATACACATGGCTGTATGAATATATGTTAATTTCTTAGTAAATGTGTTAAATTATTTATTTTATTTATTAATGCTATTAAAATTATCTATTCACGTTCATAATTATTTATTCAATCCATTTATAGTTTTATTTGCTTTAATTATAAGGCAGAGTATATTCTGCGTTTTAAATACGCTTAAAATGTGTTTCTTTTTGTATTTCCCTTTGTTCTCCTTTTTTGAATTAAAAGAAAACATGAAAGAAATATTAAAGTCCTTTTTTTATTTGTCTAAATAGGGAAAAATCATAATATAATACTGAAATATTCAGTAATAATGGAGCGCAAAAAGTGCCAACTTTGAAAATAAATTGCAAAATATCTAGACATAGAATCTCAAATCGCCACATACAATCGATAGTTTAATGTTTGAACTTTCATTTACATGTACCCTGGTGCTTGCACTTTTTGATTAAAGGTAGGCACGAGGTGTTTGAAAATTACCTGTGTTATCCTCTGAAATCGGAGGATAAACTATCCCACAATGCAATGCGGTTTCCATATATGGTAAAAATTTTGGCAGCCATATTGAATCTAGCTATCCTCCAAAAACGGAGGCCGCCCAGACCTGTTAATCTCTAGCTGCTACACACACAAAAAAATGTCAAACTATCATAAAAATTTTGAACTTCTTTTGTGTAAAAGAGTTTATCAAATCAATGCCAATGGTTTTGAGGAATTCACTCACATCATTTTGTTGCAGACAGGTGGTAAGAAGAACTTCTGATTTTCCTCCAACCATTTTTCTCTGTTGTAGACCACAGGTTTACTTACATCTGCCATCTTTCCCAGGTTGTTCTGATGACATTAGACACTGAAAAGAGGGACGCATATTAGATGTATTTCCATGCGTAAACTATTTTTAGAAGTATATTGGAATATTGACCCCAATGGTTAATTAGGCCTAGCTCTAGTTCCGAGAGAATTTTATCAAGATACAGACAATGCCACACTATGTTATTTTATAAGAAGAGTAATTAAAATACAAGGTTCTTACCTAACTGGGCTAATATTATACTTTCAGTTGGGCATAACAACAATAACCCTTCTTTCGGAATGGCCAATGAAATGGCTACGATTTGACACACCTATTGTAATGTAAGTTTACATTTGGCGGATCCATACAACTTCACGAGGCGCCGATTTAACTGTTTAATATTTAAGGTATTTTCTTGATATCAAAAAATATTTTTTTTATATTGATAATTCGGTTCCTTTCCTGATTTCAAAATAATAATAATAATTCTTGATATCAATAATAGATTTTTGGATATCAGAAAATTATTTTCTGATATCAAAAATCTGAATTTCTTGATATGAGAAATTAATGTTGATTTTTTTTCCGATATCAATAAATCGAAAAATCAATTTCTCATATCGAGAAAATCGAATGCTTCATAATTAAAAAAAAAAAATGATTTTTTGATATAAAATAAAATGATTATATCAATAAATCGAAAAATCAATTTCTCATATCGAGAAAATCGAATGCTTCATAATTAAAAAAAAATGATTTTTTGATATAAAATAAAATGATTTTTGATATTAAAAAAAAAGAACTTTGAATATTTTGACATTAAGAATTCCAAGTTATTTTTTGATATCAAGAATTCAAAGTTATTTTTTGTATCAAAAAATCATTCTTTTAATGATTAAATATTCGATTGTTTGATATCAGTATATTATTTCAAGTATCTGAAGAAAATTGGAAATATAACATCAATGTACCCACTGAATCACTCTTCACTGTGTAAGTTGTCTGCAATCCGTTATAACATATGCTGTATGTCGGCCCCACATACAGCCCCAGAGGCAATTTCAGTGGAAGGGGGGGGGGGCTAATCAAACATTTTTATATGTGTTGCAACCACTATTGACATGAAATTCACTATTAAAATCATTATTTCAATATTGGTTGAGAATGCATTTCAATAAACAAAACCAGATTGTATCCACTATTGAAATAACATTCACATTGCATTTCAAAGCCAAAACAACGATGCAACCACATTACCAATAAAGAAGTAAAACCAACGTTTCTACTCGTTAAGACAATGAAAACAACACTTCAGGAGAATTTAATATAGGCTTTATTACAAAAGTGGGTGTTATTACATTTTTATATATATATATATATATATATATATATATATATATATATATATATATATATATATATATATATATATATATATATATATATATATATTAGGGATGGCAATCGATTACAGAATTGCTAATCGGTTAACCGCAAGACGTTCCGACCGATTAACCGGTTAATCGTATCAAAATACACATTTTCTTGACTTTTTTTTCAAGTAGCTCTACTCATAGTAAGATGTTAGAAACAATCTGTTTATCTTGATCAGGACACTACATATACATATACATGTATTTTATTTCAATTGCAATAGATAGGAAAAAAATTACGAAAACCATGAAACATGCCTGAGAAATCAGACGTTGATAATTTTTTAGAGCAGATGTCACACATTCTGCATTGTCGCCATAATCAAAACTAAGTCTGAACTTTCACTTAATGTACAATGTTTGTCTAATAATATAATTTGAAAAATAACTGCAAAAGATAGACATAATGATTCACAGTGCTCAACGGTGATTTATTTAATATCATTAAAGAATTACAGGACAGTCGGGGTAACACGTTGTTTGTACAGTAATCAACACTTCACAAACTGACCAATTACCCCGCGATCTCAATCAGGAGAACAATAATTACCTCCAAATCAGCTTAAATAGATTTGTGAAAACGCTAAATTATCAAACGTGTATGTAGAAGTTTCATTTTTAAAAATGATTTGTAAGAAAATTGCGTTCAAATTTACATATATTTTACTTTTTTCCGACTAACCGATTACAGATTTTCTAACCGATTACCATCGTTCCGACCGAGTAATCGGTTAACCGGTTGCAAATTGCCATCCCTAATATATATATATATATATATATATATATATATATAAAGCACAAAGAAATTCACTTTTACAAGGATACCCACTTCCGCCCCAGCCCGGGGTTGAACTCTCGACCTACGGAATCTGTCTCCTAGCAGTACAGGAACAGCGCGCTAAACCGCTCGGCTATCTAGGCAAGTCTAAAAACTTGCTTTCGATGCCGATGGAATTCTCGCGGCGCTGCCCTGCACTATATATATATATATATATATATATATATATATATATATATATATATATATATATATATATATATATATATATATATATATATATATATAGTGCGATTTATATCAAAATTTGGTGAAACATTGTAACCACTATTAAAATAACACTTACTGCATGTACTGAATAAAAAATGTTTTTGTAATTTTTCTGGATGAATGATCTCCTATTACATTCATATGAGATAATAAATCTGTTGAAGATTATGATAATCACAACAAATCAGTGTACATTGATTCTCATTCATCAACTAAATTTATATATGTATATTGTGTAAACAATAGGGTAATTTTATTTACATCAATCATTGTTGAAAATATAAAAATAGATTATATTTATTTCAATAATGGATATTGTATGATTCAATAGTGGTTTATTGAAATAATGACCACTGTTGAAATAATTATTTCAACAAGCATTCTGAGAGTATTGCACTAGCAATACTAGTCCCCTACCGGCAAGTGTAATCTGGTTCCCGTTAAAAATTGAAAATGCCATAATTCCTTCAAAAATCAATGAAGCGGAACGAAATGCAAACTTGATCTGTATCTCATCAAGATACACTCACATACCAAAAATCAGCTCAATATCTGCAAGCGTTTAGGGAAAAAGTGCGGAAAACCAAGTGGGACAGACTGACAGACAGAGGGACAGACAGACAGACGGACAGACAGACAGACAGACAGACGGACGGACAGACTCAGAGGAAACCTATAGTCCCCTCCGGTTTCACCGGTAGGGGACTAATAATGATTGTTATTTCAATAGTAGATGCTCCCACTGTATAAACCGAGGTCCCGTGTCGCAGTATAGGTGCTGACACGATAAAGAATTGCCGTAAGTGTCGAGCATAGGACAAAATTTGCAGCTCTCCACCGGCAAGTGGTGGCGTCTCCATATGAGTGAAAAATTCTCGAGAGGTACGTTAAACAACATACAAACAAAAACAAAACAATAGTAGATGCAATGTAGTCTTGTTTTTTAAATGCATTGAATTTCTCAACCACTACTGAAATCGTTATTTCAATAGTCTGCGCTATTTCAATAATGTTGCAATGAAGTGTTGTTTTTGAAATGAATTTTCCACTATTGAAATAGTTACTTTAATATAGTCGTTATTTCAATAGTGGTTACAAATTTTTGTGTTGTTTCTGAAGTGCACTCTTAACCACTATTGAAATTATTTCAACATTGGTCGTTATTTCAATAGTGGTTGTAACACACCTGGCCCCAGGATCATGAAACAGACTTAGACTTAAGTCAAATTTTTAATCGCCTGTAAAATGTTTATCAATTTTTGAATTAATCTCAAAATTTGCAAATAACAACACTTTTGTGAATCAATATTAAAACATATTTTAATTTTGATTTGCTTGACTTCCACAACATTCAAGTGTAATATAAAAATGTTGACGTAAGGTTAAGATGTTTCATGATCCAGGGACCTGTTTTCACCAGAATACAGTCAGGACCAACATCATATTGAGGACCACCAGCCAACTATTTCGACCCAGGAGACAGGAAAAGACTACGTGACAACTCAATAGTTAACCAAGAGAACCTTCCAGACGATACGAAGGAGTAAATTAAGTGATTACAAATGATAAGCAGTGAATGGGAGAAGTTTGAAGAGGACATGAACATACTTCTTGAAATGTAAGACCAGAGTATGCGCGGATCAAGAGGAAGGGGGTCGGTGGGGGGAGGGATCCGGACCCCCTGAAATTTTTAATAGTTATTAAATTTTTACGTAAAATAACGAAAAAAATAACCTTGCCCCCCGGAAACACGGATCCCTCTTAAAATGGAAAGGAGAGTCATGTATCTGAAGAAGATTGACTGAAGAAACTGTGAACATCACACACACACACACACACACACAAAATAGTTTTTTCGGGTTAATATTTGAGCAAGTTGTTTACTTTTTTGTTTTATCAACAACTTCTAAGTCTGACATTTGTTAGAGTTGATGTGGAACCACCTCCACCCGCCACCTCCACCCCATTCCCGGAAAAAAATCCTAGATGCGCACCTGTAGTGAAGAAGAAATTAGAAAGCATTTAAAGAATGATATACATCATAGCGCAGGAAAGATTCGGAGTGGAAGTGAAACAACAAGAGAGAAGAGTTCTCCATCCAAATAGAAATAAAAATCCGAACACTTGCAAATAGATACAGGCGAAGCAGAAATGAATAAAGAGATGGGTTTAGTCAACTCAGAAATGACCTCAGGAAGAAACCAAAGGAACTAAGGAGAATTCGGAACACAAGATATCAGCTTTCATCAGGAATCCATACAACTTCGCGCCAAGTGTGCTTGAGGGGAAGGGATTTGGAAAGTTTAAAAACATAGGAGGTTGAAGCATACTTAAAAGAAAGACACTCGGATGAGACCATAGAGGAACCACTTGGTGAACATGACAGAATAAAGAGGCTGTAGCATAACCACAAAAACCTCTATAGACATCAATTAAAGAAACACAGAAATAAGTTAGAGAAAATGGTGGGAAAAGCACGGGTTGGATCAGCTCCAGGACCAAATGGTGTGACACACAAGGTCATCAAGAAGTGTTCCAAACTTCTGAATAGGCTATGGAGACTAAAGAAAGACATTCGGAGGAAAGGACACATACCACCGTACTGGCAAGTAGCAGAACGCTGCTTTGTATCAAAGGAGGATAGCTCAGCAGAGATCAAACAGGACTATATGACGTGGAAGGCAAGATTTTCTCTGCAGTACTTGCGAGAATGATGATGTCCTATATAGTGGAAAACGGATACTTGGATATATCAGTGCAGAAAGGGGGCATACCAGGGTTCCCAGGATGCCCAGATCACACCAGTGGCATCTCATAACTGATCAAGGAAGTAAAAAAAGAGACTAAAGGGGACCTCACAGTTGTCATGGTTGGATTTGGCGAACGCCTATGGTTCAGTTCCTCATAAACCCATTGAACAGCTCTGCAGCATTACCATATACCAGAAAAAATTGCTACAATCTTGAAAGATTACCTTGAGAAATCATCTCAGATTCAGAGTGAGAGACTACACCAACATCGTGGCAGTGACTCGAGAAAGGCATAGTAACAGGATGTACTAAATCTGTAGCTCTGAATGAATCTTTTGATAAAGGGAGGGAAGAAGAGAAACAGAGGACCAAAGACCAAAGCAGACATCTGGCAGTTACCGAGCAAAGAATACAATACGATTTAACCATCACCACGACAACACATTTGCAGGCAAAATGGGACTGAGAGCCATGGAGGAAACAGCTATATGGACCGAATGAAGTTCAAGCAAGCAAAAATTAAAATGTCTGGTGGTAAAGAAAGGATAGATTACCCAAATATTCATGAAGAAAATCCATGGCGAACAGATATCATCCAATCAAATGCCTAGGTATGATGATACATTGAAGGACGTCAAGAATAGCAGACGGCTAGAACAGGAGACAACAGAGTTATTAGTTAACATTGACAAGACAGGCTTGCCTGGAAAATGCAATGGATATTTGACTATGGGCACCTATCAGACTGTTTTGCAACAATTTGATGGCATTGAGAGGAAAGCCAGTCGATATCTCCGCCAATAGATGGGGGTACCGCAGGGAAACCGGACTAGATATAAAACCGAAGAGAGAGACTGTGTGTTTGTGTTGACATAGAGTGTTATATGTATCCTGTTAAGAGCGGTGAATGATGTACTGCCAACACCAACAAATGAGGTTCTGGAGAATGACAGAAGATCCAATGCGCCATCTATGCCAGAAACCCACCAACCTTCAACATATATTGTCATCTTGACAGGTTGCCCTTACCCAGTGGAGGTATAGGTGGAAGTATGACGTGCTTAGAGCATTCGCCCACATACAAGAGAGAGAGAGAGAGAGAATTGAATCAGCTACGCTTCATCAATTGCGTCAGAGGTGGGGAGCAAACGGTGGGGAAGCCCACATAATGCTGAGATGGCAAACTGAGCATGGCTAGAGACTAGGAGCTGCGAGTCGACAATTATTCCCATCCATAGTAGAGATCACCCAGCGACCAGACATCATACTAATTTCTAAAAGTATGAAGAAACTGGTGGTGAATGAGCTGTAAGTACCATGGGAGACTCGATGTCAGGAGGTCCATGAACGTAAACATGCAAATTAAAGTATGGCAATCTAGTGACTAAACGCAGGAAAACAGGATGGAAGACGCGGAACTTTCCGCTCGAAATGGGGGCACATGGTTTCCCAGTAGCGTTCATGTTGGAGGATGATGACATTGCTAAGAATGAATGGAAGGACGAGGAAGAGGGCTGTTAGCACCATGGTAGTGGCAACCGAGAGGCTGGTTGTGGATGTGAAGAGAGGACATAAGCTGGAAGCCTGGCCGTGGGGGATGGAAGACTGATCACCTTCTGCTGTCCCACCATCCCAGAACGTTCCGCGATAGGGGATTTAAAACGTTTAGAAAGGAACGGACCTGGCTGATGACTCGACGGTCTAGCAGCAAAGACATACAAAGCTGTTTTAGGTAAAACTTGTTTAATCCGGCCTCGACTGGTTCCAAAGAAATTGGCCGGATTAGACAACATTCCGGATAAAGCAACATTTTAAACAATTGAAATTACTGAAAAGGATATTAGGTTCACATCGTATTAGGCAAGATTTTGGTATACACAACATCTGGATTAGACAAGTTTCACTGTAATTACTGTTATCGTAGAATACATTGACAGTTTTCTTGAATTACAGTATATGCATTTTTTGTGTGTGAAGACTCCATAACCCCAAGATGTGTCTTATCAGTCATATGCTATAAGTGTAATTTTGATGTATACAAATCCTAGGGTAGATCCAGGATTTTTTTTCTAAGGGATTGGGTGTCCGTTCCCACTCAAAAGAGCGAAGAATATGGGGGAAGGGAGTGGTCACTTCTCATGGGAAACAAACTGGGTTGGGTGGGTGGGTGGGGTCCAAAGTTTTGTTTGTCACATTACAATATATATTTAATAAAATCCTGTATTCGATCCTTGCAATAAATAAGAATTTCCGTTTTCTGTCCGATCTTTGAATTGTCTAAAAGATCTTTAATTTGATTTAAATGTTTGATTAGACATCTTTGATTATCATTTTGATAAGCATTTAATCGTTCATTGTAAGTAATATTTAAAGAACAGATAATCAATCCATTTATTGTAATTGTAAAACACATAAAATTTCTGACAGAGGGCTCAACAGAATATTGAATAGTGATGCTTGTGTTTATTTTTTTCTTTAAAAAAGATTAAAAATAAGAAAAATAAAAAAATGAAACATCTACTGTATAACTATTTGGTATTTACGAAAGCCCATTGAGCTCATTTTCGTAGATAAAAAAAATATATTTTTCGCGTTATAACGCGAAACTTTCGCGTTATAACGCGAAACTTTCGCGAATAAACGCGAAACTTTCGCGTTATAACGCGTTACTTTCGCGTTATAACGCGAAATTATACATATATAGTCATGTTACTCAGGAACCTGTGTTCTTGACTGACAGATAAAAAACATGAACGCAGAGGGGGACTTCTATGAATTTATAAATGACATTTCTTCAGAAGATGTAAAAGAGAATTGATGCGAGAAATTGATAGATTAGTGTTGATTTTGCATTTAATCTCAAAACCCTACTAATTAATTAAATGAATATTTCTTTAAAGATTTTCTTGTTTTTCACTTGTTGAATCCAAGAAATTCTGTAGACTAATTTTTTTTCTCAGGAAGATCTCCACTCGTTGCTTTCTTTGAATAAATTGTCAATGTTTTAGTAAGTAATGGTATGACCAAATGGTGCAACCTTAAAATACAATGTTGTATTTCTTCAGTGAGTCTATCGGAGATGAAATATTTGATACGAATATTTATCATCCAATTTTCACATTAGGTTACTCATGTGATGTGACACAATTGTTCCGTGAAATACAAATTTACCTCATTGTTGTCAATTTTCTGAGATCTTTTATTTTAAATTCTACATAGAATGTTCAATCTAATTAAAATTAGACTTGTATTTTCGCTCCTCTACTATACGCTTCAACACTTGTATTGAACAGCATTGAGAAAGACAAAATGTGACGGCAAAAAAGATTTAGAAAGAGGAAAGACACATTCAATGGCGAGAAAACATAAAATTTCAGCTCGTAATAATCCAAGTTCAAAATAGTCTTTCGTTTTTCACTGAAATGAATAAACTAGATCATTAAAAAGTAAAACAAACTGTAGACTTATGCAAATGTCTCTGTTTTACAGGGAAAGTTTCGCGTTATAACGCGAAAGTTTCGCGTTTATTCGCGAAAGTTACGCGTTTATTCGCGAAAGTTTCGCGTTTATTCGCAAAAGTTACGCGTTTATTCGCGAAAGTTACGCGTTATAACACGAAAGTTTCGCGTTTATTCGCGAAAGTTTCGCGTTATAACGCGAAAAATATACTTTTTTTATCTACGAAAATGAGCTCAATGGGCTTTCGTAGGTATTCCTTTAATCTCAAATAATTTCATTTTATGCAGTATCCACGTTTGATCATAAGCGCAATGTTGGAGTATTGAAGGATTCAAAAGATATTAAAGGTATATATGTACCATTAAACACCTATCTGGCACAATACCAGTGTAAATCAAAATTCAGTCGTCTGTATATAATTCTGACTTTGGCAGGTACCCTGAGGTTTGCCTTCAAATCTAGTTCTCCAAGCATTGTTCTTTCAAGTTAATCATATTACCAGTATTTAAATGACAAGAATTCATTCCGCGTTTGTTGGTTCATGTAAAAAAAAAATATGTCATTAAAATCTTTAATCACCCAATTAAAATTCAATCCGATGCTCCGAGGTGAACGGTTTTTGTTTATGTTTTGCAAAGTTGCGGACGAGAATGGTTGTACTAAGGAATGGATATTAACTACAGCCACACCCCGTAAGTTCTTCCTTTTGATCACTTTCAATGTAAAAATGAATGATATTATTTTTAAAAGACATTCAGTGCAGAGGACGATGTGGGATGGTTTGTTGTCTCCAAAATCACATTTAATTGAAAAAATGCAGACACTTTAATTTGAATACCACGGTATTCAGCTCCTTGAAATGTACACACCCTGTTTACATGCACATTAAACTGGTGATATCTTTTTTAAAAAAAGCACACAGTATCTAGTTTTTGGAAAGTTTGTACTATTTGAGCTAAAATTCTTTTCTTCATCAAGCATTGAGAAAGATTCTTATTTTCTTGAAAGCGCTAATCTAAATGCGCACTGACATTTTTTTTAATTAACTCTCCAAATAGGACTTCACGACCCAAAAATGCTTTAAACATATTGCATTTAAAGATATTGATCCAGAATTCTATGCAGCTATTGATATGATTTATAATCGAGTATTACATTACCGGTGTGTAAAATCTATTCAATGCTGAACTAAAACCTTTACAACTTTTATAAATTACTTCCCATGCCAAACCAAGACTTGTCTGTTTCTTAGTTAAAGTTGCGGGCACATTCCGGCCTTCTCGTAACGTACCAGCCGCCATTTAAAAGATGCAGAGATACTCTTCATAGGAATCTTTTGTACTTATCTAAGTATGTTTTACGATTAGACATGTTCGACTTTGTCATTTAAGCAAAATGACTTCTATACGAAAACGTAAACTCGTCTCATCTTTTGATTTCAAATATCCACAGGCATGTAAAAGGTTCAATTCTCATTACAGGGTCACCATGGAAAGTTTAGAACGTCAGCGCGCCATGGCGATGCCGAGGTGCAACACCCCAAGTGAGGCCCCGCCTCTGCCGGTAGGAAAAGAATACCACGCGTATTTTAGTTTTCATGGCGAAAATCCAGATTATAACTGGGTGAAAGCGGTGACAAGAGAGTTGGAGAGTCGTGGATTCAAATGCTGCGTGTTCCCCCGGGATCTAGACGCAGGGAGGTCCCTATCCTACAATATCAAACACATACTGACCAAATGCCTGAGAATCGTTACTGTTTTATCGTCTGCTTATATAAAGAACGAATGGTCACAGTTAGAAATGGAGATAATTTCACTTGGAAAACTAGATGAATTAGTTTTTATCCCTGTGTTAATTGAACCTTGTGACATTCCACCATTCCTGAAGTACTACAGGTATGTTAATGCAACGACCGCCAAAGAAACTTGGTGGAATATGTTTTACGAACAGGTCCGAGGAAATGCCCCTCGGCTTCCCCCACGTAAGAAGTTCCACGCCTATTTTGCCCACACCTCGTCGGATACACAATGGGTGACTAATATTGTAGAACGTCTAGAAAGCCCACATAATAACATTATTTGCTGTTATCCCGCTCGGGATTTCAAACCAGGAACGTCTATCAATGAATCCATTGACACTGCCATTAAAAAATCTGTAAAAGTGGTGCTTGTCTTATCCAAAAACTTTTTGCTGAATGAGTGGAAACGGTACTATGAAAAGAAATTCAAACATTTAAAGGCTATACCAATCATCATATCAGACTGCGGATTGCCCATTGCACTGGACGACATCGTTTGTATCGATGCCCGTAATACCGAAACCGACTGGTATAAAGTGTTATTACGGGCCATCAACGAAGAAGGTAATTATTATGTTGAGTCTTGTAGAAAAGATTACACGGGATCACGCATGTCTTTGGAAATAGCAGAGGGGTGGGGGTGGGGGGGGGATAGATACAGCGATTAAACTTGGTAAAATTAATAAGCAACCGATTCAGGTTAAATGTGCTGGTTGGTATGTTGATGATATTGTTACTGATATGTTTTTTGGTATGTTGATGATATTGTTACTGATATGTTTTTTGGTATGTTGATGATACTGTTACTGATATGATTTTGGTATGTTGATGATACTGTTACTGATATGATTTTGGTATGTTACTGATATTGTTACTGATATGTTTTTTTGGTATGTTGATGATACTGTTACTGACATGATTTTGGTATGTTGATGATACTGTTACTGATATCTTTTTGGTATGTTACTGATATTGTTACTGATATCTTTTTTTGTATGTTGATGATACTGCTACTGATATGTTTTTCTTCTTCGTTCAGATTTGAGTGCTGATGACGACACAGTGACAAGTACAAGTCAGTTTATACGAGATGAGGTCATCTACACTCCAGCAGCAGGTACCAAAAGTCTCATTATAATTGTCGTTCGCACATGTTCGCAATTAAGCCTAGGATTTTTGGTCAGATACACTCCTCAAAGACTAGCGGACTGAAAATCCTTAGATAAAGGTGTAGTTTGCAGTTTAAGCAGTTTTTTATGCAAATCTAAAAATGTTTTAATTACAATTTTTCTTTTTTTCAGGGCCATCATTTGGTCTACCGACAAGTACTGCTCTTTGAAGACATATTGTGTCAAAATACATATGATATTTTAAATTGGGGAAATTATTTTTATTACAAAAAACACTAAACATTAGGATCACGAGAACACGACAATGGCTAAGAAATAGTGGAGTCTATAAACGTGACAAACGCAATTTTTTTGTCTTGGTGGAAATCCATGCATCTGTTGTGCAACTTCGAGTATAATGTTCCTGAATACCATGGCATGTTGAAAATTGTATTCAAGTGCTTGAATATTTTCTAAAATTGAGATTGTTCGTTTGATTTCGTTATTGTTACATCTGTAAGTGCACATAAAATACTTGAATGGACATCACAATGATGTTTCTGTTGTGCTATTTGTTTATTTTCAAGGAATACTCGACCTGCTTTATTCAGTCATCGTCGGAAGATGAATTTAACGATAAATATTCTTCGAAAGTGCGTTGGCGGCATTTTTCAAAGTGAGGCCGATAATGGCTTCTTTTACCTTCGTCTTCCTCGCTTTCGTAATACGGCGAGTCGTACATTCCTCTGTAAATTTTTGGCAGCTGTAAGGAGTGCAGTCTTTTGATTAGGAACCTCTCTCGACTGGTTCCATCCAGAGATCTATGCCGTGTCACAGGCTTCTTTTTTCTCGGTGGAATATCAAAATCGGTGACGGTAAGCGGCACTGTAATGGAGGACACCATTGAGGGTGGTCGGTCCAGCAAGGTTTTCTTCTCTTTGTTCCACTTGATGCTGGGCAGCATCCTAGCAATGTTGATTGCATCTATAAATTTTCGTCTGGCTTTTCTTACAGAGGGCAAAATCTGCATGATTTCATTTTTTGTGTATCCGTGATAAGCAAGCCAGTCATTAACAGAGAAATTCTTTGTTTTATCGCGATGGAGGAGAGATGCATGTCCTTGGTTAGCAAGGATTTTCACACAAGCTATGTTGCATTCTTTTGCTGCCATTAGAATAGCAGTAAAACCCATTTTATTGGAATGGTCTACGCCTAAACCGAGACGCCGGAAGTGACGTGTTAGTATATCAATCCCCACGTCATTTCCTACTTTGGCACAGTAAATCAGCGGGGTATTTCCTACAAATAGTATTAGCACCACCAATTAATAACACAGTTCTTCAAAATTTAAAATAAAACAACAAGTAGTATAATTTATAATGAATAATCTAAGAGCTATGAATAGGCGACAAAGTCAAATTCAAAGAAGTTTTATATGTTTCCTGAAGAAAAAAAAATCAAAGTGCATGCAAATAATAAACTTTACATATAGACTTTATTTAATTACTTTTAAAATTAAGAAGTTTATAATATTTGGGAAAAATACATTAAAATAATGAAAAAAAAGAATACATTTCTAAATCATCACTAAAAAAATCAAAAGCTTGGAAGATAATTGCATTTGTAGATCGATGTAGCTGTAGAACTGTAGCGTTATTGTTTTATATTTTAGTCTTTGACCAAGACTAATATATAAAACCACAACGCTACAGTTCTGCAGCTACTGTAAATGCAAAAAAGTTCTTGGGAAAAATCTGATTTAAAATTAAAATAAAAATTTTAATATTTTTTTTAAATCACTGCATGTCAACTATAACTTTATAAAATGGTGTATTGTAATCAAATATTTTACATAATAAAATTAATAATGTTTTACCGTCATTATCAGGAATATCTGGATCGACAGAGGCGTGCTTCACGAGGATATCCACGATGTCATTACAGCGGTATTCACAAGCGTAGCTTAAAGCAGTTCTTCCCGATTCCGATACAGTATTAACCTCGGCGCCATGTTGCAGTAAAAGCTCAACTATCATGTCACGAGACATCTCTTCCTATAAAGATTAAACGATATTCTTCATTTAGTATAAAGTGGCTGTTTCCATCAATTATATGAACACATCCACTATGTCATTATAAATGAATATAAGGTTATGGTCGGTTCTTTCATGTAGTGCGTTTGACAGTTGTCCCGAATCAAAGTAGCATGGTACGTGTAAGTGATGTAATAAGTAAAAAAAAATAGGATATCTGGATATTTGATCCATATTTTCATGCCTTCATTGAACATGCAAAAATTATGTAGTGTAATGTATCGTTACCTTTAAAAAGCATGAAATCATCAATGGCGTCTTGCCCTTCAGATCCAAAGCATTGACTACTTCTCTTGGTGCCGCGACCAGGATGAATTTCACCAGTCGAATTTGTCCTTTACGTATAGCATTAAACAACATGCGAGCATCAGTGTATTCGTCAAGATTCAAATCCTTCTCCATCGTAAGAAGCGACACAGTTTTCTTCAGAATGTTCGGCTGGGCCAGATTCGACTTTGCAGGAAATACGTTCACTTTGTTTGCAGGCCTATTCGTCATTGTTTTATATCGTCTAGTATTTTTCACAGTATATGCGGGTGGTTTTCTCGACCTACTACTAGACATGTTTAACATCAACAGCAATATAATTTCTACTACATTAGCCAAACTTCAAGCTTCCGTTAATGGAAAATATGGCACATGTTCATGTCCGTGCCATCCAGAAAAGCTCATTTATTAGATAGATAATTACTTCTTTTTATTACATTTCTAATTAACTTTGTAATGTAATTGTATTGGTATTGTTTCTTGCCAATTGAAATAAGACGTCGATAAATTCAATTTTCTCAAGCAGAACCTGAAAGAAAACTACGTATCATCAGGAAAATGTATAATTATTTCTATATTGCTTACACCTTACATGTTCACGGGCACTATTAGGTCATTGATCCTTTATGGAATGCAAACAATTTTAAGATCAAAACATGCAACACTGTGTTAAATGTTCATGTCTTTGATTTACAACTGCGGTAAGAAACGCCCTAAATCTCTTTTTAAGGATCTAGGTTTCTGAAAATATATCATATATATGAAGGTATATTTTTAACAAAAAAGGACTAAAAATAAATATATGTTGGAGTCATAGACAAAATTTTGGAAACACAGCTAGTAAATTCATTTACAATGTTGTTAATTTCTTGAATGAGTAACATTAACCCTTATAAAATACGCATTACATGCATCAAGTGAATCAGAGGTGACTGATTAAATTAGTATTTAATTTGGTTTAATTATCGTTTCTCCCACAAAGATTTCAAAATATTTCCTCAGGTAAAACGTAGAAGTTATTTTGGATTGCCTAACGCGACCTCGGCGTGGACACATCTTATTAAGGTTCATAAACCATCTGCTCACTCAAACAAAATGTAGCTTTAACTTTAATGATTTTCCAAAAAAAAATCTACTTTATAAGTAAAATACAAACAATTCTATCATAGCTTGCGGGGAAAAATTAAACAAATGAGATACATTGTATTTCAACTTGACAAATATATAAAGGAATAATAGGCATTTATGTAAGAAAGAGTTATCTCTCTTACCAGAGTATCAGTGAACCTTAAGGACCTTCTTTACACTGACCCCACCTCCGATGTATTTTAGAGGCCCGTGTTTGCTCTGCTCCCGATTTGTATTGTTTCCTAAATAGACTTTTAAGCTTGATTACTGTTCGTTATCTCCATATTTCACACTGTACACTAAGAAGTTCAAATTCCATGAAACTTTTATGAAATTAAAATGATGTGCTTTAAGATCTAAAAATAAAAAAAGGAAAAATATACAGTGTATTACTATAGTATTTCATTTAAAGAGAATACATTTTATTAGGCCAAACCATGTATTTTCACCATTTAAGGTTCATAAACCCTCTATTCGCTCATATTAAATGTTTCTTTAACTGTTATGATTTTCCAAAAGAAATGTATTTTATAATTAAAAAACAAACAATTGTATCACGGCTTGCGGGGCAAAATTGGACAAAAAAGATATTTTAACTTGAGAAATTTATAAAGGAATAATAGAAATTTAAGTCATTAAGAGTTATCTCTCTTATCAGAGTATCACTGAACCTTAAGAAAACAACAGTGATTTTCGTTGATGTTCATCAATACTTGCTTGTCCGAGAACATTTTCCCTGTGGGTAAATGGCTGGTAACCTGTGCTGAAAATGTAGTAGATGGACACAACACCTTATATACGATATAATTTTTTCAAAGTCCAAAAACCCCCTTTTTTCTTTAGTGTATACAGGATATAAAAGTTTGGTCAGAGGAATGTAATCGAAGTGCTGAATTTTAACTTGTGTATAGACTTGTAGAAGGACACAATGTTTCCTGTCTCTAAACTTCCTTACATGGTATGGAATTATACATTTATCTAAAAATCAACTTAATATGAGTTCTTCAAGGACACCCAATACGTTAAAAGTAAAATTTACACATATTGCAGGTTAGGTATGAAATAAATGATGAAAGATCAACTTATTTTGATTGTCAAGTTCAATAGAGCCCTTCTTCCAAGCCTTTCTGGTTAAGAATGAAATGTAGATACCGATGGAGTCAAATTGTAACAATTTAAAGATCAACTTTTAATCTTCACAAAAGGAATAAATTCGTTGATAGTAAATCATTCATAGTCACTCTAGGATCTTTGAGCTTTCCATACAGTATGCGAAAGTATTCCTTATACGGCAATATAATAATATTTTCATCAACACCCAAGGCTTATGTTACATGCAAAACTTTAAAATTTTAAATCAATTTAAGATTATATTACTTTCATATTTTATTTCACTTTTTACAGGATATGTTTAATACAACAATAATATAGTTAACACGTCATTATAATAAAAGTTAAACGACATTCATCAACTCAGACACATATATAAAAAATACGCAGAATCTCACTTGCTACATGAAATAAGCAACTGCACTTTTAAGTTTTGAAAATTCAAGCAAATCAATACATGAATTAAGTATGATTACATTGATGGCATGAATCTAGTTACATCACGTAATGATGACGTAGCAGACTGTATTGCAAATATTATGGCTGCATAATGTTTTTTCACTACTTCCCATCGTTCACTTTCATTTTCACTTCCGATTATTTCAAACGTTGTGTCTGACAAGCCAGGGAAACTGCTTCCAGCGTAAGCGTTAACACTACTCTCGGCAAATAAAATGTGTCTACAAATCCACAAAATTGAGATGAATACATGTTCTGCTAACTTTTAAAAAATTATCTTAAAATGTATGAAATTTTCAAAGATCTTAATGATGTATTCTGTTTCGATAACTTGCATTTGGCTTTTCAATTTTAGGATTTTATTTCAATGTATTCATTATTTGAAACAAAAAAGAAAGAGGGAAATATGAATTAGTGGCCATATTTTTGAGATATAAGGCATTAAAAGTATGGCTGGAAACCAGATTTCTTGGGATTTTTCAAAGAAAACTTATAATATATTTATTATATATTTAATAAATGTAAACTTTTCTTTACATTTTTTTGAGAAGACTATCAAAACAACAGAGAAACAAAATGTAAATAGATAATAGGAGTTAATGGGTAAAAATTTGATTTTGATGAAAAAAACCATATGAGTCCCGTAAAAAAATCACCTCAGCATAATACATCCTTAAACCACCTTTTATTTTATTTTGATCTCAATAAGTCTATATATAAAACAATACAAGTAATCGAGACTGCTTGTTCCATTTACGTATGCTATTTTTATATATAATATACCTGGCCTGCGGTCTATTAGGCAGACCTGCTGGGTCTGTGAATGCTCGGTCTAATTGCATCAGCTGGTCATTGATTTGTCGTATCGCATAAGGACTATAATAACATAGCCAAAATTAACTTTTTCACAGGAATAGAAAACTCATTGCTCATTTTCTTAAATTTCAGTCCACCACAAAGACATGAACTCAAAAACTAAGTCAGTAACTCTGTAATAATTATTTTTAAAGATATAGATGTAATCTGAAAATATTTTACATAAATTGAACATCTGGTATTAAAAAGTATACCACTGATTTAAATATATAGTTTGTGTATTAAACCAATACGGGGTCATTTAAAAGTTTGTACAGTATATAATATGTAATGTAGATCAATATTATTATACATTTTGTCTGTGCATTTGTCAATGACAATATTATTTAGTTTTTTTAATGAATTTTCAGACATGTACATCTATCCATACAGTTTGAGTATTTATTGGATATCAATGATATTCACATGCTGTTTATGTATGTTTTGTTTTTCTGTGAAATTCATATACAGTTAATGTGTGTATTGTATAAAAAAAAAACTTACTTTGCTTTATCCACTTTCTGTTGCGCACTATAAAATGAACTAATTTCATTTGTGAAATTAGCAGCAGCTTCAAAAAGTTTATCTGCAATCGATTAAAATCATGCACTTGCTTAAACCAAAGAGGCAGTAGGTAAATCAAACTGTACAGTGTAATTAAAATCACCCCAAACTAAACAACAGATAAATACAATTAAACATGCATGTATTACTAGTATATGAATTGTTACCTAAACTTATTTTGGTTCGCAGAATAGACCCAGTTTCAGATGTATTAAGTTGTTTAACAAGATCGTTTAAAGCACGTGCATAATCTCGAACATCAAATGGAACAATCAAAGAATCTGCAAGATTCCTGGCTAATTCGGCCCAGACCTGTCCCACTGCTTTGTGAAACTAAAAAAAAATTAACATATAATTATCAACAAAACACAACAAAGAGTAAACTTTTAAACTCGCAGAGCAATTGAAATCATGAAATAAAAAATTGTGAGTCTGACCAGTAATAAAAATGTTTGCATGCCAACAGACCTGAAATCCAGGGTCCAGTATTTCGTCCACGGCGTAAAAAGTTTCGTACTTCGAGTGATATAAAGGATAGAACGCAATTTTGTACTTTTTCTGCAAAAAATTAATACAATATTTTAGCTTCAAACCTTTAAATGATTCTTATAAAAAATGTAGGGTTTGAGCTGATTATTTACTGCATACTTCGTCATAGTTGTAGAATAAATCAACACTGGGTAATCCAATTTGTTGTATGAAGGATGCAAAGTCACTTCCGGAGCCAAGGGGGAAAATCCTGTTAATTAAAATAATTATTCTCTTTAAAAGAAACTCTTAAAATAGACATTTAATTTCTCAAAGTCGAGGTGCACGTTTGAAACAAGGTCACTGTACTTTGGTTTAGTGTTGTCTTCTTCACTTGGGGTACTTGATCTCCAGTTGTCATACACAGTCTTCAGTCCTTGAGCTGCGCGCGCAGCATCTGGATTCGGCACGGATTTCGAAGCTTCAAACAAAGCATGATGTACTAGAGGGGTAGCTCCACTTGTTAAGGTATAATTTCCTGTAGGAAGAAATATTGATCAAATTATTGAGACTCGTGCAGCATTTAAACACATAAATGGATAAAACCAGACTGTGCTTTCAAATTTCTTACCTTTAATCACTATAGTTATACATATCAAAAATAATTTTTTTTTGTTGGTATTTTGTTAAGGGTTAAGGGTACTTGATTGTGTTATTTTCATTGTAGCAATCGTAAATGTGTGTATATTCTAGGGTATGAAAAATCACATGAGCACTGATTGCCATTTCTTGCAAATAATGTTTTGACAGAAATTACTTTAAAAAATATACACGAATATGAAATTTTTTAAAAAAGGTCAAATAAATATCTTAATATTTTGCATTTCTAATTACAATAGTTGCCAATGTTCCTACTTATTACTGTAAACCAACTTTTGTTCGCGTGCAAGAAATATCCGCAAATTTCGCAACCATCTAGCGAATACATATCGCCGCGAAACACGTAATCGTGAAGAGTGTTTCCTCAATCGCCAAAATTAATAGCCGCGGATGGATTTCAAACTGACTATTTCGGTAAAATGAAGCTTTAACTATTAGCTCACCTGTTACAGCTATATCTACATTAAGGTACGCCACCGCCCGCTCTGCCAGGTTCTTAATATATTGCTACAAGAAAAAACGAAAAAACTGCAGATAACCATTATATAATTACGAATAAGTGTTAAAGGTTTCCTTTTCTGTGCAAAGCAAATACCAATTTGATGTTTTTGGAATTGGGAGTCCAGTACCCATCCCAATCGCATCATCTCGGGTTTTTCTGTCAGAGGTCTGAAAAACAACCTCGAGGTTGTTTTTCCGCATGTCGGAAAGGCCCGAGAAGTTTTGATTGTACCCATCCATTTTATAGGACCTATGATTGGTTTTAGCTTTTATTCATATTTATCAGTTCATTCGTGGGGTAAGCATATCACAGTGTAACACTCTGCAACACCAACGGTAGTTAGCAGAGCATTTTCCACGCATTCAAAAATTGAAATGAATTGAACAATGCAGATAAAATTTGTTTAAATTCGCGATGACAAGGGATCTTTTAAAACACATCTCCGCTTTAATAAAAGGGATGTCTAACTTTGAAATCACCGAATTTTTCGACCATTCTCGTTCCTGCCTTAAATAATTTAACATGTTATATTAAATAATTTCACGGAAAATTATAAAGAAAAAAAATACTTAAATGTTGAATGTGTTGTTTCCTTAGTTTTGCCTCTACGATAAGATTTTACCTCAATCCATTCGGTTGATCCTATTAACCCATACTCTTCCGCTCCCCAACTACAAAATATGATCGTCCGACGGGGGCGCCATTTCTCTACAAAATTCAAAGCAACATATATTCTCTCACCAGAGGGCGCTACGCAAGCTTCACTTCATTTCACTTCAACTGTAAGTGAAGCCATCCGGAACACCTCGGGCCTTTCACAGAAAAACACGTGTTTTTCTGTGAAAGGCCCGAGGTGTTCCGGATGTAAGTGAAGCTTGCGCAGCGCGCCCTCTGGTGAGAGAATGAGCAACATATTGTCAAAAATTACAAGACAATGACAAAAAGGAATAAGCAACTCTGTTCCAGGCAGATTTGCAGATTGTGAAATAAACTTTAATTTTGTGTGAAGAAAATAAAATTCTTTTTAAACCCCTTTTCGGAAACCAAGTCATAATGTATATGAAATTAACATATTGTACAGGTATTTATTCCTGTTTGAAGATGATAAATGTTTAATATATCATATTTTGATTAAAAATACAAAGAAATCCTAACTTAGAAAATAGCACTCAACATGTTATAACAAGCCATCAGGTATAGCTATCACTATCTTCAGAGTGCTCTTGGCATACACCTAAGACCACATTTTATATCTTTCGGGAAAAAGAATTCATTGTTTCAGATGTACATGTAAAAGGTTGGCCCAGTTCTACAAAACCATTATTGTTCACTCCGTTTATGTACCGATACATAACAACAGTACGGGTCATAAGCGTGTTTCCTTGCCAGAACCATTCAGCTTGTATGAATTCGACAAACTTTGTGACTTGAAATGTAAAAAATAAACGCCAAACATTTTCAACGTAGTTTTTTCCATCTTTGTTGGGAATAAGTGGTATTGTCTTTCACTAATTAATGATTTTCAATAATGAGTACATGACCAGTCATAATAAGTCATGACTTCTTGGAAATTGAAAATTGTTGATTAGTGAAAGACAGTATGATAAACTACTTCTCAAGTGACCAATACGACCAGTCATTCGACGCCTTGGTTGGTGTTATACCGGTATACAATTTTTGGCTAAAATGAAGAACATTTGAGGGTTAATATGTGTCTCTCACTTGCTCGAACCAGGTTTCCCATTACTCGGGACACCTCTTTCATTACAGCTGTTCCACTAGAAGGATCTATTGCTCCAAACACCCAGGCGTCACGATGGTTGCCAAGCAAAATATACCTGTCTGATGAAATGAAAAACAATATCGCGTATATTTTTTTTTTATTAAATATATGTTTGCTTTATGTTGCATCTTAGTTTTTCAATTACTTTAAGTCAAATGACTTTAAGTTGTTTACCAAATCTGTTTTCTAGGAGGCCTATGAACAAACAATGCTCACCTGAATCCCAGCCACGTTTGTGTGAATGTGACTAGAAAACTTACTGAAGGGATTTTTGGGATTCCTATAACATTAATGCAATCCCAAATTAACAATTTCAAAAATTAGACGTGTTTCTAAAGCATTGATGCTTTCTTGGATCGAAAATTTTTGTAGATAGAACCTTGCTTGACGTGCTTTGACGTTCAATCGATTCTGTTATCTTTTCAGTATACATGTATTTCAGAACGGTGTGTCATATTTGGTGAGCAGATTTTGAAAGAATCAAAATTAGACAAAAAACCCACATATGTTCATATAAATGCACAGGAGTGATGTTAAAGAAAACGTTGTCACAAGTACATTAGAACGTGTGCTGATCATGTCATGGAGTGTGTTTAGAGAGTGTTCTCGTAAGTATTACGTGAGTGCAAGTCTGATTTGACTCACCATACTTCATTACACTTGAAATACAATTCTTCTGGCCTGGATTTATATAAATTTTAAAGTAATACAAACCTGGTTCAATTTCTCCTCTGATAAGGCCAAACACATTGTAAATTGTCTTCCGCATATTCCGTGTTGAAATCCGTATTCTGATTTTCCTGAAATATATTTCATTATAGTGTTAAATGGTGAGTGACTTGGAAAGTTTCGTATGTTGAATTTTAACATTACAACAACCAATATCACATACCATCCGGAATTTTTCAACAGTCCCCCAATTTTGTACGTTGTATTAATCCCTCCCCTCCAAGATTCTGGAACCTCCTCACCTCCCATGTAACTGTGAAAAGAAACCAATGCTAGAATTTATCTAGGAATATTTTTTTATGAAACTGTCAGTTCTAAAAAATAATAATCCACAGATTTTATCAATTATTTCAAATATTAAACAAATTTCAAGACTGATGCATCTAATAAACTAAGAAACATCAGGACTCTAGTTTGCTACCTATTTTATCCCCAATGACAATACAAATCGGCTTGCTATCATGTCCTAATGTGACAGATCAGGAACAAAAAGGCCAGTACAAAGCTTTATTTTTTAGATGAGAGGGAACACACAGCACTGAGACTGTAAGGGGATGGTACTATACCAAATATCTAGACGAACAAAGAAGAAGATCATGTGAATTCTATATCCAGGAATCTCAACTTTTTTCCATACAATATGGTGGATAATAAAATGGTAAGTCGTACTGATTACGATTTTCAAAACGGCTTACTAGGATATCAGTGACTAGTGATTCTAAATTGCCTAATAAACTGACTGAGTGACACTGGTTCTTTGTAAATCAGTTCAGAACTAGTTTGCAGCTTTTCAACAGAGCATGTGGTTACTAAGTAGGTGTGTCAATCAAAAAATCTCTATACTCAATATTACATCAACTTAGCAGGCGCACAACTTTAAGTTAGAACTTGATTTTCAGCACAGTAGAATAACGTCCAAATATACATGTACTTCCTAGCTTTTTTAAGGACATAGGATACTCGAATAATTGTTATAAAATCTGTAAAACAGTTTGTACATGCTTAATTATTGCTTAAACACATTTTTATCATGAAATTCCACTATCAAACTATCTTTATTTTTTTATTCTTCCCAAATCTATGCTTTTATGTATTTCTATATTGAAATTCAATGCAAAAGCATGAAATAACGAAATCTCCAAATAAAAAATTACTATAGCATGTAACATATTAAATTGAACCTAAAAAACAAAATGGTATGATTAAACCCTCACTTTCTCTGGATTTTTGGTATCTTATGACTTTAATGACTTAAAAATGTTGAAAACAAAGCTTGAAATAAAAATGATCTCTATTTTACTTACGGATTTTAAACAAATAGTTTAGCCTTTGTGGTGTACCCATTTATTTAAACAAAAATCATGATTTTGTTCTATAAATAATAGTATGATATTTGAACACCTAAGCAGCTTCTCTGCCACACCATATCCGATAGGATGAACGGGGATGTTTGGAAGGAGATCACCTTTCAATTTCTCTTCATCAACTCGGTAGGCTGTATCTACAAACAAAGGTTGCAAACTGCTATAAAGTCACGCTTATACAAGCTTTGAATACATGCATTTGACAGAGTAATGAACAATTGTAGAAACATTCATAAAAATTCTAAAATGAAATCATTTTAGACATTTTTTTGCTGAAAATGTGAATTGCTTTCAAGATTTTGTATATGGTAATGAAATTGACAAACCTGTTGCCGGGTAGCCTGGAGTTAAAGGGTCCCCTTTACCCATGAAGGTGGTCCCTCTCTGAGTGCCCGTGTCTGGAAGCCACCAGCCATTAGGATAAACTTTAGAGTTGGGACCATCTGTGTAGTCCAGGGGATCGGAGTATAAGATGATACCAGAGGCGCCATATCGTGAAGCTAGGCGAACCTAAGATATACCGTTGTTTTGCATATATCTGGCAAAAGTTTTCGTTTAAATGAACCCAGTTAGAATAGGTAAAAGGTACTGATGGGATGACCTCACCTTGTCCCCCCTGAAGATTTTTCCGTATCTGGCGATGACCATCTTCCCCGTGATGTTAACAGACTTGTTAGTGACCAACCACTGGAAGTCCTCCACACGACCATAGTTAACGTAGAACAACTCTGACTGAAAGACATACGAGTCGTACATGTACAATTGTTCTCACCACGCAGGCACTCTCTTTTAGACAAGTTTAAATGAAAGTACAATCAAGTGTATGTTATTGAAGATGATGTTAGGCCCTAATGATCTGATACAACGTATAATGGGAAATTGTGTTGTTTGACAACAGGGGATGTAGAGATACGCTAGTTACAAAAAAGTGAATATTCAAAATACATTTAACATGTTTAACAGACATATTTATTAAAACAGTCAAACCAACTTTGATATCGCCAGGTAACTTCATCTTTTACTTACGGATGTGACATTCCCGGGCGCAGAATAGGCATTAAAAGGCGGGACAACGTTAGATTTGTTTTCGCTGGGATGAAGGATCGGCTCGAACAGGTTCGACTGCCATTCCACGGCGTCATTCTGATTGTAGACAAAAATCCTGTTCATAACATCCGGGTTTGTGGTATTAGGATATGACAGCAGTACATCGTACGGAGCGATGAAAGCCTCGTCCAAACCTTCCGACTTCCAGAAGTCGTGGAGCTCTTTAGCTTGTTTATAATCGGCATCAGTTCCAGCGAGATGGGGGAGTTCAGACAAGCCTCTATCAAAGAATCTCGAATTTTAAATGTTTGTCTTTGATTATCTTCACTATATTCAAAAAGACATTGAGGAATAAAAACTTCATAATTTATTGTAATAAAGGAAGGTCCGTAACAGGACAGAAAGTTCAGAAATTCAAATTTCACAATATTTTTTTGGAAGGAAACTTTTTTTTCTTATTACAAAAACAAAACTTATTTTCTTTGTATCCCTCTCATAAACCAAACAATTCCCTGGTGATCAGGTAATCACTGTATAATCTTAACGACAAGATTTATCATATCTAATGTAATGATAACAACAGGCCAAAAATTGAATGTATTTTTATCGAGGGAACAAAGATATTGTCTTTTTCTAGCCTAGACAGGATTTCAGCAAGTTGTTAGATATGACCTAGATCACGAGACATAAATGCACAATAAGCAACACAAATGTTTCAGATGTAGATTTTTTTTCTTTTTTTCTTTTTCTTTTTTTTCTTTTTTTTTTTTTTTTTGCAGGCTATTGTTCGTGGAAGATAATATACATCTAGACAAAATTTCTATCATACCACCAAAGAAAATTAATAATTAATCAAACTTGCGTATAATTTTGATGTTTGATGGCCGTAGGAGCCGGGGGGGGGGCACTGGGGGGGGGTCCCCCAATAATTTTGCCGATATATAGATTACTATATTAAACATAAATGCTATATGCTTGTGTCCCCTCACCCTCAATAAAAACGTCTGCATGATGACCCCCCCCCCTTTTTTTTTTACTTGTCAAGGAATTTTTGGTAGTTGATGACCTTTTTATTTTTATTTATTTATTTATTTATTTATTTATTTTTATTTATTTATTTATTTATTTATTTATTTATTTATTTTATTTTTTTGCTTATCAGGAAAATTTTGGTAGTGCCCCCTCAACTGAAAAATGTATGGCTGTGCCCCCCAAACTGAAATTGCTTCCTACGGGCCTGTGTTTATAAATATATATTATCGAAGTTAAAATTAAGACATTCAAATGCCTAAACACATTGATGAAGTCAATGTTGAATGAAAAGTAACAATTTTACACTGCATTGGGGGGGGGGATATTTCTATTTTCTTCCGTGGTTCGTGTCCTTAATATCTGCCTTCATAAAAAACTCTATTTAAAAAACCCGTATGCATTGTACGACTATAGAAGAGCGTGGTAGGGCAGTCAGTATGATTTCTGCTGGATAGGTTTGTAAAAAAGAATTAAAATAAGTTCAGGTAAAAAAGAATTAAAATAAGTTCAGATTTTTGTTTCTTCCAGTAAAAATGCTGCGACTAGATTAACAAATATGAAAATGTCTTCTTGAGGTTGTCACGACATGCAATATACACTACATGACTACACTGTATAGCAAGATTGTATCGCAAATTTGTGGCAACCGGAAGTGTGGTGCACCAGATACCGATGCCAAAGCACTTCTATATAGACGATATTATAGACATATCACTCATTAGTAATTTCGAATCGGGGAACCACCTTTGTTGCAACCTCTTTGACCACCATTGGCAACTACCATCCGCAGGTCAGTGCAAAAAGCAGTGCACAGTCAGCTTCGGAAAATTGTTTGCGGGCAAGAAGGTCGTTTATAGGTCTTGCTTTGGACACCATGATATAGGAAAATTCGACTGCGTTTGGCAAGATGGCATATTCCATTAACTCGTGCCGATTAGGCAAATGTTCTGTTTACGTATGAGAAAACCAAGTGGTGCGTTAGCAATTTTGTCTAGTGTACATTAGGTTCAAATTTTAGTAAATGTGTTGTTCTTAATTCAAGGGCATAAATATAGGTTAAAGGTCATTTGGAAAAGCTTTTGACTTTGGTTAAGGACTACATCTCTAGATACTGGGATTAACTCGAATGAAATAATTTCAAAGTTGAATTGAGTACATCGATGTTTACAGCCTAAAGGTATTTAATTTGTGTTTCTGTCTGAAGATGATTGTCTGAAAGGTCAGGAATATTTGGCACTTAGATGTGAAATAAAGTTCAGATATTGCGTTAAACCTTTAAATGAAAATGAATTTCAATTTTTTAAAAATGAAATAATGGGAAAGCATGTGAGTTGAGACAAGGAAGAAAATAGATGGGAAGGGGCATATGGTGAAAACATAACCTCCTTTCAACTATATCTGAAATTGATCCAGGATTTTCTAAGAATATTGCACTGTTTGTGATGGTCTTTGCATTGTTCTTTATTTATTTATGAATATGCGAAAACTATATGAATGGGCTTTCTTCAACGTACTGAAAAAAATACCAACACTTTTCGTGTTCACTCTTTTTCAATGTAAAAGAAATACTTTCTACGAATTAGACCCCAAAAAAGAAAGAAAAAGTAGTGCATGTACTTCTACAATCATAAATATACTGCAAACATTCAGCAAAATGCTTTAATTTATACTTTTTTTATACACGAATAGACCAAACAGACTCTAGCAAGAAAGGAAACAGATCGGGAATACGCTACAGAAGTACAGAAACTCCATAAGTTTTTGAACAGTCTCTGCAATGAAGGTCTTATGTTGTTGCTTTTTTTTCTCTAAGTTCAGGGTCCTAATCCGCATTAATCTGACTGTGAGAGTTATTTTGTGCAAGCATAAAAAATGAAAATTATTTGCTACGAGTCACCGAAAGATTTCAGCATACTCATTTGTCAAAATGCAATGTTGCAATAATTATGCACAGTCTGCAAATACATGTATTGTCACTATTATGGTATAGTAGTTGCTTATGGTTGAAAATGCTTTGAATGATCCAGTTCTCGAACATCTAATAAGAATAGATATTTTCCCGGGGAAATCACCAAGAAATGCCAAACTGTTTATACCTTTTAAAATTTGTTAATGCGTAATAGTAAATCTATCTTTGTAAGTTAGGGGCTCTAAAATTTCTTTTATATTTTTAATATCCAGTTTTATGGTGGGTATTTATTGACACAGACAAGTTGTCAGCGCTATATAATGGGTTAAATATCACGTTTCCTCCTCAAATGGTAAACAACTTACATGTAACTCAAATATTGTTTGTTACGATGTGGAGACTTTGCAATGGTGTTCTTTTATTAAAAAAAAAAAAGAGTTGTCTTGCAGTTAATTGCTATTCAAGTAAAATCAGTCTTAAATAAGAAGGAAAAAAAAACCCAACAAGAATTATCTCATAAATTAATTATGGCAATCTAGATTTCACAGCGGTTAGTTTTCTTGTTTACAAATTTGATTACGTAAGTGTAGGCATGTTAATGCCTAATTTGCATTTCAGGATTTTTAGAAATAATCAAAATTCTCAAACTTACTGCAGATATTGGCGAATTTTTCCTGCATCAATCCCATTCATAATATTTGAACTAGTACTTGGATCTGCTTCCTTGTTAAAGAGAGGTTGTTCAGAATTGTTTGTTTCTATCTTTTTGTCACAAATTGCAAATCTCCCGATGAGTATTCCAAGACCAATTCCCACGGCCATTGTCACAATCAGACACAGTATATATGAACGTTTGGCCACAGCTTTTTTATTTTCAAATATATCTTCAGTAGCGCGAAGTTCCATTTTTGGTATTCAGTTGAATTATTATACTAATAATGCGTGTTTGTCATTACCGCCGATATAAAGTTGTAATGCATATATATGCTTGAATGCCCGTGATTATTCAAAAACTACCTTGAACTTAACTTACATTTGTTTTAGAGCAAAGTAAATGTGTGCCTCATATCGGTATACCTTGTCAAGGGGCTTTTAGCCATCTCGGGTATGAGGACCCGAATAAACACTCTTAAATAGCAATGATACTGCGCATCGTGTTCTAACTGGCACTCTAAGTAGGCTACACTATACGAAATAGGGCCTCGTCCCATTTAACTCATCCTTATGCAAGCACTTAATACTTATCAACATTTCTGATCATTCATTAAAATGCATGAATATGCCCCGCGCCGGTATATTCTGTATATTAGAAAGTTCGGGAAAGTAATGGACGATGTAAACTTAACACTTAAGCGTATTTTACAGCTAGAAAATATTTTTTTTTAAAAATTGAATGGGGAAAAATTACATCAAAACAAAACAAAACCAGAAGTCTTTGAATAGACCGTAGCTCTACTGGTTTGTACTTATAACAAAGGAAGCGAAAGTAGTACTTGGACTTGAAACTTTGCAACAGCAATAAATAGAATAATAATGCTTGGTTTAGTCTCTTTATTTGGCAAGATTTGTTGCAATCAGACTAAAATTGTAGGAGGAGTAGCTTTTCAAAGAAATTTGCAGAAATTTCAAATTAAGTAACCATGGCAACATCATATATCAAAGTTAAAAACCGATAAAGACAATTTTGTATTTCAGTGTAGTCTACTTGCTTGCATGCCAAGTTATATTGAAATCAGACCAAACTGTAGGAGGAGTAATGTTTTGAAATTATTTCAAAGAAATTTCTACTTTTAGTAACCATGGCAAGTCCGTTCATTAAAAAAAACTAATAAACAGAATTATGTATCTTAGTGCAGTCTACTTGTGTGCCAAGTTATATTGAAATCATATCAGACTAAAACAGTAGGAGGAGTAGCATTTTGAAAAATTGTGTACATACGGGCAGACAGACGACGGACACCTTATTATCGCACAAGCTCTTCTGCTCTTGTACCAGTAAAGCTAACAAAACAAATAGACAAACAACAAAACGGAATGTAATACATTTGTCTGAATAGGTAAATCTTCCTTCCCAAATTAATTTAAAAGAAATTATAAAACTTATTTGTCAAGGCATGGATTTTGTGTTCAAAGGAGATAATTATACACAAAAATTTATTTCTTCGCATTAATTCTTTGATTAATTCTTATTTTTCTCTCTTCTAGGCAAGACTCAGCTACCTCTGTCAAAGATTTTACCCCCTCCCCCTTCACCACCACCAGTGTTTTATTGTCTGTTAGTGGCGTTTCGATCAATGATTGCAAAAAATATTTCAAATACTTTAAAATTGTAAATATAAGAAATGACAGTAATTTTCTGTGTTTATAGAGTTATGTTTTGTTTACGAAGTTTTTATTACTTGGTCATAGTTTCGAAATTCTATTCGTAAATCGATAGTCGATATATTTTTCTTTGACATATATATTTTTGATATTATACTTTTAATTAAAATATTTGAATCTGATTTGTCGAGAGAAAATAAAAAAAAATACTATGCAATTAAAACACTAACTTTTTTTAGTGGACACCCAATCTCATGAAAACTTGAGATATAATGTTCGATTTTAATACCATTTTTGTGCAAACTCAGGCAAATCAATGTACACAGAGAAACTCAAATTTTATACCTTTAAAAATTGTTTCTTATATTTTATACTAAAAAAGTCTAACATTTCCAATGTTTTACTGAGCAGTACAAGAAAAAGAAATCGATTTTAGACCGCAGTGTTATACATTGGACCTGTCGATGAGATATTGGACCGCTTACGTCACACTGTGGGCGGGATCAGGTAAATCTTATTTTTATTCGTTGGCGTTCGACAGTGATGGAATTGCTAATTTAAACCGCAGTGCAGGTAAAGGAAATTTACATGATGGAAGCCAGCACAAGATATGTAAAAAAAAAAAAAAATAAAAGGTATAAAACATGCATTGACTGTGTTCTCGGGCAAAAAGCGTTTTGTAAACCCCTCGAACTAAATATTTGGTTCTTGGGTCAGACAGAACGCATGTTGTCATCGAACTCAGTCAATAAATGTATAATGCGTCAACATGAAAAGGTCAGCATCATGCTACAAACTTTGGATTTAACCGTAAAAAGATATTTTTTTGAAATCTTTCTTTCGTTTGCTCATTTGAAATAGGACTCTCTCTGTTATGCACGGATGGTGATGAAAATTAGATCTTTGATCCACTCCAACTAGATAGCTACGCAATACTTTGTGTAGCGATCTAGTTATCTAAGAATTAGATGACCATTTGTCACGAGCTTGCTGCCTCGTGTCGTTCTAAAATATCATCCCCCGCCCTTCAAATCCATGCTTTCAGCTTTGCGTTAGCTTTGTTATACAATATACTCCTATTATTAATCAAGCGTTTCTGGTAAATTTGTTTAATTAAACTTCAGCCGAACAGAGGAGAAACATAATTAGATAATTCAAGGCAGCCTGGGCATATAAGTAGATTTCTACTTTACACGGCGTATTTCTGCATATGTCCTCCGTTTTGAGCAGAGTACTGTGTAATTACGATTAGATACATGGTTTGCAATTCACTATGTAACATGATTTATGTAGAATAGGGATAAGATTGCATTTCAGGCGACATTTCAGTATATTTATAATAAACATATAGCCATATTTAAGGATACATAACAGAAGCAAAAAATTGATGCATGGATTGATATATTTTTTGACTGTTTTGATTGGAAATGACATAAATAAGCAATCCCTAAAATATACATCTTCGCCAGCCAAGGGTTTCTGATACGCTACTCTCCTCATAAGCCTTGGCATACGGTGTTAAAAAGAGTTGGAATTTTTTTCTCAAGATGTGATTCGAGTTGATCGACATCGTTCGACCAATCAGCAATTGTTTTTTGTAAATGACGATATTTGCGTTCGGGATATATCTTGACTCTTTAATATCGGGAATGAAAAACGCAAGTAAACAACGATCCGTAAGATAACATGCCATTCTATGAATAGCTATATGGTGTCATCCAATATCTTAAGCTACGTGCAAAATATGTGATTAAGAATCATGCAATACTGAAGATTTAGATTTGCATTTTAACATGTTTAAATAACAAATTAACATAACTCAATACCTTCTTGTTAATTATTCTTTAAAGACATTATTGTTTTAAATACGCTTGTTATTTCTGTCGATGACGCAATCTGTGCGTACCTGGGAAATCGTGATCACGTGACGAAAACAATCCCGTCTTTTGTCAGCACCGTATGCCAAGGGTTTATGAGAGTAGCGTATCAGAAACCCTTGGCTAGCGAAGATGTAAAATATAAAGAAATCGTAAGTTTTTTTGTGCTTAGATATGCAACTTTGTATCGTTTTCTATGTAATTCTATACAAAATTTTGCACATATTTTTGACAAAATTTTCTCACTTTACCTGGAAAAATATCATTCAGGTTACCTATCTGCATATAAATCTATGAGAAATATTGCTGATTTCTGAAAAAAAGTTTGTGTTATTTATCCTTAAATCAAAAAGGAGGTCAAAGCGACCTAGTTTTGGGTTATGAAACCTATTCTCCGAAGAATTACATAGTTTGATAGTCCTGGCTCCAGAGTGTAAGAGAAGATATGTCCCGATTTGACTTTTAGTAACTGTAGACTATACTATTGAGTCATGACATACCCCCATCCTGATGCATCAACAGACATATTTTTATGATTCTAGGTCTCATCGTGTGCAGTATATGATCTGGACACGAATTGACTATGTATATCCTTTATATTTCAAAATACATGTACTTCGACCAACTTTTGGGGTGGGACCTCAGAGTACAAAAGGTATGTCACGGGCATGAAAAAGCTAACAAACGGAAAAACCCTTACCACAATACACGTGTAGACCATCAAAAGACGGTGGTATGAAAACATCCATTCAATTTATATAAAAAAATTAAATTTTTTATGTAAAATATTATTATCCTATATCAGAGATTCCTCACAAACAAAAAGGCGCTTCGTAAATTGATAGCTTTTATTTAGAAATAGTACATATCAAGGCCCTGCTATGGTAAAATATTGCACCAGGTGAAAATTGAGTATTTTCCAAATGATGTCAAATGCAATCGCTATTTTATATAATGGAAAATTCATATAATCCCTTGTATGTGGATCGAGAATCTTCACTTTGAAGTTTTCCCGAAATGCAAAATTTTTCACCCGCATTCGGTGTCGTTGTTAGAAAGTCCCATACATCGTCAACCTTATCCACTTTGAGTGTTTGTTTCTTAAGGACAAGACTTAAATTCTTTGGACATTTTAATCTGATACGAATCTTCGTGTTTCTGGGTAGTTCATACGTCAGAGGTTCAATCAGACGACACCTGAACTCTCTTGCCGCCCTATAACATTTCGGTAGTTTGTGAATCACTGGCAGTGTTTGTTTCGACCCAAGAAGGTAAGTTAACACCGGTTTATAACTATCTTCCTCTAATCTAACCATAAGCTGTAGTTTATAATAACCCTCCTTTGGGAGCCTAGCTCGAGTACATAAATGTCCACCATTTATTTCCGTCATGACGTAATCGTCACTTTCCCTTAGGAGATTTTCAGCATGGCTAAGTCTGCAGGAACAGTCCAGTTCATTTTTCAGTGGTAACTTTACTTCTACTTCACCATTTTCTGTCATGATTAACGGAGAGGAGGATTCGTCGTACATCAGTCCAAAATTGTCCAATTTCACTGATGGCCCCCAAAGTCCCCAGTGATACGGAAAACAACGAACGAGTCCATCTGTACTTATACATTTGATGACGTAGGAGACCAAAATAGAAGCCTCGTCATCCTCTTTAGTATTTGCTAAAATCCGAAGGGTAAATTTTCCAACAGAGGGCGGTCGAACAACCAACTTGTAATCACCTGGTCCATTTTTGTAAGCATATGTGTAAGTCTTGCTGCTCTCGCCTTTCTCTGGATAAAGCTCACCATTTAGAACAGGCAGATTTGTGGTGCTACTTTTTAATGCAAAAATTGATACACCATTTGAGAACACTACACTGGTCGAATGGGAAACAAAGTCTATATCCCATTCAATGGCTTTCATACTAGGCTTTATATATGAATTAAATTTATCCAATGACCATGGATCCTTCAGGAGTTGCCAAGCTAGGGCCATATTAATATCTGGGTCATATGGAAAATGTGTTAAAACAAACGAATCTGGGTCCATGAAGAAAAAATGGTCGTGGTAATCGAAGTGGAATTTTTTGAATTCGTCACAGTTCCCTGCTCCCCAGGTACACTCTACCAGCCTCCACTCTCCGTCCACATGTACTGCGTTCCACGCATGACTTGTGGCGTGACCGTATTCGAATCGGATTTCTGGATTGTAGTCATAGCCTTTGGCATATCCGGATATCTTCTGGACTGTAATGTCAGCGCACCTGCAAAACAAACCAATCAACTGTCTGCTATATATACACATATTTTCCTGCTTCAAAAAAAAATTCAAGCAAGTTGTATATACATGTATATAATTTATATATGAGAGAGAAAGAAAGAAAGAAAGAAAGAGTATTTTGAACTATGCATCGGTGAAGTTAAAACTTTGAGACTCAGAATTACCAGTATGCATAAAATATCAAATGTTTAGGCAAAGCAAAGTGCTAGTTTTTATTAATCTGCTGATAAAAAGATAGCTTTACCACACACAAAGAAATATAATATATATATATATATATATATATATATATATATATATATATATATATATATATATATATATATATATATATATATATATATATATATATATATATTTGTAACTAAAACTGTCCTAATGGAACAAATACCTCCACAAGGCATACTTTAGAATACTAATAGATTACAAACTTACAAAAGATTGAAAAGAACTATGCCATCATGGAAATTAATTACTAGTAACTGTAAATATTCTAAATTCCAGTGGTATGAATCTCGTTGAAATGTACTTCGTCACTTGGATGAAAGCTGTAACACCTCTCTCATAACCAAGTCAACGAACCTACATAATCATAACATTTAAAAACATGGACAAATAAACCTTGCAACTACTGACCCTTGTAACCTTGACTCTATCAAAACAACCGTGGCTAAGAATCCCGACAGACCTCTTTGTCACAAGCAGTCTTTATCATAAGCATTATTACCACCTGATTTTCCTCAAAGTTTGTCTTTTAAAACTTAACATTTATTAGACCTTCAAAATTTGACACCTCTAAATATGTGACCTTTGTGCAAGGTCATTCCATGTACCATATCCTTTTGTCCATATCAACCTATAATCGGATTAAGTCGGATCATTTAAATTTATTCCTTATAGTTATGGAAAAGAACTTTACACCTTCAATTGAACTTGACCTTGTCTAGAGGTTGTTACACGTCCTCTGCTCACAAGTTACCGTAGTATATATGTACTGTATATAAGCTTTTAATGTTTCTTTGGTTCAAAGTTTTGGACAAAGCAAGAATTTGGCTCTTTTGAAATATGTGACCTTGACCTTGTTCAAATTATATTAGGTTAGGGAAGTACATACTCTCGAGTCACAAACAACCCTCGTCTCAAGTGTAATCTAATTTTCCTGTATTTCAAAGTTGTAGGTAAAACAATAATTCAATATTTTGTGACATTGACTTCCATCAAATGACCTTGATACAGGGTATACCAACATCTTAAGTCTCATGGTTTGAAAAATTTGACCAGACAAGTATTTTTTTTCTTTAAAAAGACATATTTTTACAAATTCAATCTGAAAACACCAGAGTCACATGGCATGTTTTACCTCTACAACCTTTTGAACAAAATATTGAGCATATAGTTTTGGAGATGATCTTCTAAAAAGGGTTTACAGACAGACGGAGATGGTAATACCGGTATGCCTCCCCAAAGTTTGCAAAGGGGGTATAGTCAACATTTCTTGTTGCAAAATGAAGCATTAGTGGATTATACAGCGTCACGCACCTACACAAAGCAGTGAAAAGATTGGCATAACCTACGCAGACGGATGTTTTCAACTTGAGGACCGACTCAGCATCAAGCGGCTTCTTTTTACCTTGAAACAAGGCAGCTGTGTCATATCTGAGTAAAAGAATAAAATAAATATGATTATTAAATAAATTTTTGTGTGAACTAGCATTGACTTTGTTTAAAATGAATAATTGTCATAATGTTTTATACCGCATATATAGTCGATTATGATAATAGTTTGTTGGGTGTGTAAAAAACATGATGGCATTTTCACAAATGAAATATTTCATTAAAAAATGAAAACACTTGCGAAATGTTGTTTGTGATCCATCTGTAAAATAGCCGACATTTTTCCATGTCATTTTTGGCTGGTTTTGTCAAATATCTGCACAAAGATTCAACGGACGTGTCTACTGATTTTGGCGCCTAAAAAGAGGATAAAGCAATAAAGGGTTTGAATTAATTCCCATATACATGTATCTGGTTTAATTTTGGTAAATGGCGATAACTCAAATTGTATACAAAATTGTCGTGCATTGTCCTCCTTTCTTACCTCCCAATTATACATGAATTTGATGAAATAAAAATGAAACTCATATCAATAAATCTCTGTTCGCCAATTAAAGCAATTTATTTTCGCGAAGATTGGTGCTCAACTAAACATAATTCATTGGAAATTAGAGACGGATTATCTTATGTCAGTTAGAATTGTTTGAAGTTATTGAATCGTATAAACTTTGTCAAAGTATGCGCGTGAAGTATAAGGGCTGGGTGGTCATATCCATTTTAGACAATTTAAGCTTCCTGGAAAAGACGAGCTCTGTATGAAAATAAGGAAATTGCATTAAACATTATAGCTGGAACACGTGTTTTTCCCCCTTTACTACCTAATATACTGAAACGCAAAAGAAACGCAACATTCTATTTTAGGGGGAAATATTATATATAGGATATAATTTTGTATCTAAAATGTAAGGATATCTTCAACTTTGTAAATATCGGTAATTTAAGGGTTGAATGATTTTCATACCATTACCCACAGGCACTTGGGGTCTGGACCCCCCCCCCTTTCCATTTTTTTTTTTCTTTTGAAATATGGGATCGAGTCACCTTTTTCCTATTTTTGTATTCTAATATGCACTGTATGTTATCAATAATGTAACTCTTTTGTCTCTATATGCTGTTTTTAAATATACCGTTTTCGACTGATACATAAAAAGCATAGGCACTCCCCATGCAACTTAATTGTTAAAAAATATATATCTACTATACTATAAACATAACGTTATGTTTATAGTATAGTAGATATATATTTTTTAACAATTAAGCTGGGGAGTGCCTATGATAAAAAGAGAGAAGGCTTGCAACTCTTTTCTCATCGTTTGCCTCACCTCGCTTAAACTTCGCCTGATTATTTATCGAAAGAATAAGAAAACATGGAATATGCATACATCAATAAATTCGTTATACATTCTTCTTCCTTTTCATATTTTCATTTAATTTTTATGTGCCCCCGATTTGTAAATATTTCGATTAAATCAACCGCATCTAGGGTAAATTTTGTTGATGTGCACCAGCTGGGACGGAAGTGCAAGAACGGTAACTCTAACTTTACAAATGTTCTGTATTAAATAAAAATTCCAAGCTTTGTAATAAAAATATTGAGAAATTTGGTTGTCTAAGTCGTATGTTAAATGTTAATCTTCATCCATTAGAATCTGCTAGTTGGAGTTATCTTGTTATTCACAGAACTTACCGTTACATATATTATGAAGAGAAAATTCGGGAATTTTTCCCTCTTTCATTTAATGTTCCGAATAACATTACACTTAATGATGACGCCCGAAAATACCGGACACTTCCGTCCCAGCTAGTGCACATCAACAAAATTTACCCTAGATGCGGTTGATTTAATCGAAATATTTACAAATCGGGGGCACATAAAAATTAAATGAAAATATGAAAAGGAAGAAGAATGTATAACGAATTTATTGATGTATGCATATTCCATGTTTTCTTATTCTTTCGATAAATAATCAGGCGAAGTTTAAGCGAGGTGAGGCAGACGATGAGAAAAGAGTTGCAAGCCTTCTCTCTTTTTATGTATCAGTCGAAAACGGTATATTCAAAAACAGCATATAGAGACAAAAGAGTTACATTATTGATAACATACAGTGCATATTAGAATACAAAAATAGGAAAAAGGTGACTCGATCTCATATTTCAAAAGAAAAAAAAATGGAAAGGGGGGGGGGTCCAGACCCCAAGTGCCTGTGCCATTACCGAGAGTTAAGTTTGAGTCCGCTTAAGAGAAATCAAAAATTGCATGTTTAACAAAACATTTGGAAATAATATGGGGTTTTAATGGTTGGTATCTGTTCATCATAAGTAATGCAGCAATATTCCGAAAAATAAATTATCCTTTCTTTTCCATAAGCTATGCCAAGGCTTCTGAAAATGACTTAAGTACGCATTTCCATTGCTCTAGCTGGAAAATCTCAAAATAAAGGTGATGGGAAGTTGCAGATGCAAATATGCAATACATTAGGCCTCAAGAGGCTCTTACGTATCATTAGCATGAATGACAGTCCTTGGACCGGAAGTCCAAGGGTTACTACACTGCGCTAGGCTAGAGGAAATTCGACCTCGTCATCTTAAAAACAGGCATTTAAAATGGCGAAGAATATTTCTTTCGCTCAGATCTCGAGATTGATGAACCTACTGCATCGTAGAAATCAAGCTGCAATTGTGCATGGCAGTCTTACACGCTGTTATTGAATGGCCGGGGTGGGGGGTGTTTTAACAGTCATGAGCTACTTTCTAAAGTTAAAAGATAATCATTTAACATTTTTATAAAATCTCTGATGTTTTTAAATCGACTTTAACCTTATTGTATTCATTTTTGAAAATCATTAGATAAAAAATTCAGTAGATTGCTGCTTGCTGCGTTTCTTTTGCGTTTCAGTATAGCTTATGGCTAAAAGAATCAAATTTCATATATTTTTAGATGGATCTGTTCAGTATTTTTGCTATCAGATCACCAAGCTACATGTATTTTTTTCGATAATATTTGTACAATTCTTGCCTTTAATGCATGTTCATCTAATAAATAAAACATGTCATCATTGGGAATGATCTCATTTCGCCTGGTCTTTGGCGGTTTTGGTGGGTAAAGACTATTTTCCAAAGTCTGAGTCGGCTGTGAGGTCGAGAGGAAAGTGGCCTTTGGATCAGGTTCAATAAAATCGACGGGTGGATCTTTGAAGGTGACAGATTTTCTCTGAGATTCGGGCTTTATCGGTTTAGTTTGTCCACACCCCATTCTTTATCTATTTTCGCCGTTTTCTGTTTTGTGGGTATGGCTGAATATAGTTGATCACGTCTACAGGAGGCTCTTTGAAGACCACCGTTTTCTCTTTCTTTTTCTCTTCTGGATGGAGTTGAATGACCTGCTGTTTTGTGTTCCCACAGCCCATTTATATTATAGGACAGGACTGCAAAGTCAACAACTTCACTGTAAAAAGTATAATTTTACGAATATTTGTTGTGTGAATTAATCAACGTGTCAGGTAAAATATTTTTAAAATTGCACAGGCGTGAAAACGACAAACACATCTTAAATTTATCATTTTCATAAAAGTTAATAACTTGGGTAAGAAAATAGACATATTCATGAAGCACGTGTCTGATTTACATGTAGCTTCTAAGAGTCAGGGGGTCCGTTCTACAAAATGACTTACGAATACGACCAGATTGTAATTTTGCGAATAACTTCCTTCTTTATATTAATTTGAAAATGATAATAGAAAAAAAAATTCAAAGATATTTTAGGCAATTTATAAAATAATAATAATTTAATCAATGTGGCCCTTGTGTTCAAAAAATATTATGATGTAAAATAATTATCAGCATACCTAAATATCAACAAATTCAATCATAGAACAACACTGTATATGATTGAATATAATTCCTAGCTCTCTGATTGGATGAGATCTATAGAAATCACCTACACGAGACCATCCAGTTGAACATATATATTTTTTTTAATTGGACCCAAAAATAGATCGAGAATTTCCAAATTGATACAATTAGTTTTAAAAAGATTTGTTTAGCTCCTCTCTTTGCTTTCGGCTAGACTTTCAGTAAATGTAAAGAAAGATGATAAGCTTTGTTAAACGAATTTGTATCATTGAATCATATAATAAAACAATTGCTGTTTGGTTTTTAGCTCACCTGAGCCGAAGGCTCAAGTGAGCTTTTCTGATCACACTTTGTCTGTAGTCCGTCTGTATACTTTTCAAATTTTCGACTTCTTCTCCAGAACCACCGAGCCAATTTCAACCAAACTTGCCACAAAGTATTCTTGGGTAAAGGGGATTCAAGTTTGTTCAAATGAAGGGCCACGCCTTCTTTCAAGGAGAGATAATTATGAATTCGTGAAAAATTAATGGCATCATTAAAAAATCTTCTTCTCAAGAACCACTGTGCTTGAAAATATGAAACTTATGTGGAAGCATCCTCAGATAGTGTAGATTCAAATTTGTTCAAATCATGACCCCCGGGGGTCGGGTGGGGCCACAATGGGCAATCAAAGTTTTATATAGGAATATATAGGAAAAATCTTTAAAAAATCTATTTCTCAAGAACAGCAAAGCCATGATTGGTCATATTTACATGGAAGCATCCTCAGATAGTGTAGATTAAAATTTGTTCAAATCATGACCCCTGGGGTTAGGGTGGGGCTACAATGGGCAATCAAAGTTTTATATAGGAATATATAGGCATTATCTTTAAAAAATCTTCTTCTCAAGAACAGCAAAGCCATGATTGGTCATATTTATAGGGAAGCATCCTCAGATAGTGTAGATTCAAGTTTGTTCAAATCATGACCCCCGGGGGTAGGGTGGGGCCACAATGGGCAACCAAAGTTTTACATAGGAATATATAGGAAAAATCTGTAAAAATCTATATCTCAAGAACAGCAAAGCCATGATTGGTCGTATTTATATGGAAGCATTCTTAGATAGTGTAGATTCAAGTTTGTTCAAATCATGACCCCCGGGGGTAGGGTGGGGCCACAATGGGCGATCAAAGTTTTGCATAGGAAAGCATTGAAAAATCTTTAAAAATCTTCTTTTCAAGAACAGCTAAGCCATGATTGGTCACATTTAAATGGAAGCATCCTCAGGTAATGTAGATTCAAATTTGTTCAATTCATGTCCCCCCAGGAGAATAGAGGGGCAATAACAGGGGATCATAGTTATACAAAGGATATATCAATAAAAAATTCTTCTTAAGAACAGCAAAGCCATTATTTGTCATATTAATTCAAAAGCATCCCTATGAAGTATAGATTCAAGTTAGTTCAAATCAAACCCCCCCCCCCCCAACCACTTTTATATTTAAATTTTCAACCTTTCAAGACTGAACTGATTTCTGCTTTTTCCTAGCCATAGTGCTCAGGTGAGCGATGTGGTCCCTGGGCCTTTTTTTTTTTTTTTTTTTTTTTTTAATACAGTCAATACGATGATTTAGCAACCCTCAAAGTACAATATTCTCCGAGCTTAGCTAGGGCCTAGTGAATATTGTACCGTATTTTGTGGGTAGCTAAATCACCGTAATGACCAAAATTTAAAAAAAAACAGCAAAAATTACAGGTAAATGATAATATAATTATGTTTAATTATATTTAATCTTTTGATTTTTTTTAATGGAACAATTATTTTGTTAGCCCGTGGAGTTGAATACTGGGGATGCCGAAGGGGGGGGGAGGGGCTAAAAGAATCAGTTAAAAGATAGATAATAAAAAATACGACGACGGAATATGATTAAAAGGAGAATTATAGGTAGCAAACGGCTTTACGGGGAAGTAACTCGCAGTAGCAATCTAGATAAAGATTGCAATGCTATTTAGAGTAGCGATGTACCATATTAAACTTATTTTAAAAAATGAATACACGCGCTTATGACTTTACAGATAATACTTAAAATGCATGTAAATATTGTGTGAAGACTCTCTTCAGTATTTACCCTTCAGTCAATAAGTTGATTTTAAAAAGACCAGAGGTGTTTAGAAATGTACATTCAGCGTACAGCAGCTTAGGTTTCAATAATATGTGGAAATGGGGGCATTTAATCTATACTAGTCGATCACCTTAAATATCAAATGAATCTCAAAGAATTATCAATATGTTCAAAGAGGCAAAAAATGTACATCTATTAAATTAACTATGGTTTTAAATGAAATGGTAAATGTCTATCTTACCTTGAAAATAACATTGTAAAAGAAAACTTTCATTCTCCGGCCAAACTTGTCCTTCGCAACCACTAGGCCACTTTTTTGAGTTTTAAAAGTCTATAGAACACTTTTGGGTTTAGGATTATCTAAACACGAATAAAATAGAACTGACTTTTGCAGCCTTAATCTGTTTTAACTTATAACTGCCTAGCCACGACTTTACCTCTATAATTCAATACAGTCTACGAACACAGGCACTGTTGAAAAACTGCCACAATTTCAATGTACACCAAACAATGGTATATTTAAATTCCCCCTATAAATATCGGAAAGGTATAGTCGAGGTTTAAAGATTTTTTTGTACGGTTCGATATCTGTTTTAACGTTGCCTTTCATTTCGAATGGACAATATTTCAGTGTTTTCCCAGCTGTATACATATCTGATTTTTAATAATATTTCAATTTATTATTTTATTTTTGTTCGTAATATATTAATTATATTTAAAACTATACTGGAAGAAACTGTTAAACAAAGGTGGGGAAAATGTATGGACTCCTTAAATTACACGGGGCAATCAAAAGTTTTGCAAGTTTGCCAACAAAAATGAAAATTGAAAACAAAGATAATTATATCTCTCATGAACATATTGTTTTATTTTGTTGTAGGTAGTTACCAAAAACAAAAAACAAACAAACAAACAAACAAAAGAGCAGCCCATGAACCACGATGCTCACCTGTACCTTGTCCCTGTCGTTCTTCAGCCAATTTTCAAAAGATTGTCTCCCTTTCTTATTTTTATTAAAAAGAATGATGACTCCATATCGTGGCCCCACCCTAGCCTAAGAGAATATAATTTAACGGAAATTGAATCCACACAATACCAGTATGACTATCATGACATAGCTGCTCTTGGATAGAGCATTTTTAAAAGATTTTTTTACCTCAGTACAATCATTAGGTAAAATTTGTAACCCAATTTTAGCCTCATCCTATCCAAGGGTCCATACTAAATTTGAAGAAGGAAAAAATTAATCCACAAAAATTAGGAATGTTCCCATATCAGTATAATTAGGAGTGGCCTTGCTACTCTTGAAAAGATTTTCCCATGTATAACTTGACATAACTTACCGTAACCTTTCTGCTCTTCCAAAGATGTTTTCTTATTACTTTGACTCAATACTGTGGTTCCACTGTAGGTTTGGGGACTATGATTTGGTCAAACTTGAATCTACACTACTTAAAGATGCTGGTATATATCTGTTTCCCTGCCTTTTCTTTATATCATGTTTTAAGATTTTTTTTTATACCGGATTATATGACAAGCTTTTGACTCCCTGTTGCGACTCCAATCTAGCTTTAGGATCATGAGCTGAAAAAAAAACCCCGAAAGTCTTCACTGTATTGGGATGTTTCTGTATTAATAGCTATAACCATAACTCTTCTTTTCTTGAACATACAATTTGTTTCCTTTGAATTCCCAAGTAAAAGATAAGACTCAGGAAAAGAAAAGTAGCAATTGGACTTGAAACCACACAACAGCAATAAAATGAATAATGATCCTTGGTCTAGTCTCTTTATGTGGTAACATTTATTTCAAATCAGATTGTGCATTTTAGTGCAGTCTACTTGTGTGCAAATTATATTGAAGTCAGACCAATACTGTAGGAGGAGAGTGTCTTGAAAGTATTTCATAGAAATTTCTATATTTAGTAACCATGAAAACATTGTTCATTGACATAAAAAACCAATATACAGAATTATGTATCTTAGTATAGTCCTTCTTGTGTGCCAAGTTATATTGAAATCAGACCAAACTTGTAAAAGGAATGGCGTTTTGAAAGTGTTTCACATAAATTTCTATTTTAAGTAATCATGGCAACACCGCTCATCACAATCAAACACTATTATTTAGAATTAAGTAAAGTAATGTAGTCTACTTGTGTGTCAAGTTTTATTGAAATAAGATGAAAACTGTAGGAGGAGTAGTGTTTTGAATGTATTTCAAAGAAATTTCTTTTTTAGTAACCATGGCAACACAATTCAAAGAAATCAAACACCGGTATACAGAATAATGTATCTTAGTGTAGTCTACTTGTGTGCCAAGTTAACTGGTTTGCAGCAAAACTGTTGGAGAAATAGTGTCTTGAAAGTATTTCAGAGAAATTTCTATTTTTAGTAACTATGGAAACACCATTCATCGAAATCAAAAACCTATATACTGAATTATGTATCTTAGTGTAGTTTACTTGTGTGCCAAGTTATATTGAAATCAGACAAAAACTGAAGGAGGAGTAGTTTTGAAAGTAATTCAAAAAATTTCTATTTTTAATAACCATTTCAATGCTACTCATCAAAAACTCCTACATAGAATTATGTACCCCAGTGTAGTCTACTTGTGTGCCAAGTTATATTGAAATCAGACAAAAACTGTACGAGGAATAGCGTTTTGAAAAATTGTTTACAGACCAACAGATGGATGATGGACACCTTACTTTTGCATAAGCTCTTCTGGTCTCTGACCAACAGAGCTAAAATAAGAAAGATTTTTTTTGATGAGCAGAATGACAGTTTTTATGTAAGGCACCAATATATCCTTGTATGATCCTATCTATGCTTCTTATGCTGTTTGTTTTATGTATAAATTTTCAAGATGAGTGATGACATAAAATGATTTAGAGGTCTCTTCACAAGTAATTACAAGCCCAACAATGGCTAAACTTGCATAGATATTGTTATCAGGGAATATCTTAGTTTAAAGTCATTTTAACAGTTCACACTTACTACACTGTACGGCTGAAGCACCAGGTTAAAAAAAATCTTGAGCAGCTCTATTCAGTTCACATAATTCAAGCTATATCATTTCTAAATAATCAAATTCATCATATAATCCACATTTGAATCTGCAAGTAATATGTAGGAATTTTTTTTCAGAAGACTTTTCAAGATTCCACCATAGAATCAAAATTGGAGTACAGGTATTATATATCTGTTATATGATACATACTTGCCACTGAAATGAAAATAATGTTCATGGATGAACACAAACTTTGGCATTAAAAGATTTTAATATGAGCTAATTTATTGCTTTCACAATCTACTGTTTGTAGCATCAAGTTCAGCAGTTTGTGAGCAAAGTTTCAAATCTACAGATTTATAGCTTAATTCTCACTAAATTTTTAAGTTTTTGTATTGATGTATACTGATTACACACTAAGTCTAAAATATATCACTAAATAGCCATATACATATATTTTGAATATATAAGGCCAAAAAAAATTTATAGTTTCTCAGGCAAAAATTTTCAAAATCCAATGCAGCAGGCAGGGTTTTTTTTTTTTTTTTGGGGGGGGGGGGGGGGGGGGAGCAGGTTCAGTCATTCAACAAAATGATAGTATCAACTTATTCTTACTTTTTTTGTTCTCTTACATTAATTACAATATGTATTTAACTTCAAATAATGTAATTCCAAACATTTGTTTAAAAGCCAATTCATAAAATACATATTAAAGCTGAACACAATTCATAAATAGGCATAAGCCATATTCCATTATACTATCTACGATATCAGCACCTGGATATACCCTTCACATTCCTTACAACTGACTGCTTTATTGTCATGAGTATCGGTGTGGAATGGCATCACAAGTTCGTGCTGGTTATCTTGCATTGCCTTTGCTTATTTATTTTATTGCAGTTACATGTATTTGTGTTTGTTTATATACTGTGCAACTGTTGTGAGATTTTTTGGGTATCCTTCTCTCCTGTCGTAGTAAAAGTACACATTTATTTTTTATTTTTTTTTGATACCGAGTACTGTGTGGCATGCGTCCATCTACACTAGTGACAACTGATTACACTGAACAGTGACTAAGTGAGTGGCTTATATAGGGACCCTCAAATATAGTGAGCGAATAATCTAATATGGTGGACAAATTCCTTTTATGAATCTTGTTTAGCATTTATGAAAAAGGAAGTGACTCGATTTTCTTTTTCAACTTGAAAAAATTGAGTTATTTCCCTTTTTACGTCAATAAAATAGATCAATGCGGCAGTTTTTTGACCTGATGCGGCGGTGCCTGAGAAACTATTGATTAATTCTTTTTGGCCTTAAATACAATTATTATTAAATTTATCTTCTAATTTTCTTTAAGTGTTTTATCTTTCTTATATACCCAAATACCAGTTTATATATCTAATGTACAGTTTTTTTTTCCATGGATAACTTTAGCATATTCACTATTTTCAGGATTCTGTAAAACAGTCTTGAGAAACTCCACAGTTTCTTGTTTGAAATCCCGAATGTCTTTTTGTAGCTGCCTATTTCTTTTAATTAGCTCAGCGGTCTTCATTGTCACATCCAGAAGTCCCGAGCTTTGTAAAGCTTCTTGAGTCCGCTTGTACCGTTTACATTTTCCCCCCTGGGAGCGGTTTGTGGTGGTGGACAGAGTTGTATCATCAGATTCACTAGCACTTGTTCCCTCCCCAGTGGGGGGAGTCAAACTCTGACCTGAAAACTCGCCCAAGTCAGAGTGCACAGAAGCAGTAGAAGACAGTTTGGCGACTTTACATAGAGTGCTGTTAGAGTCGGTCCTACTTCCTCGCCCTTTTCTACTGAATGTTAAATTTGGTCTACTTTCCAAGTCACTAATTGTGCTGAAAACATCATCGGAAACACCAAAACTGTACTTAGAATCCAGTGAAAGAGGGATCCCCTGATTTTCCATTGCTGGAAGTTGTCCACCAAAATTTGATCCACCAGTCCTCCAGTTCAATGGCAAGACAGGATTTTCTACCCTGGGGCCAACCTGTATGGAACAGAAATGGCAATAGATCAGTAACAATTATTTACACACATTATCCAATTTCTGTATAAAGGGTAATTTCTGCACTTGTCTAATTATTGTGGAATTTTGCAGTTCAGTCAAATTCACAAAAAATGATATAAGAATTGCAAAATACCACAATTCTTTGCTTTGTCTTTGGAGTACAGATTGTCTGAAATCACAAAACTCTGAAATTAAAGGATCAAAGTCCATTTTTCTAACTGCAGAAATTATGTTACATTTTAAAGCCAATTTTGAGCCACATGGGATCCCCATGTATAAAATGCACATGTAGGCAGAAATCAAAGAATTAGCATGCATATTTCATTTACAAACAAATCGGATGTTCAAACCTTTTCCCCTATAAATGCTATATAACAAAATCAGTTGAAATTGTTCTAGTGATTTCAGAGGAAGGTAACAATATGCATTTCTGAGAAAATCAAATGCTCTGGGGCAGCAGTAATGGGAACACTGTCCAACCTAGAGTTGTCCAACTAGGGTTAATCCCTCTTGTGGGACCCAATCAAAGCTGTTCATGTTTATTACTAATTTGCATACAATTCATATATAATATCATAAGATAGCAAGCTACTTTGGAGCCTCTTATGTTTCTCCATTACATTTGTTGGATCAGACAAGATTTTACATTTCTGTGCTTTGACCTTGACCTTATACAAATGATCCCGATCAGAATCAGATTTAAAACAAGTCCTCTGATAATGTGTGACCCCTGATCCAAAAGGGAGCTTCTCAATTATGCAATAGTTGACTGATTTATTGAATTACTAGTGAGGATCTTTATGGCCTTAATTAATTCAAATAATCTTGGGTCAGGGTCATGACATACCCTTTGATCTATTGTTTCCTTTGGTCAAAGTCAGGACACACCTTCTAATAATAAGCTACCATTGTACTAAGTATGATTTTTTAGCATTTCTCCATTATGAAATTAATGAAATAGAGAAGAATCTAACACTTCCAATTTCTGTGACCTTGTAAAAGTGACCTCAGTTCAGGGTCTACATAGTTTTCATCTTCTAAAGTTATGACTGTAGACAGACACAGAGATCCACCATGAAAATATTCCCCCATCCTTAATATCAGGAGCATAAAAATTTCACAAGTTCACGAATGTCCTTTATAATGCACAGGGAGATATATGATACAATGCACAATGGGTTGTTTATGTTAACTAGAAATGTTACCATAGAATTATGTTACCAAGTGACCTAAAAAAAAAGGTCAATTAAAATCATGTTCAGTAGTTTTACTAATTACCATAAAAATATAATAAAACTTAAAACTAAATAAAAAGATATAATTGTTACACACTTACCATTGAGGTTGGTGCTGTTCCTGCATTTTCTGTTTCATGTGCTTTTTGGAAATGATCTGGACCTACTAAAAACACACACTCCCGTTATTCGTAAACAGTAGTCTTTAAATGTACATGCATGATGTATAATGACGGCATTAATGTTTTGACAAGCAAATTTATTCAATTTACATGACCTTCGAATAGTATTTTAATTTGTTATTTATTCTGCTACATATTAAAATTATTTATCCCATGCTTCCAATAAATGCTTATGTTCAGGTAAAAATTGTTTTATATGGATCTTCAATTGGATACAGTAACTATATATATATATTGATCAGTCATGTACTGAGTGACGTCTGGCACATACTGCTCTCAAAAATACATTTATTCTGATCACCGATTTAATGATCATTGATCATTCTGATCAATTAAGGTCAGGGTTACTGGTGTTAATGACTTACAAGTGACCGAGAATTGAGACATTACATGGTATAAACTTAAAATCAGATGTGTATTTGAATCATGAAGCACTAGCCACACAGTGAGTAGGAAAGGGTAAATTTGTCTGTGTCTATGGCCCTATTATTTATATTATGATTAAATGAAACATTTTTACATTTAATGCACCATCTGAAATTTCTTAAGAGCTAGCTATCCTTAAAATGGCTATAAATTTTGTTACCAGGGTTTTAAAGTACACAGGGTGCAACATAAACTATTTGTAAAATATCCACTTGTTTATCAGACAAGTTGCCAACAAATGTTACTTGTCCAGTTCATTGTTTACTTGTCCCACTTAGAATAGATGTAAAAAAAAAAAAAATGTAGAACTTTATTTTAAAGAATATAGTACATGTAGTATAATTTTAATATTGACTTATAAAGATTTGTTAAATCATGAAAGTAAAAATATTTGTAACCTTATCTTGATCACCCACATCCATTTTATATCTGGTGACAAGTGACTGAAATGGACTGAATGGAATATTGTAAATAAGATTGAAAAAAAAAATCCCCACAAAATTCATTTCACTCTGTGACTTTCCATTCAGAATGTATGTTGGGAAAACACTGAGCTATTTCACTTTTCCATTAACTGCTGGATTCAGTTTCTTATTTTTAAAATTTTTTTAATGTTTAATCCGCCATCATTACCCCTCGGTAATTCAAATTTATATACATATAATTATTTCATTAAATTGGATTTTGAGAAAATAATCTAAATAATAGTTCCTTTTGTTTATAAATTGATATGCAATAAGGTATATTGGCTTTATGATCCATTCTCTATGTGAATTCTGACACTTGGCATATGCCTTCTCCTTCCCCAGGAATGAGAAATTTCATTTAGATTTCTGTACATGATCTTAACCTGAGAGAAAACATTGATCCCAATCAAACTAGAAGTCTTTAACATCCTGCAACAGCTTAAGCCAAGGTTAAAACAAACAGATACAGCACCAAAACCTAATTCTTCAATGTTTGGGTCAATAGAACCTTACTATTTCATAGAAGAAAATTTTGCATACAATTTACCTGTACTCTGTGATGCACAAGTTCCGTCTGTTTTATTTTGAATTTCTGTTAAATTTGTAGGCACAGTTAGCAAGTTTTCAGTGTAAGAATCTAATTCAGGGATAACACAGTTTTGTGTAATCTGTTCTGGTCCAGAGGTTCCAGAGCATATTGTGGCAGCTTTTTGACTACTTCGTTGTTCTTCTGTGTGTGGAGTCTGATGACAGCTTTGTAGCTCTCCTGTGTATGGAGGTTGAGAACAACTCTGTTGTCCTCCTATATGTACTCGAGACTGCTGATTTAATTGCTTGTTTCTGACCTTTGCAGCCTCTGTTTCCCTTCTGATTTTTTCTACCGCCACAAGGAATTCAAGCCTTAGTTGTTGGAATTTTGCTGAGGCTATGACATTAGGATCTGGTTCACAAGCAAAATCTGCCTCATCTGGAGAGAGAACAATTCATAAATCATTAATCATCAAATTCATACAGTTTAAACTACAAATTTAGTGAGTACTATTTTTAAAAATCTATTCAGTTTTTTTTTTAATTAACCTTTTTTTAAACCAATTTTTCTTTTCACTGAACACTATACATGTTTAATGCATAAATTTGTCTAAATTTTAAAGTTTATCAATCTTGAAATCTGAAAGTATCAAAGATTCTGTTAACTCTTTCAATCTTAAGAGTTAACTGTGAAGAGAAACAAGATAAAATATTTAACAATAAATTTGCTTTTTCAAAGGGACATAACTTTTATCTAAATTAGTTGAAGAAATATCATTAGAGGGACCATAATTCATGGTTTAATTGTATATCTTAATAGTAGTTCAAAGTTTTGATGGCAATTTATAAAATAAACTAATTGTTTCGTAAAAAATAACTTAAATGGCACATACACTGAGGGCAGGGGGACCCCAAAGTCTCATCCCAGTGGCTGATCTCTGTTATCAGAAACTAGCTTTGCATTTCATAATTTAACATGAAACTCTACAATTTTAAGTATTTTATAAATCTTTACAAAATGTAGTCAGATTTTTCTTTGGGTTCAACCCGACTGCAACAATGAGGCAAGAGTGATCATAAAAAAGATATTTGTTTTTATCAACCAATTCTTAAGACTCAACTGTTTTATGTAAATTCATTACTTCAGTCACAAAGGTAATATTGATTTTCTTCACATTTTATTATCTGCAGGCTTCTCCAGTACAAGGTAAAGTATTGTCAATGAACCAAAAAAAAAAGATTTAAAATAATTCATTGATAATCAATCCTGATAAAATCCAAATCTCATCCTCCAAAATGTTTTCAACATGACTGAAAAAAAAAGAATTTACTTTTATTGCCACCAGGACTATATCAAGTTAATACATGTACCGGTTTATATGCATTTATATTTCCATTTCTATTTGTTTTCTCTGTGATAACTCTTTGAAAGTTAGTTGACTTGATTTCTTGATCATTCTACCAGAATGCAAATTTCGCCAAGCGATAGGCCAGGAACTAAGGAGGCAAAATATGCATGTAAATCTCGTGTGTATGTCTTAGCATCTGACGCTAGGTAGGCCTAATATGCATGTAAATCTCATGCGGCTGTCTTTGTGTTTGAAGTCCCTGGGCCGGGACTATTAAATTGACATGGGAGACCTCGTGTAATTTAAATCTATTAGTCTACATTTTTAAAATCTAAATTTACAATTTTATTTCACAATGCAATGGAAATATAAAGAATCACTGTCTAGTTAGTAGAGTATGCCAGGAACATCAACGATAGTTGGAAACGTGGGGTGGTGGTTCCTAACCTCTGTCATCTTCCCAAGTTAAGGGTTTTTTATCCACTCGATCTGCTCAATTATGTGGAAACCCTTGGCTTGGGATTTGAAGATGTCGTCTGGAGCCAAGTTAATATATATTTCACAATTTATGTAGAGTTCCTCTTGGTTGGTTTTTGCTATGTCCTTGTCTCCTAGATCTATTGGTGCTAGGATTGATGAAGATTTTTAAAGATAAAATGCATTTTCACTACATAGTACTGCATAACAGCCCCAACCTAGGGCCTGAACCCCTTTCAAGAGCAAAACTCTGGAATTTTATGTCAACAAGATCCTTTCCCTTGTTTTACTGCTTTGCCTACTGGTTTGTCTCCTAGAGGTGTGCTAGCAAAGGGGAACATTTTTATAAATGAAATACATTTTCACAATACTAGTATACAGAATATAGCCCCACTCGTGGATTGAATACTTAAGTAGGGGTCATGATTTAAGAGGAAGGATTGAAAATGTTCAAAATTAATGGATGACAGAGGACATGCATAGACTTCGTTGATCTAAAAATTGCCATTTATGCAAAGGATGCATATTACCAGCAAATACATGGGTACAAATGCGTGCACATAGAGACAAAACATTATTTATTTCCCTTTATAACCCAAGTATATGAACTGCTGAATCATTTTTAGAATTAAAACTTATACAATTGGCCTAAAGTATAAGTATTAAATCAATATGAAAGTATCATACCACTTATTTCATAAGCTGTATGAAAGAAATACAGTCTTGATCAGTATTTTCTGCAAGTCATGTATCAAGTGTCAATGTTTAACATGTAGTCAGTGAATCATTTGTTCTGTCAGATGCCTATCACTGATGACTGATCAATGATTTGGTGTTCTGTGTGCTTATGACATATGAATGGGTCAATTCATGGTGACCAGGTCATATTATGCATGGTACATATAATAAGACTAGAAAACGCTTTAACCTAAATCTTCAGTTGTCATTTATTTTTTTCTCCTTTTTTTTTTTTACTTTTGAAAAGAATTATCAGTTCTTTTGCACAAAGTTAGCAAGTGAAAGTCAAAGAGGCCTAGCCTCTCTAGACACATAGTATTTTATTTTCTGGTATATATTAAATTATTGAATGGCCATACTGAATACTAAAGAAAATTAAAAAAATCAACATTTAATAAAAAAATTATACAGTAAAATGCACTTATAATGAAGTGCCAGGGACAGAAGATTTTGCTTTGGTATAAACGTAATTTGTTATATCCGTCAAGTTCACATACCGAACTAAAAATGTCAACAAAGACGGCCATATTGTTATTTACTGTCGCGTGTTGAGGTATGTAGTGTTAAATTATGCAGCATATATCACATGTAATGGCTATTTTCCTCTTAATTTACATAAGTAAAATAAGGAATTTATCTTTACTACTGCACAACTTTGCAAACTTACAGCGAAACACGAAACTGCACTGTTCAACTCAATATTTACAAGTTGAAGCTCTTCTTGAAGACGGACTGCCAAGTCCCGTGACTATTCTACTTTTAGTTTTCAATTGGGGTGGGACATACTAAAGACCGGTCCTTCTAAAGATTTGACTGATCTGACAGAAATAAAATTCTTCACATATTGTTATTAATATTCAAGTTTAAATATGAAAATATTTCAGAAATATAAAAACTTAGATTAGGGTCTTCTCGAAACATTTTTACCGCGTCAAATGTCAGACAGAGACATGAATAAATGGTGAGGTCATAAAGAACTACGCACGCTAACTGTGATTCCCACCTACATTTTGCACTCATTTAATTTAATATTAATGACAATTTGGCCAATAAAACTTAATTGAATACAAAGAGGAGTTCATTAGTAATTTATTAATAATTTTAAAACCACTGTCAAAAAGTTTATTCCTCTTTTATTTTTTGTTATTATTATTATTATTATTTATTTATTTATTTATTTATTTATTTTTAACAACTTATCATATTTGGGTAGAAAATTTTATCCATTGAAATAAGACTTTCTGATCATTAGCATCACCAAATTTTTCGAATATGCATGGAAATGAATAAATGACCCTTAAATATTTCCGTATGTTTAACTTATGTAAAATTCAAGGCATAAGATTGATAAACTACAATTTTTCAATTTTAATCTCATTTGAAATTGGTAAAAAAATGACTTTTTTTTTTTGCTGTTTTTTTTTTTGGGGGGGGGGGGTCTATAAACGTATCCCTCCCCCCCCCCCCCCCCGGTGAAACAACAAATGCTTTCGTATGAATTTGTCGAATAAGAACTCATAATACCTGTAAAAAAGAATTTTTTGTTTCGCAGGGGGGGGGGGGTAAAAATATTTTCCGTTGATTTCAATAGTGAACAACAGAAGTTTTACCAAAATTACAGAGTTATCTGTCTTTTTTCCCCAAAAAAGTTATGTTTTATAAAAATTCACATAAATCTTTTGAATGAAATACTCGTAATTCAAAAGTTTTTTTATAATATAGGAATTATTAGTTCTAAAGAAAATACGTGTGTTTATTGAATAAATAATTTTCGATGTGGTAATGTCATTAAATTAGATTTAAAGTAAACAATAAAATGCTTTCTTTTGGTTGTTAGTACAGGAGTACCTGTTGCATCTCTTGCAGAAAAAATAACACACTTTTACCACCGCCTAAGCCGGTTACGTAATTTTTTTTCTTCAATATCTGCAACTTAAATTCCCCGGCTATATACACAAACAAAGGTTGGTGGATGATTCCTTACCAGCTGAAGTCGATGACATCATATTAACTTGGTAAGGTAATTCATGGATATTGACATTTGATGTTTTTCTTCTTGCGTCCGGTTGAATCTGAAGATTCAAATAAAAAAAAATCTCAGTTGTTTTTAATTAGTACTGTCATTATAAATGCGTACAAATTCACGAAGGATATTTTGCGTACTTCAAATATGCTAATTTTCAAAATAATAAGTACTTTAATTCAACAATCAGATCTCAGGTCCAAATTTCGGTCACTAAACAATTCCTTTTCAACAAAAAAGGTGGTTAAAAAATCTGGAGTCTGTTGGCTTCCCTGTTCCCACCTCACAAATGTAACCCTCTACAAAAAAATATGAAATTCATGTCCCCAGGGTTCAGGTCTAGGGTGGAGGCTAAGTTGGTCTTTAAATTAAAATTTACAATAACTGTACCTTATTTATTTATTTTTTTTACCCCTATACTTCCAGGAGGAAGACTGGGGAATATAATGATTATTGAGTCTTCACCAAACTCTATATTTTTTGTAACACGAAGCCAAACTTCTTCTTCCAGGTGAGGATAAAGTGGTCATAGCCTGAGAGACCCAAGATAAGACTATTTTTAGTAAAATTTGTTATTTATGTACTATCTATTGCAAATCCAATGGATACAAGTAAGTCAACATCTAATGGCTGAATGTTTCTCTCTTTCAAATTCTCCATTACAGCTCATAGGTTTGTATAAAATGAAATATAAGATCATAAGGCCTATTTTTTTTCTCTGTGGTTTCTTTTTGTGGCCGACTTTAAAGAAGGATGTCCAAAAAAAAATCTTTTTTTTTTACCTTCAAGCATTTGTATACAAATATACAAGGATGACATATCAATGTTTATGACAACTCATTCCAACAAAAGAAAAATACACATATATATCGATACAGTGTTACAAACATATCTCGTCGAATATTCGTTTTTTTCCCCTTACCTTTGTATCCTGCTTTTTACTTATTACAAAATTCCCATTTCACCCTGGATAACATTTTGCCATAAAAAAAATCCAAAAGAAACATGTTGTCAAGCAGTTACAGAGAAGCGTTCTGTAGAAATCAATACCAGAAAAATCTCACAATGAAGACATCTTTTAACGTAAGCTGGATATAATTAAAGAATAGTTGTAATGTCAGCCTTAATTTACAGTATATATTGTCATATCCTGATGTTCGCAAGTCTATAGTCGGGGGAGTGGGTGGGGGTTTTAGGGGTCACCCCCACTTTTTCCATTTAGCGCCATTTTCCTCCCGCTTTCTGTTGCAGTATTTCTTCCATGGTAAATTGTACTTTTTTTTTGAGAGTGAGAAACTTCAAAGAACGATGCCACGTGCCTGATTCTCAAGTACATCCTATCTATTACCCCCTTTAAAGCTGGAAATTAACACCTTACACCTATGCGAAACCTTTCAGTGATTAACAGATCAAATAGCAAGGAATTAATTTTTTGGAATTTTGTCTTGTGGATAAAGATTCTTCAAAGTTTTAAAGTGCATTCCCTATATTAGATAAGATGGTACAGCTTCAATATAAAGCTTTCCTAGACCTCTGTCTGTGTGTGCAGTAGCGCCAATCACAGTGACATATCAAAATAACGATTTAAATTCGTTGCAGCGATGACCATCAAAAAAAAAAATCCTTAGAATATTTTCTCCTCCATTTTCATTGGCGGATTTAGAGGGGCAATATTCTTGGGATATTTTCAAGAGTGTAATTTTACATTTTAAACAAATAAAATTTCTTTAATTACATTTCCATTGAAAGAAATATTGAAAAATACCAGTGATACTCTTCAGTGTGGGAGATAAGAAAAAATTGTTTATGGTATGTATCTTTAAACACCTTCACTAATCTCATCTTCACAATGTCAAGGTTCTGTGATGATTTCAGAACTCCACACAAACAGTTTGTGTGGAGTTCTGAAATCACAAAACCTTGACATTATGAGGATGCACTAATCCCGGAAATTAAATACTTCAATGGGATGTTAATTAGAGAAATAAGCTCAAAACTAGAAAACATTTTTTCCCGTGGATCCCTGGTCTGTCAATATTTTTTTTAAACAGTCTAGAGAGCTTCAGTTCTCCAGCTGGTTGTGAACCTGTTTTTATTGCTAGTTGGTCTCGTGTATTTACTAAGATATCATTTAAGTAAGGTATATAAATAATAACTGTCCAACCAAAATTATACACATTATACAAACATCTTTAGATCGCAGTCCCATATAATTTTATGAAATCTAAAGTAATGAAAATAATTCAGCCGAGCGATTTTTTAACAAAATATCTTCATACTATGCAAAGCAAAGTCTTTCTAACTCAAAGCGTCTTTTTATACATGCGTTCTTCTTTCTTTTCTCTCTTTTATGTGAAAAAAACCTGTCGGGCATAGTTTTTTTCAGTGGGTATGGACCTCTCCTCTTTATGTGAGTGGGTGGGTTGGTTGGTTCAATGCTTTTCATTGTACTACCGGTATAAAGGAATACTTTATAACAAAAAATCTTTTCAAGAAGGACATGGTATAAATGTGGGTTCTTGAGTTTTATAAAACGGGCTAAAAATCCGCCTTTTGAGACTCAGGAGACCGTTCTGGTCCATGAGACTCTTGTTTTCTCAATGTATCCCATGTATTGGGTCACACTTAACCAACTTTAATATGTCATAATTAGCCACATAATTTCTAAGTGACAAGGTAAGAATATATCAATCTATCTATAAAAGTTGAGAGAGAGAAAAAAAATTGTCAAACAATATTTTTATACATGTATTAGATTTCAAAATCGATGGGTATGATTATTTTTAAATTGCTCCTTCGATCCCATTGCCCCCCTAGAAATAATAATTGATCTGGAACTTTACCCTGTCACTCCCCCTGCCATCAGAATTAATATTCCTCTCGGTAACCATGATTTCCAAAGCCTGTCCGAGGAGTCTATGATCAACCCTGCAACTGCACGTCAATGAGTATTAAATAAAATAGAAATTAAATATAATAAACATATTTTTTGTTTTTCATATGTATACATGTATTAAAAATCAGCAGTCAACATTGTACGGACTGAAAAAATGTAGATTTGTACAAGTTCTTCTGATTATTTTTCCCGAAAATGTGTCCGTAATTTGAAGGTAATGGTACAATATAGCTGCAAATTAATTAAGCAATAAAAAAGACGGCGCAAGGCAGTACTAACTCATTGAAAAAAAGGGATAATTGTTAAATTATGCTGAATTAAACCATTCAATTGATAAAAAATAATATAAATACACAATGCATCAACATTCTGTTTTTTGGTAATAAAAATGACTTTTAGTTCTATTTCAGCTGTGGTATAATTATGTGATTTTTATTTAAACAATGACTTGCACGAAAAAAATATACAGTTTATAATTAAATTGTATATTATAGAAATATTAATTGTCTGTTTTAGGAATTGAAAGGCCTGGAACTCGTAAATTGCTAGACCCCCCCCTTTCCCATTCCTTGATTATAAGCTTAATTAAATCGACAAATTTCAGAAACGAAGGACAATGAACAACCCCATTCCTTTTAATTAACACATATATTAAAATAAAATAATCTTAAACCATTTTTTTTGTTAAAAAATTCTAGAAACTTATAAAAATGAACACTTACCTACCAAAATCTTCGTAGAAGTCGCACAATGGTGGGATCTCGATTGACCGTGCGATATTATTATTCCCCACGGACAAAAGCACACATCGGTTACCTAATTTGGCAACACACTCACATACACCTCTCTAATGGTCAATTTTCGCTCGTGCAAAGACAGTTATCGTAATGTAGAGACTAGTCCACAAATGTCAACACGTGAATGCTCTTCCACAAGTGAACGACACCAACGTGAAATAAATGCATGTGTATAGATCAGAAATTCAATCTGTTATTGACTTTCCTCGCAGTACTATTGTTCGCAGCGTTCTAAATTTAATTATTGAACATCTCAGTAAATGACAAATACAAGACGGAGCAAAACATAAATGAACTCAGATGTTCTTTTAATATAACAATTAATTTTCTAGACCTCAGATTTAAGTTTTAATTTATATTATCAACATTTATAAAAACACGTGTAAATGCATCGAATCCAGAAATATGTTCAGTATTGGTTTAAAAGTACATGATTTCTGGTTAGGATGTCTTTTGCTTTCTTGTTAAGCAAGAGTAAATTTTCTTTTGAAAGGACAAACTTTTTTTGCAATTTCATCATAAACAGGTCCGTAGTACACAAAAAGGGGGGGGTATAGTTTTTTAATGTAGTTTAACTGTATAAATTTTTATTTGGAAGCTGCCCCCCCCCCCCACACACACACACCCCTCACACATTTTGTTGCTGTACAGTCGCAAAATGACAAATTCGAACATTGAAATTGAAAAAAAATTATACAGAACAGAACAGTTAGGAAATGCTCCCACCTTCTCACGAGATAGGATTTTTTGCAATTGCTTTGTTTTGCTTGTCAAATGTTTTAGGAACCCCCCCCCCCCAAACTATATATAGTTTACATGTACACTAGATGCGCTAAAAGTCAGTCTAACACTTAAAATTTTCAATACAAGGTTTTGAAAATTTTAAGTTTTAAACTGACTTGTAAGATTGCATGTACATTTGTATCGAAATGTACATTCTTTAGAAAATTCAAAAATTGTTTTTGTAAAATTGTTTTATGGAAACAAAGACCGCCTTTGTTTTATATTGCCAGCGGCCGATGTAAAGAATAATAATATTTCTATTTGGAAAGCTTAAAAAAAGGACAGAGTGCAAAAATCAAACTTTAGACGAACATGTAATTCGAAAAAACGGAATAGCTTAGCTGATGGGGGGGGGGGGGGGAGCCTGTTTTTCAACTCGGGGATGAAAAAGAGATGATAGAACATGCAATAAAGAGGTCTGAAATGGGAAAAGGGTTTAATACTAAATCTTATTTGATCATCCTTCACTGTTAATGTCTGTAAATTATGTTTATTATTTTCAAATAAAATCTGGTCTAAACTAAAACGTGAGATGTGTCTTGAATGTGTCTTAAGATGTGTCAGGGCAGACTGCATGGACTGAGTTTAAAATGGGGAAACCATCTGACATATGGTGCTGTTGACTCAAAACACGAACGTTTTCCCGTCAGCATATAGCGCGCTATTTTCAAGAGCTAGGAAAGATCGTTTTCTCACCAAATTTTAAAGAAGAGCCATCAAAAATATGGAATATGGACTAAACAAGAAGAAGTCTGAGCCATAAAACTCAAAAAAGTTCCAACAAAAACAGGGGGGGGGGGGGGTAAGTTCAAGGGAAAACGTCTGCTCATCATTATACTTGCGGTACTTACTTCCGCATTTTGCTATACAAGAAAAACGAATGAGAAATTAAAAAAAAAACCAAGAACCAAAAAAAAAAAAAAAAAACAAAACAAAACAAAAAAACAAACAAACCACAAAACACACACACAAGACTGAATGGTTATTGCCTAAGATTCAGTGGTTCAAGATAAGTCCGTTATAAAAGGTGCCAACTTCTCTGTCTACGGAGTGCAAAAATTTACATGAACTCAAATAATTGAAGCTACATGTATCTTGAATTATTTAAAGAGATAATTAATTCCTTTATTGCGCACAATAGCTAAAATGATGCATGCATCAAATCAATTATTTCTCTCATTCATTTAATTGAAGAAATCAATAATTGATTGGATGCACTTTTGTCAATTTACATGCATCAATTGTTAAGCTTAACAATGTGGTGGAATAAAAGCTTGCAAAATTAATTAACAAATTATTTAGACCTTGGTATAATCAGGGTGTAGCTGCCTATACGCCAGCACGCCATGGCGTGCACATCTTTTAGTCCAAAAAAAAATTACTGTGCATTTTTATAAAATTTATTATTAAAAAAATGATTATATCGTCATATAAAAAATTAAATTCCTAAAAGATTCCGTGTAAACTTACTATGCCTGCAGGCCTAACGTTATATATGTAATACCTATAGTTAATCCGGATTTACAAACTCTTTTCATAAAAATTCCAATTTAAATGCGCGTAACTGTATTTCCGATAATGAAATGACTGGCATGGTACGTATTATACAAACTAATCAATAATGTCAAAAACACCCGAAACGAAACCCAAATCAAAGCAGTCGAATCAAACTATAGACCGGTTTTTCAGTAAGGTTACGAAACCGGTTTCAACACCAGACAAATCTGAGCAAAATACATGTATCCCCGATAATGATTCAGGGGCATCAACCCCTTCGAAGGAATCACCTCCATCATGTTCATCTTCGACGATTTCTGCAAGCCTCCCACCCTACCCAGATATTGCCACGTTAGACGACTCCGAACTGCTTGTGAAGGAAACAAAAATGAAGATTTTGACATGTAAATGGGAAAATCCCCACACTTTCGACTTTCCTGCAAGGTAAATATTAAACCAATAATGAAAAAGATCTCTTGACAGTTGTAGGGAAATAAAAAGGAAATTAAAGATTGTTGACATTATAGTACATGTAACCTGAATATCTTCGTCATTCATTTTTATGACATTTCTAAAATAAGCATCTACGTTATGGTACTAAGAAATCCAATGCCAGTGTGATTTTTTGTTATTGCTTCCATAGGGACTTTGGAAATCGTCGACGCCGTTTATCTGCTAAATGGCTTCTAGATCACCCTTGGTTACGATACAGCATTCAAGATGATGCCCTATACTGTGGTCCATGTGTTTTGTTTGGCCGAAAAGAATGCAAAGAAAAACTTTTCATAAATAAAGTTACAGACTGGTCAAACTTACCTGGTTTCATCAAACGTCACCTTAGGGAAAATTCACCACATTACACATACCAAACAATGGCCGAGGAATTCATACGAATTTACTCTAAAGATGGCAATGAAGAGCCCATCTTGTATAAATTATCAACATTTAGAAAGGCCCAAGTTTCAAAAAATCGTCATATTTTGAAGAAAATTATGGAAGTACCTCTGCTTTGTGGAAAGCAAAATATACCCATCCGTGGACACGTTCCGGAACGCAGTAATTTCATAGCAATATTGCATTCTATGGCGCAGGGTGATGAAATACTTGCTGAACATCTTTCAGGGAATCGCAAAACTCTCTACACATCCCCTGACATTCGAAATGAAATTATAAATTTGCTAGCAAACCAAATCCGAACTGCCATTGTTGCTGATTGCAACAAGAGTAAATGTGCGCTCATAGCTGATGAAACCACAGATACTGCGACTCGAGAACAACTTTCTGTTTGCCTACGTTACTTGGTTCGGGATCAAGTGAGCAATGAAAAATCTATTAAAGAGGATTTTCTTGACTTTGTTATGGCACGTAGCACAAAAGGTGAACATCTAGCCGAACTTTTGATTCAAACTCTTCAAGGGGCTGGTATAGATATTGCAAAAATGAGAGCTCAGGGGTATGATGGAGCAGCCAATATGTCTGGAAAGTACAGTTGGGTACAGGCAAGAATACGGCAGGTTGTACCAGGTGCGCTATATGTACATTGCAAATCCCACTGTCTGAACTTAGCCGTTGTGCACAGTTGCAGTAACAAGTCGATTCGCAGCGTAATGACCACCGTTCAAGAAATTGCATTTTCTTTTGATTATTCATCAAAGAAGCTACAGGCTTTCTTTGATGAACTGGAAGCAGACGAGGCAACAAAAGAAAAAATGGAAAAGAGAACTAAGCTTCGGACTTTATGTGAGACAAGATGGACAAGTCGTGCGGATGCTTTGTTCACTTTCAAGACATCTTTTCCGGTAGTTGTACATGCGCTTGAGAGTTTGCACGACCAAGGTGATGATAAAGCAGGACAGCAGGTTAACGCAGTTACGAGATTTGATTTTATCATTGGTCTAGTTGTTGCCGAGCACGTCCTACAAAGCACTGTTCACCTTTCTCTTTTCTTACAGGGAGTCGAATGCGATCTACTTGAGGCAGTCAAGGAGTGTAGAGTTGTTGTTGAGATGCTGAGGCAGGAAAGGGAAGATGATTCAGTTTGGGACGAGTTGTATCAGGTGGCATTAGATTTAGCTACACCGCTACAAGTGGATGAAAGTATGCCAAGACGGTGTGGAAGACAGACAGGGAGAGCCAATCACCCAGCTGATACTCCCCGACAGTATTGGCGCATTTCATTGTATTATCCATTTGTGGATCACGTTATTATGGAACTCGATTCGCGACTACTTAAATCCGAGGATCGTTTCATGGCGCAACACCTTCTTCCCATATATTTAGAAAATATTACCAATGAACATATTGCAGCCATATACAATGCCTTTCAGGACGATATCATATTGTCTTTGGAAGAGTTTAGGAGAGAAGTTGCCCGTTGGCGCACAAGATGGGGATTGACGGCGCAAGATGAGAAACCGCGCACACTTTGCAGTACATTAGATTCTATTAATTCAGCGCTATATCCAACAATAGAGTCCATTTTATTCATATTGCTAACCATGCCGGTAGCAAGCGCAACTGCAGAGAGGTCCTTCGGCGTTTTGCGGCGACTGAAAACGTACGTCCGTTCCACTATGAGAAATGACAGATTGTCATCGCTTGGACTTCTCCATATTCACAGAGATTTTAAAATTGATATAGAACAAGAGGCCCATAAGCCACATTGCTCACCTGAGCACATTGGCTAGGCAAAAGCACAAATCAGTTCAGTATTGAAAAGACCGGGGGGGGGGGGCTTAAATTTTAAAACTACCTGATGATGCTTCCATGTCAATATAACAAATGGCTTTGTTGTACTTGAGAAGATTTAAAAAAAAAAAATCCCCATATATTCCTTTGTAAAAATTTGATCCTCCATTGTGGCTCCTCCCTACCCCAGGGGTCATCATTTGAACAAACTTGAATCTACACTACCTGAGGATGCTTCCATATAAATATGACTAAACATAGCTTTTCTGTTCTTGAGAAGAAATATTTTTTCTATATGTTCTTATGTAAAACTTTCCATCCCTCTTTGGGCCCCACCCTACCCCTGGAGGTCATCATTTGAAAAAAATTGAATCTACACTACCTGAGGATGCTTCCATATCAAAATGACTAATCATGGTTTGCAGTTCTTCAGAAGAAGATATTTTCCTTTATATTTCTATGTATTTTTAAATGATGCCTTTATTTTTTCACTAATTCCTAATTATCTCCCCTTGAAAGAGGGCATGGCCCTTCATTTGAACAAACTTGAATCCCCTTAACCCAAGGATACTTTGTGGCAAGTTTGGTTGAAATTGGCCCAGTGGTTCTTGAGAAGAAGTCGAAAATGTGAAAAGTTTACAGACAGACAGACGGACAGACAGACGGACGCCGGACAAAATGTGATCAGAAAAGCTCACTTGAGCTTTCAGCTCAGGTGAGCTAAAAAGCAATGGAACAATTTGTTAATGCTAAATCCAGAAAAATGGATTTTGGAGAATTTTAGGTAAAGGCTAAACGATAAAACACGAAACATGACGCCGCACGTTTTGGGGAAATTAAATTTGCTGGATTAAAATTGTTTTGTTTTATTTTCATTATTTAAAAATTAGACAAAAAATGGAACTAAAAATACCTTTTTAAAGTAATCACAAAAATTCAGACAATGCACTTGATTTTATAACAAAAAAAAAACATAAATATTTTTTAAATATTAATAGATCTATTATTTTTTGGTGTCATAAATCAAAATATCGCGAAGTTGACTTCATCTTGTAGCATACGTTATATATTTAAAAATACCGTAAATTTTGTTCAGTCTAAACGTGAAAACCCAGGAGCTTCCGGGGGCTTCCCCCCTGGGCCCCCACCAGGGCTTCGCCCTGGACCCACTGGGGGCTTCAAGGCGGCCTCCAGACCCCCTGCCTTTTTTTTGGCGTGCACATCATTTTCGTCTAGCTACGCCCCTGATAATGATTTGTAATTTTATTTTTTACACAAATTTATCAGAGGAAATAATGAGCGCATCAATTCTTTTAGTCAGAGCAATAATTCAATTAAAGAGATCATAATTTAAACAATTTTTGAAAATTGAAATTGGCCTGTGAAGATGTTTTGATCCTGATTTAAAACACATGGACAAATCCGAAACCTGGTAGTGTGCATCCTCAGATGTATCATTCATGCAAATTTGGTCAACATTGGGCTTATAGTTAATTGGAAATGTTTGTTTATTGTTGTTTAACATCCCTCTCAAGAATTTTTCACTCATACGGCGACGCCACCACTTGCCGATGGAGAGCTGCAAATTTTGACCTTTACTCAGCACTCAGGCCATTGAGCAGTGAGGGATCTTTTTCGTGCCAGCACCTACTGCGACAAGGGACCTCAGTTTATACGGTCTCATCGGTCTCAAAGTCCCACAGTGGGATATGAACCCGCAATGTAAGGATCAACTCCTTACTCCGCAACTCTAGCGCAAACACTTTAACCACTGCGCCACGCGGGCGACTAAATTGGAAATGAAACCTGCACCAAATACTTTAACCTGGTCATTCAACTGGAAAATGTAGGTCAGATCCAGAAGCTGAAGCAAGCCTGGTAATGTGCATCCTTAAATGTATCATCCATGCAAGTTTGGTCAACATAGGACTTACAGTTAACTGGAAATTAGACCTGTTCCAAAAACTTTAACTTGATCTAAAAACATTAATCAGGGTTGCAGTAGCCCACAGGCAAATTTTGAGATTGTTCAATGTCGCTCCCTGTACCAAATGTATTTTGTACAGCTGGGGAACAATACCGATATTCCGGTATTGTGGTATGTTGACAAAAAATATTGTATTGTAATACCATTATACCAAGAAAATGCTTGGACTCAAGAATTCTATCATAAAATATTACAACAAAGAAAAGTTGTCAGAAAGGTTTGCGATCGTGCTAAGCTGTTGTATGGGTGTATTTATTTGCATAACTAATTCAATCAACAAGATATCTTTTATCATTTATCATAGTTATGTATATTCTGTATGTAAAAGGAAGTTAATATAATAAGAAAATACCATTTCAATTTTGTTGAAAATATTGCAATACATATCACAATACAGTTAAAAATATCCCAATTCGAAATCTCTAGCCAATACCCAGCTCTAGTATTTTGATAAATTTTAGAGACAATACAATGCAAATGAATGTCATGTATTTATTTAAGATATATCAACATCGCAAAATGCAAGGACATTAGACTATTGTTTTTTTTTGGATCATGATACATTTGTATGTCAGTAATAAGACTCAATCATTAAGTGTGCAGATCCCTCAGTCCTTTTCAGCTATGGCTACAAGATGTTGGTCAATTTCTTCTTCTGTTAATTTCCTGAAATATTTAATTAATTTTTTTTAATAACTGTTTATGAATCAATACACATCTCAAAATAGAATACAATTCCATTTTCAGCACTTGGTACACTACCACATCTTTACATGTATACATCTATATATAGCAAAAGATTCAATGTATTCTGACACTTAGTTTTTTGATACATCCCAAAAATGTGTGCGTGAATATCCCCTAACTCCCCAAATTAATTCATTTCTTTCTATCTCCATGATCTCTGTGGAATAATATTCTCCTTTTGTGGCTACCTTATACTATTCAAGCTGTATGTTTTGCACATCTTTGCTCATTGTTGTGTTAATATACGATACCTTGTACAAATTATACAGAAATAGCATTAGAACTTGGTGTGTCTAATTCATCTAAACAAAAAATAAAATTGTTTTCAAACCAATAGTATTCACGCTAAAATATGCTCAAATACATATTTAAAGAAGAATATCATTTGACCTTGACTTTGAGGTATTTTTAAATAACTACTAAGGCCTGTTCTAGAATTAAATGTGTAACGACTGAAAAGGAGAAAAATGCAGCGGACCAGACCAAGATTCGAACCCAGACCCCCTGAATCTCCAGTCAGGTGCTCTACCAACTGAGCCATCTGGCCACCGGCGATTGAACCTGTCTGACCGCCACAAATGGGTGGAAGCCTCGGACGGCATCTTTATTTTATATTTATCCATGGTGGGGTTGAAGCTTTTTTTTTTGGATGGGTGGTTGGTGTGACTGAAATAGAAACTGATGCACGGTTGGTCTAAAAAGAATAGAAAATGAAATTTTGTGGATATAGTATTTACTGTATTGTGGTGAATCTAAAAAAATATAAGCAAGACTTCATTAGCCATCGAGGTTGGCATTCCTTCCATTTTTTAAATGACATTTAAAGGGACATAAATGAAATGAGTTCCATGGGCCACAGTGCTCACCTATTTCACTATGGCCCTTCTGTTCTTCAGCAGCAGATTTTTCTCCCTATATATTCCTATGTAAAACTTAACATATTGTGGCCCCACCCTACCCCAGGGGGCCAAGACTTTAACAGACTTGAATCTACACTACCTAAGGATGCTTCCATATAAATATGACTGATCATGGGAACAAGATTTAAAAATTTCTTCCGATACAGTTGAACTTCAGTATCTCAAACACTGAAATCTCAAATACCATGGATATGTTGAAGTGATTTGGAAGTCCCAACCGCTTATTCTTTAAGTATTTTAAACTCCATATCTCGAATCCTTGGATATCTCAATTTTTTTTCGTGGTCCCATCGAGTTCAATATATTGAGGTTAGACTGTATATATTCCTATGTAAAACTTTGCTTATTGTGGCTCCACCCTAACCCAAAAGGTCATGATATGAACAAAACTGAATCTAAACTACCTGATACTTCCAAATAAATATGACTGATCATGGCTTTGCTGTTCTTGAAAAGAAGATTTTTAAAAAGATGTTTCCTATATACTCTCATGTAAAATCTCCCATAGTGGCGCTACCCTATCCCGGGGGGGGGGGGGGGGGTCATGATTTGAACAAAATTAAATTATCGTCTTCACAGGAATATGGTATATAGTCTAGGGGTGTAACGAAATGGTTGAAGCATATCTTAAAATATTGTGATTTGCAGGGGCTGTATCAGCAGGGTTGTTCATAAGAATTGAAATAGAAGGGAACATTTTGAAAGTAGAAGGGTGTCTTGGGTTCCTATCCTACTGGGGGTTGTGGGGGCAATGTCAGAATAACAGGGGTATTAAGTCATTATAGGTGGGGGAATTCCCTGGCCCCTGTGTCTTAGGAACAACCCTGGTACATGTATCACAATATGTATCACAAATTTTTATCTTTCATATTTTTTTGTATAATTTGTCTCTGGAACTTCCTATTACAAAGTGAAAGGATAAAAGTTGTAGATTATTTCATCAAGTTCACAAATACATTATGTAACATTTAATAAGCTCTGAGCACAATAAAAACATCATAAGTAAATGAAGAAAATCACTTTTAAAGGTAAAACTAACAAGGAATAACATGAATAATTGTTTAAAATGTTATATATCATGATACACAGGTACATGAATTTTGTACCACAATCCAGTACAATTTTTTTGGTGTATCCCTGTATACTGATAAATCGTTACACCCCTAGTACATACAGAGTTGAAGTATCTTACATTCTTTGGACTATACACTTCCTCTCTTTTGTCATTTGTAGAAAATGCATGATGTGAAAATTTTCAATTCTTTTATTGGTTAAAATGCTGTTCAAGGCTAGGGAGATAATTTTCTGGTGATCTACCAACAATTTTTCAAGATATTCCATCTTAAAAAAAAAAGAAATCGAAAAAATTGAGCCCCCCAAAAATTGAAACTAAAACTTTATTTTTTATAGCAACTATTAAAAAGCTTTTCTATATTTTCTTGGGTAATAGAAATCACATGCAAACAAAAAAATTTGTGTTTATTAATTTTTTTCTTTGTTTTGCACTGTCTTTTGTATGGAAGGAGCTGTCGAAGAAATGCAAAGCCAAGAATCACAACAGAATAATACAGTCTGATAGGTGTATTGTTTCAGGTGACTGTTTAAGGTTGTTGCTAAAGACAGCCAAGCTTTATGAAAAAAGCTATACTTATAACACATCTGTAATCTGTTGTTACGTTATCCAATCTCCCAGTATGCAGAAGCTATACTTGTAACACATCTATATTCTATAGTCTACTAAGTTGTTACATAATCAGATCTCTGGGTATGCTGACTTTACCTGAGCCAGTTTTCCCACGTGTGGCACGTGCCGTGTAGGTGACCTCAATAGCATCTACTAACGTGAGGAAACAAGTTAAAACAAGTCTATTGTCTGGGCCGGCAATATATTTTTTTTTTCAACTAGTACATTACAATTGGACTGAAATTTAATCAATTCTTTGGATAATACTGCAGTATGAATTATTTCTTTATCATTTTCTCTCTATCATGACATCTTAAAGAATGGTCCATACAAGAGAAAAAATGTCAAGTTTTTGACATTTTTTTCACAGTTAACTTGCTCATTTTTTACAGCTAGGATTTATCAAATGACATTTTTTATGGGTGGTTGGCAAGTAACAAAATTAAATTAAATGGGTGGTGGGGCATGGGGAAAATATTTTGGAGGTGTTTGGGTGAAAAAAGTGCCCCCTCCAACACACACACATTTAATTCTGGAACAGCCCTAATATTCATAAACTAAAGTTGTTTCCCCATTATCAAATTATAAACTTTTGACATTCATTTCACTGTAATTGTTTGAGGCAAGGTGTGGACACCTGAGGTGCTCAGATTTCACATGTTGAACTTCATAACATAGAAATTAATTCTATTTATTCTTCATCAAGTTTTCAGTTAACAAACTGTGCCATTTGAAACAAGGTACATACAGTTGTATGTACATGGATATAACTGTAGGTGAACATACTTGAAATGCTGATTCTCAGTAGTTACCACCCCCACTTCTATTTCTGACGACTTGAAGTCAGCTGAGAGTACTGTTGATAAACAGGTAATAGCAACCTAAAACAAAAAAAGAAATGGAAAAAATAAACTCATATAAACTGTGGTGACATTTCTAAGCTCCAAAGAAAATGAAACACAATAATTTAAGCTAGTTTAAATTATAAAGACAACTGCTTCTTCAATAAAAAATGGAACTCAGAATTGGTCATCTACAAAATTACTTTGTTAAAAATAATTTTGATACTACAATAACATACAAGTACCAGTACTCTGAAATTGATATTGAAACATGTATTAAAAAGATGCCCGAGTTTCTGACAATACATGTACCTATGTAGTCTTTGGAAACAAGATCTCCAACAATCTGTTGGAATTCCCATGGGTGCTTACTGTGGCCCTTTATTAGCAGAAGTGTTTTCGTTTCTTATGAAGCAGAATTTATTCAAAAACTTCTACATGAAAAAGAGAAGTCTCTTGCAGTGGCCTTCAATTCGACATTTAGATATATATCGATGATTTATCAATTAATAATATTTATTTTTCATCACTGATTTGATGTATCCCACAGAACTCAGAAGAAATGATACCAGAGACTGACACATCTGCTTCATATTTGGATGTTACTAGAGAAAGACATTGATTTATTTATAATGCATTAAACCATTACCACCTGCATATGGTGTTTATATCTCCCACTCAATTCTATACACAAGAGCATATTCTGAGCAATTTCTATGCTGAGACAGGTACTTATAAATGAGTCATTTAAAGTCAACATTTTGCAAATTGTGTGGTTGATACAATGACCTTATTTCCAAATACAACTTGTTGTTAGGTCAAATGTTACTGACATTTTTAATACAAATTGTGAGGTCATTATTTCCATACAGATTTATCCATTTAACCAGGCAAGACAAAAAGCTCATGGCAGGTGTGATCAGTCCACAGGGGATGCTTACTCTTTCATAGCACCTGATCCCACCTCTGAAGTTTTCAGGGGTATGTGATTGCTCTGCTCTCAATTTGTATTGTTTATTTGGACTTTTGAGCACGATTACTGTTTGTGATCTTCATATTTCATATACTCCCTCATATTAAAACACAGTATACCACTGCATGCTGCTGTACACAGTCACATCAGGAAAGTTTGCCCTGGGTTTAAGCATATTTATCTTTAAATAAATTGAAAATCACTTTGTCTTTACTTGACAGGTCAGACTCTGGATTTTGAGGATCATCTTCTGAGGCTAGATAATTAATCCTGTGAGTGATCTGCTGTAACATTAAGACTCTTTTCTATAATAATATACAGACCCTTCCAACAACTGCTTAACATTTTATGAATGTCAGCTAAAGACTAAAATGTAAATTTAAAATGAAGCCTTACTTCCACTGCCTCATTATATGTAAAGTCTTGCTTTTTCTTGATTTTCTTTTCAAGGAAACTGTTGGCCTCTAGTTGTTTGACCCCTGCTGATGTAGCCTTATAGCCAGAATAGTAGCCAGCAGGATCTGTCTTAAATACCTGTGGTCCATACTCAGCATCGTATCCTATCACAATCATACCTATCAATAAACAGTAAATCAAAATTTCAGAAAAACTGTCTACATCTCAATGGACCCCCTGAATGTAACTATGTAATATGTATAGTATCTGTTTCTCATAAGGAATATATCTAAACCAACTTTTATTCCTGTGCAATAATGCAACCTTCTTTTACTTGCAAATATTTCTTGTTGTAAACCATTTGCAGTATTTAATTTTGTATTTATACAGAATGTTTCCTCAGTTGTGAAAACTGATAGTTGCTGATGGATCTCAAACCGAGAAATCTCAAGTGCTGGCAACAGTTGTCACAAATAACAGTTGGTTTACAGTAGTATTTACAATCAGATATTCTATGTGCACCTAATCCTTCTGTACTAAAATTATCACATACTGCAACCAAGTGGCCTCATCTCTGCACTTTGTGTGTAGACTTGAGATATGTCTGCCATCCGTTTACAGAGAACATCCACTGGAATCTCGTATCCGTAAGTATACTTCCATTTGGCTGCTTCATATCGAGCCCTCTGTACTTGTGAACGGCTGTCAGCTAAAATTCAAAATAGGCCATGTACTATAATCTCTCTGACAAAGTTTGAATTGTTATGCAAAACTTCATTGTTGATTCTGTTCAGTTTTTTTTTCCCAATGGACATAGATGCTGTGACCTAAAACTAAATTGTACAAATTGACAAGAACTTCTTTAGAATGGACATCTTCAGGGTTAAAGTCCAATTTCATCATTCTAAGGATGTTTTTGGACTTTTTATCGTTTAGTGCATGATAATTCAGCTAGTTTATGGTAGCTAGTTTATGACTGGTCGACATAAAAAATTTTAAACTAATCACAATGCTTGGTTCAAACAGACACCTACTTTTGTAGTATGGTGCTGTAAATTCAGAGTAAATATGCCATACCGAGCTGGCAAAATTAGAGGAAACAAACGTTTAATAACATGCATAAATTTTTGCAAAAAATCCAAATCTTTATGGTTTGCTGATGACCTTTAATGCATTTCTCTGTGTAATATGTAACTTATTCTATGATTATAAATTAACAAAATTAGAATGAGAAAATACAGTTGTACTTTGGGTATCTCGAACACAGATATTTTGAATACCGTGGAGATGTCGAAGTGACTTCTAAGTCCCACCTTTTCATTCTCTAAGTACCCTGGATATCTTGAATCTTAGATATCTTGAAGTTTTTTCTCGGCCCCATCGAGTTCGAGATAATGAAGTTTGACTGTACTATGAATTCAAAACTATAGTAGGCATTCAAATACAAAGTTTCAACTTCACTTTCAGAATACCTACCAACCATGCCTGTCATAACACAGCCTAGATTTTCTGTCAGTTGAAACAAATGGGTCACTGTATCAGCATCCAATAATTTATCCTGAAAGTAAAAAAAATAATTAAAAAAAAAAAAAATTTAAAGCTGGTTACACTACTGGTTTAAACTTGAAATTGATTGGTGCAGGTGCATCTACAAGATTTGCTTTCTGAATTTTGACTGATTAAATTGGAACAAAGGAATAGAATTTTGTCTTATTATTGTGCTTTTGATAATGATGGCAACATTTCACAATATTGAAACATGATGTGAATGCCTGTAATCTACACATGTTTCATATCTCTCTGAATTAAAACCAAGACTGGAAGCATAGTTGTATTTTTTTTAGAAATTCACACAACATACCATTTTGAGTAACCATAGCATGAAATTAGCTAAAATTATCATTAGCATATCTTGATCATACTTGATGTAGTTTACACTTTGACCAATGTTTTGCTAAATCAAAACAGAAGCTGAAGATGTAGAATAGTGAAAAAACAGACAGATACATGGACCTCAAACACTACCAATGCATAATCTACTCTCCTGTACAAATTGATCAGTAGAGCTAAACACAGGTAATCAAAGATTACAAAGCTCACTTTGAGGAATGCCATCTATGACTGAAGGCAAAGTATCATCAATGTGTGGGTTCCCTAGGGTCACATCCATCCAAGTTTGGTCTTGGTAAGATTTCAAATTTCTTGGGAAAGGACATGCTAAAAATCATCACCTGGAAAATGCAGGTCAGGTCATCCTGGTAGGTCAGATGCTGCATCTGAAGAATGCCTAATAAATGTACATCATCCATGCAATTTTTTTTAAAGAGGACTTTATAAGTACTTTGGAATGGACCTGCTCCAAAAACTTTAATTTGGTTACTCATCTGGAAATGTAGGTCAGATACAGCATCTGAAGCAAGTCTGGTAGGATTCATCTCTAGATGCATCATCCATGCATGTTTGGTCACCATAGGGCTTACAGTTACTTGGGATTGGACCTGCCTCAAAGTTCATAGCATGAAGTTCCTTACACATTTGATTTGTGCCATATGGGGATGTTCTGCTATTCTTCCAAAAGTGCCTGATGCATAGCGGATGGAATTTCTGGTGGATTTGGAATGTGTCAATATTTATTTTAACATGTCCCCACACTTGCTCTATTGGCAAGAGACGGAGACTGTATGAGGGCCAATGTAACATTGGTGAAGACACTGTGAAATCACATATTTTTTGGGGGTCAAATTTTTGAAGTTTGAAGAAAAAATATTAGTTTGGGGGATTTGATTTTGTGGTTGGGGAAGTGTGGTGTAGTAGTAATGTATGTGAAATTTTACATTTCTTGGTGGACATGAATTCGAGGGTCTCTTCATATCTCGAAAAAATGAAAATTAAACCCCCATGAAAATTAGTGATTTCACAGTAATCCATTTCACATTGTGCTACCTAACACCTTTAAAGCATAACAGACAGACAGACAGATGGATGGACAGACGTACTGATGGATGCAAAAACCCAACACTATACACCCCCTGCTTTTCAAGTGGGGGGGGGGGTATAATAATTATTAATATTAAAAAAATTTACATTTAATTGGGTTGCGTTTCTTTTGCATATGTGAACAGTGTATATTCCTAGATCCTAGATGAATCATCCATGCAAGTTTGGTCACTAAAAGGTATACAGTTACTTGGGAATGAGACCTGCTGAAGAAAAATGAAGGTCAGCTCCAGCATCTCAAGCATTTCTAGTAGTATGCATCCCTAGATGCATCATCCATGATAGTTTGGTCCAGTTAGGGCTACATCGTTACTTAGGAGTGGTCATGCTCCTAAAACTCTAACCAGGATAAACCGAACACCTGGATATGGCATGAGTTCATCTAGACTTTGTTGAGGTGAGCTAAAAATGTGTCTCCAAAAATTAACATTTGTTAATAAATAATTGTTTCTTGCTTTTTATGCTTTGATTGTTCATTTTCTCCTTTACAAATTCCCAAGAAGTGCAAATGATTTTGAACCACCATCAAGTACTTGTTGATCTAATCCACATGAACTGTAAACCTCTGTATAGTTGTGTAAATGCTAGGGTGGTACAGATCTTGCAAGAATACAAGTATTTGTATATATTCCAACAGATAATCTACATAAAATGGTAAATTCATAACATACCAATTATTAACATGATCAAAAACACTAAAAATCTTAACGAGAGGGCCTTGAGTTACACATAAGAGAGCTTCAATTCATTTTACAATATGAGGCCTGTTGTTTTTAAGTGCAAGATTAAGAAATAACAACATCAAAGTTTATATTGGCTGCTATGTAAAAATTTGGATTCCATTTGCAGTCTTAATCTACAACTAATTCTATAATAAGGGGCAATAATTTTATCAATACTGAATCTTTACAGACAGATAATAATATGTTCAAGCTAGGTTTATAATTTTTTGCTCAGCTAGTACAGATTTTTCACAGCCCTACTCTCAACATTTCTTAAAAATCCTTAACTGGAAATAAAAATACAGAAGGGTACTTGTACCAATAGTGGTGGAAATTACTGTTAATATAGTTTTGAAGAAGAAAACAGATTTTATTTTTTAAAGATTAAATAAAAAGAAGAAGAAAACAATGAGACTATTTTTTTTTTTAGATTAAATAAAGAGTTAACAGACATATGCCCCCCTGGCTTACTTACAGGCACTTTCTTCTGGGTAACTACTACAGCACAATCCTTTCCTCTGATGGCAACAGAAGTGAGCCCTCCTTGGTTTATGGCTTTAAATGCATATTCTGAAATGTACAATATACAGTTAATAGATACTAACAATGAAAATAAGTAACATGTAATCAAGTTAGAGATCAGCGATTTTTTTTTCTACCGACTGGGAATAGGTCTGGTATTGATTCAACTGGGAAAAACAGCGTAGAGTAAAGGGGAATTTTCTGTCATGTCAATAAATCAAATTAATATTGCAATTTTGCATTTATTCTAACCTCATTACCTATTAAGCCACACTTTAAAGAATAAACAAGTACCCCGGTATTCATTGTTTTACAAATTAATGCCCCTTGTTCTCATGTTGTCAAGTTTTCAAGTTGTCGAAAATGTAAGACACTAGCATGACTATGCTGTCAACAAAACCCATCCTGCCATATTACTACTGATCTCTTCTTTTGATTTAAAAGGAAATGAAATACTGTGGTTTCATCAATATTCGTGGGTATCAATTTTTGTGGATTTAGCAAAAATCACAGTTTCAAGGATACGTAAATTCGTGGATAATGGTCATACAACCAAAAAAATCACAATTTTCATTTTCTATCTCTCCGTATGCTGTTATTTAAGACATTAAGAGTACGTGAATATTTAAAAACAATCACTAACAGGTACAATCTCTTTAATTTATAATTTATTTCCTTCTCATCTGTATTTTTTAAAGTTGGAACCTTCAAGCATTTACAACATAGTATACATGCATGATATAACAATAAACGGTGAGGAATTCCAAATATGATGGACCTCTCCATTGTGAGACTATGAGATTGATGGGCCTATTAAATATCGGATATTGAAAAAGTTTATCATTAAAATAATACCACCGATTAGTATATACCCCGCGTTGACAGATCTACATGTTTGTGTTGTTTGTTTATCTCCGAGCAGAATATTTAAATATACTGAATCAAAAGTGCCAGATAATTATTATGTAGTCATATTTCTTCTTTTTCTTTAGGGCCAACAATCAAGTCACAGGTATGTCAAACTTGACACAAGAGGCAAGTAGGCTCTGAGGTCGCCTGAAAATCATGAGTTTCTCAACAACTCAGACTGAGACTGGAACTTGAGAACTATGCAAGATTTTGAAAGAAAAAAAAAGTACTGAAAACCACCTTCACAATCATAATGCATGAAATCAATGGTGGAGGTGTCTGGGGACATTATGTGTAACAGGAAAGGAGAAAACGCATGGTGTTACTGGGCCGTAATGTCCGTGGGCCGAAGTGTATGAAGTGTGTCTACAATATTCTTAGCAGAGATATTTCGAGCTAAACCGACACTCACATGAACATTGTACTTTTAAAAGCTTTTCTATTACTTACCAACTTGATAAAGTCTACCCTCTGGTGAAAATATTGTTATGTGTCTATCAAAACCCGCACTGCTTCCACGAGACATAATGGAAAAAAATCAAATAACAGTTCTAGATGAAAAATTCACCAAATGATTTTGCTTTTTTTCTTTCTGCACATACAGAGCTAGCTTAATAATGCAATGAGTTTTTTCATTAATTATACTAGGACAATAAAAAAAGAGAAGAAAAATATCTTCAATGACAGCACAAATTCATGCAAGAGAAATTAGCAATGTAAGCTATAGTGTTTTACTTAAAAAACATACTACAGTTTCGTATTTTCATTTACTAGAGTTGGTTAAAACTAGTAAAATTTCTAAACACAATCTCAAAGTGTTGAATCGATTCTCGAGGAATGCCCAAAATAAAATGTAATACATTATTTATATTAATATATTTTTCCTTGTAGTATAGGTATTTACTTATCTTTAAAATATCTACAAACACTGAGACAGAAGAAAATATAGTTGTTTGTTAATCCCCGCAAACTAGATTTACACTGTCTTCAAATGACAATGTGTCGGTGAAGAGAACACGTAGGGATATTTATTACTTGTGCCTTTTTGTGTCAGGTAAATTAATGATCGATTACACTCTGGGCTCACATGTAATGTGTGTAACAGGTTGACCATGTGGAAGGTGAATGCCACCATATGGGATAGAAAAGTAATAAAATAACTTTTTAAATAGCTATAATGAAACCAAGTCACCGCAGGTAAAGTATTTATTGCAAGTCTCTTTCAAAAACTGTATAAATATCATAGAAGATCAAATATAGATGCATCATAATGTTCTGTATGCATTATATTTATTTATTGGTTACATTTCTTTCTGCATGTTGTTTGTATTTATCTGAAGGAAGTCAATCTGCTACAACCCTAATCACTGTACTGTAATATTATGAATATTTATAAGATGCAAATAACTGCAAATGACATTAATTACTTAAATAAAGAATAATATAGTTATTTGCAATTCTCAAATCTCTAGTAATCTGAGTACACATTGAATATGGAACTTTAGCATTCTACATGTAGCCCTTTTTTCATTAAGCACTTTTCATTCTTAGTTCTACTCAAAAATTTGCACCCACATAATATGTTGACGGTGCAACCGTTAGGGTGAGCGCAGATACCTTTCAGTTTTAATTTAGATCGGGCTCGTCAAACTGCATGTGACATTTGCTACGTCTAGACTCTGATGTCATATGTTTGCTGCATTATCAAAACGAAGTCTGAACAGTGATAATTTTAATCAAGAACGTTAGATCTATACTATTTGTCTGCTATATATATTCATTAAATCAAGGTGAGTTTATTTTTTCTTGAATTTTTGTTGCTACCGCGAGAACGTAGTTTGCGACGAGATGCAATTCACTAAGCATTATGGGACCACAGGTAACTGCGGAAAAAAATTCATTTGGATCAATGTGTAAAGTCCGAATTTTCTCTTCGCCCAGGCGTTGCTTTAAGAGCTCACAGTGACAGTAAGTTCGCACCGCTCGCTGCGCTCGCTATTAAACATTTTAGCTCACCTGAGCCAAAGATTTACTGAGTTAAATATGCTGTTAAAAATTGTATTATGTGTTGTAACTTCTTGGAATAACCAATATCTTAAGTCTCAACCCCTTAGGGATAGACATTTAAACTTTCAGACTGACTTGCCCTTCAGGCAAGTGATCTCAAACTTTGACTTGTCTGAATGCAAAACTTGGTTGCCCAAAATTAGGAAAGAACTTAAGGAGGTTGGATCCTGCCATCAAAAGTAATGAGAATTTTTTATCAAGTATATTTTTAGAATTTATACACATAGCTTAATTAAAAATCAAAACAAAAATTGGGGGTCAATGCACTTCTTTTGGCACTACAGAGCATTTAGTTTGACCTTTTTGCACTGTAAATAGGGGTGCAATGATACACCAACCTCACGATACGATACGTATCACGGTATTCAGTTCACAATACGATACGTATCACAATACGTGTCAAGGTTAAGAAGTCTTTCAAGTTTGTCATAATACTTTTTTTAAAAACTTGACAGGGTTATATCAAATGTTCATATTTTTTGATAATAATTAAAATATCATTTTGTGAACTTGAATTGGATTGATAAGTAGAACAATATTCTAAACCAATGACGAACATTTATAGGGAACTACTGGGACCTTTCTTAAAAATCTTCCTTTTAAATTGGAATGAAAAAGGAAGACATTCATTTTTTTATTAGCTCACCTCAACAAAGCTGGGGGAGCTTATGTAATACCCTCAGCGTTGGTGTCGGCGTCTGCGCCCCAGGTTAAGGTTTTTGGAGCAGTTTTCTTTTCAAGTACTTCTATGGCCTATATTAGTCAGAGATGCATGGAGGATGCTTCTAGTGTGTTTCGTTGTACCAGTCAAGGTTTCAGATGCTGCAATTTCAGCCAAAGAATGACCAGGTTAATGTTTTTGGAGCAGGTTAAAGTTTTTGGAGCAGGTTAAGGTTTTTGGAGCAGATCTCATTTCCAAGTAACTATAAGCCCTATATTGACCAAACTTGCATGGATGATACATCTAAGGATGCACACTACTGAACTTGCTTCGGATGCTGATCTGACCTACATTTTCCAGATGAGTGACTAGGTTAAGGTTTTTGGAGTAGATCTCATTTCCAAGTAACTATAAGCCCTATATTGACCAAACTTGCATGGATGATACATCTAAAGATGCACACTACTTAACTTGCTTCGGATGCTGGATTTGACCTATATTTTCCGGATGAGTGACCAGGTTAAGGTTTTTGGAGCAGATCTCATTTCCAAGTATCTATAAACCCTATATTGACCAAACTTGCATGGATGATACATCTAAGGATGTACACTACTGGACTTGCTTCGGATGCTGGATCTGAGCTATATTTTCTGGATGAGTGACCAGGTTAAAGTTTTTGGAGCAGATGTCATTTCCAAGTAACTATAAACCCTATATTGACCAAACTTGCATGGTTGATACATATAAGGATGTACACTACTGGACTTGCTTCGGATGCTGGATCTGACCTACATTTTCCAGATGAGTAACCAGGTTAAAGTTTTTGGAGCAGATCTCAATTCCAAGTAACTATAAGCCCTATATTGACTAAACTTGCATGGATGATACATCTAAGGATGCACACTACTGGACTTGCTTCGGATGCTGGATCTGACCTATATTTTCCGGATGAGTGACCAGATTAAAGTTTTTGGAGCAGATCTCATTTCCAAGTAACTATAAGGCCTATCTGAACCAAACTTGCATGGATGATGCATCAAGGGACGAACAATCTCAAAACTTGCTTCGGATGCTGGATTTGACTTACATTTTCTGAATGAGTGTCTAGTTTTAAGTTTTCAGATAAGTCCATTCCCAAGTAACTGCAAGCCCTATCAGACCAAAATTGCATAAATGTTGCATCTACGGATGCACACTCCTAGATTATTAGTTTAGTGTGGGACTTTGCCTTACTTAAAGACAACATTCGTTGAGGTGAGCTCTGTAATCTCTGATTACCTATGTTTCCTTTTATTTTCGTAGAAAACCAGTTGTCATATTTCTCATGTTTTAGTCAACAAGGCAGCAAATTGTCATCGAAATACACGCGTGAATTACCATAGAATACGTTAAGATCTAAAGGGTTTATCATTTGTCTTAACATCTATAACTTTTAATCACATTAGGAATGAAAAAGTCCTTCTCTGTGTTTAATCTGAGGTCTGTAAGATGCTGGAAATGAGTTTAACTGCCGTTAATGCGTTATCGTCGACCTCACTTTTTGCGCGAAAGCCATTTTGAAATTGTAAACAAAACAAAACGGATGATTCGGATAATTCTGGACTGATTGAACCGAACCGCGATATCAGTTTAGGGTATCGTGAATTGAACCGTGGAAAAATATACCGCTATATATTGTCAAATGGTTTATCGTTGCACTCTTAACTGTAAATACGTCTTGCACATAAATCAATTTTTGAAGTTTTTCTTCCAATATTTTTTATTCAAATAATAAGAGTGCAACGATAAACCATTTGACGGTATATCGCGGTATATTTTTCCACAGTTCAATTCACGATACGCTAAACTGATATTGCAGTTCTGTTCAATCGATCCAGAATTATCCAAATCATCCGTTTTGTTTCCTTGTTTACAATTTCAAAATGGCTTCCACGCAAAACATGAAGTCGACGATAACGCCTTATCTATTATATCGGCAGTTAAACTCATCTCCAGCATCTTACAAACCTCAATATTTAACACGGTGAAGGACTTTATCTAATTCCTAATGTGAATAAAAGTTATAGATGTTAATACAAATGATAAACCCTTTAGATCTAAACGTATTCTATTGTAATACACGACATCTCATCAGCGTGTATTTTGATGAAAATTCGCTGTCTTTTTGACTATAAATGTGTTAACACGAGAAATATGACAACTGTTTTTCTTCTTAAATGAAAGAAATAAAAGAATGAATTTCTTACTATTTCATTCCAGTTTAAAAGGAAGATTATGAGGAAAGGTCCCCATAGTTCCCTGTAAATGTTCGTCTTTGGTTTAGAATATTGTCACAACTCAAAGATCTACCTATCCATCCAATTCAAGTTAACAAACTGATATTTAAATTATTATCAAAAATATGAACATTGATATAAACCTGTCAAGATAAGACTTCTTAACGTTGTCATGTATCGTGATACGTATCGTATCGTGAACTGAATACCGTGATACGTATCATATCGTGAGGTTGGTGTATCTTTGCACCCCATCAAATAAATTATGGGAACAAACACAGTCCTATTTCATCTTGAATAGACACATTAAAATTTGTGATAATGAAAAAATTTTCAAATTACTCTGCATGTTCAATTATTTCACCTTTTTGCACTCAAAAAATTTCATTTTTCTGGCATTAGAGCTTTAACAAGCAAAAAAATCATTTGAAAGTAATGACATTTTACTGAATTTAAGAAGAATGGTTAAAAGTATCTTATATATTCAGAAAAGAAAATAAAAAGTGGGGGTCTGTGAGGCTGTTAATTTTTAGATATTACTAAAATAGTGCTAATTTTAAGCTTAAAATAGGGATATTTTTTTCTTGATTTTCACAATATATTTGCTATATTTATCAAATATGATGATAGAATTCATGACAGTTTATTTAAAATATAATTTAGGACCAGTATAAAACAGTTCACTGCATAAAATAACTCTGTGTGTAGACTGCATGTAAAAATAGGAATCCAAACTTAACATACTTTGAATACTTTGAAAGAGAAAAAATGATCATTTTCTTCTAAAAAACCTTCCACCACAAAATATAGTTCCTCACTTAATGCTTTTAGAATGGAATTTAATCATGGAGTTTTAACTGAAAATATAGTTTAATTGGCATTGTAGAATCCAATTTTATTGCAAGAATTAAAACATTATGCAGAATTTTTTGAAATATAGGTTAAGATATAAATCTGCTCAAAAGCTCAGGAGCGAACCTCGTTAAGAAGAAAATTATTAATTACTGTGAATGTTATGATAAGAAAAAATGTTACTAAATACACTGTCAATTTTGCAAGTTGAGCTACCTGAAAAAATGTCAATGCATGCTGCTTTTGTACATAAATGTATACTGCTGTACTTGTAAATTTAACCTGTTAACACACACTGCCATGCAACAATAATCCTCCGTTTCCTTTTAATAAAATTCATATTTTTAAAAATTATTTTCGGTAGGATCCTTCAGGCTTCTGTGATTCATGATTTTCAGAGATAACTGTGAAGCAACGCTTAAGGAAGATAGTTGCTACGAAACATATATCTTATCTTGATCAGGATACATCGTGTGACACTGTACCTGCCTATATTCTGTGCTTGAATATTAAATAATCTAATTTCCCAATAAGAAGTTGACAAAATTTTGTTAGACGTAGAAAGTATTTACTACGAAAGAAAATAACAAACCCAATTTTTAAATGAGCGGTATAATCCAGAAACACTACCAAGGAATTCCGAATGCAAAAACATTGTCAATCAGGTGTGTGGCGGAAATCAAGGGTTCAATCTATTGATTTAAACTGTTGTAAACTAAATAAATATGTACATTTGTATGAGAAAAATTCACTTGCCCAATCAGAAAAGTACGTGGACAATTTCACTTGCCCAAACTGAGAATTTACTTGTCCCGTTAATGTCAATCCCTGCCCCTTGCAAATATATCAAACATGTAACATGGCCAAGAGCTTTTGTTATACCCCCACTTGAAAAGTGGGGGGTGTATAGTGATGGGGGTGTCCGTCTGTCTATTACACTTTGGGGAACACATCTCTTAACTGCAACTCCTCTTACACCACTGAATAAGATTTAATGATACTTTCACAGAATCTTTGTTACACAGAACCATTCTGCACCTCCTATTTTACTTTTTGATCGGGCATTTATTTTGGGTTTCCAGTAGTAAAACATAGACTCTTCCATTTTTCAATAATATCGAGGGGTACCCATCTCTAATCTGCAACTCCTCTTATACCCCTGAATAAAATTTTATGATACATTCACAGAATCTTTGTAACACAGTGCCATTGTGACCTCTTATTTTACTTTTTGATTGGACACATATTTCGGATTTCCAATAGCACATCATAGAACACTGCCATTCTTCTATAATATTGAGGGGTACCCATCTCTTATCCACAACTCCTCCTATACCACTGAATAAGATTTAATGATCCTTTTCACAGAATCTTTATTACATAGTGCCCTTGTGCACCTCCTATTTCACTTTTTGATTGGACACTTATTTCGGATCTCCCATAGCAAAACATGGACTTTGCCAGCAAGATGAAAATCTAATTTTAATAGGCTACATATTTTGCTCAAGTGAAATTTAGTAAAATCAAAACTGTGTCAATGGTATTGTTTTTTTTAAATACTGGTAATCTTTTTGAAATTTGTGTTTATGTACAATGAAACCTGTCTTATCTGACATGCACAGGGGCACAAATGTTTTAGTCTGAATAGACAGAGTGATTGCACAGGTATCCGATTAGTCAGTTTTTACTGTACAGTATTTGTAATTGGTATTAAAATACACATTTATTTTGTCATTTTGTTAATTTTAGAACTGCTGTAATGGCAGGACTCTGGTGCTTCGGATTGTTGGTCGTGAACTTCATTGTACCGTGTGTACTGGGGACCGAATCCACAACAGAACAAGGCAACAATCTGGTGGACTTCTGGATCATTCGTTTTGTCATTAATCTTCTGGGATATGCCACTGTGTTTGTACCGGGTGCTATCATCATCAACTATCTGAGGAAAATTAAGTACAATGAAACGGGAGGCAAGTTCAGGTTTAATTGCAGCTTACGTTTAACAATGTTGTGATACACTTGCTTGAAAATTGGTTGCTGATTATGTTAGGAAGGCAACACCAACTTTCAATCTAATTAAAATTATATCTTTTAATCTGCTCACATATGATCGCTACACAAAGTAGCAATTATGAGTTTGAATTTTATTCAATATTGAACATCATCATAATTATGCTGTAAACCCCCCCCCCCCCCCATACACACACACACACTTTTTTTTTTAGCTCACCTGAGCTGAAGGCTCAAGTGAGCTTTTCTGATCAAAATTTGTCCGTTGTCTGTCGTCGGCGTTGGCGTCGTCGGCGTCGTTGTTGTCGTAAACTTTTCACATTTTCATCTTCTTCTCCAGAACTACTGGGCCAATTTCAATCAAACTTGGCACAAAGTATCCTTGGGTGAAGGGGTTTCAAGTTTGTTCAAATGAAGGGCCACGCCCTCCTCCAAGGGGAGATAATTACGAAATAGCAAAAAATTAATGGCATTATTGAAAAATCTTCTTCTCAAGAACCAGTGGGCCAGGAAAGATGAAACTCATGTGGAATTATTGTCAGGTAGTGTAGATTCAAGTTTGTTCAAATCATGACCCCCGGGGATAGGGTGGGGCCACAATGGACGATCAAAGTTTTACATAGGAATATATAGGAAAAATCTTTAAAAATCTTCTTCTCAAGAACAGCAAAGCTATGATTGGTCATATTTATTTGAAAGCATCCTCAGGTGGTGTAGATTCAAGTTTGTACAAATCATGACCCCCGGGGGTAGGGTGGGGCCACATTGGACGATCAAAGTTTTACATAGGAATATATAGGAAAAATCTTCAAAAATCTTCTTCTCAAGAACAGAAAAGCTATGATTGGTCATATTTATTTGGAAGCATCCTCAGGTGGTGTAGATTCAAGTTTGTACAAATCATGACCCCCGGGGGTAGGGTGGGGCCACATTGGACGATCAAAGTTTTACATAGGAATATATAGGAAAAATCTTCAAAAATCTTCTTCTCAAGAACAGAAAAGCTATGATTAGTCTTATTTATGTGGAAGCATCCTTAGGTGGTGTAGATTCAAGTTTGTTCAAATCATGACCCCCAGGGGTAGGGTGGGGCCACATTGGACGATCAATGTTTAACATAGGTGTACATAGGAAAAATCTTCAAAAATCTTCTTCTCAAGAACAGCAAAGCTATGATTGGTCATATTTATGTGGAAGCATCCTCAGGTGGTGTAGATTCAAGTTTGTTCAAATTATGACCCCTGGGGGTAGGGTGGGGCCACAATGGACGATCAAAGTTTTACATAGGAATATATAGGAAAAATCTTTAAAAATTTCAAGAACAGCAAAGCCACGGTTTGTCATATTTATACGGAAGCATCCTCAGATAGTGTAGATTCAAGTTTGTTCAAATCATGACGACCACCCCCCCCCCCCCCCCCCCCCCACTCCATTTTTAGGGTAGGTTGGGACCACTTATGCATTTAAGCTTTTCAATACTAAACTGATTTTTCCTTTTTTCCTAGCCACAGTGCTCAGGTGAGCGAAGTGGCCCTTGGGCCTCTTGTTCCAAAGATAACCTTTTAGGCTTTTACTGTTGAAAATGTTCATTGAAAAGCCTGTCCCCCACCCCCCACTTTTGGTTACAATATAGTGAAGTCAACTCTTGAAACACTCTCTACCATCAGTTCAGACATTCACCTCTGTTGTTGGCTTGGATATATACAGTGATGAGCATGAGAAATAGTGCATTTATTTTAATTCATTATAATTAAATGCCTGCACTAATGTTTGTCCTTTAGTGTTATATATACTAAATAGATCTAAAACTATTAGTTGAATTTGAATAATCCTTGGAATATCATGTTTTTTTACTTTATGTCAAAAATCTTAACTCTTGCAGAGGTGTCTGAGAGAGTAATGAACTAAAACTCTGCATGGGAGATTGCTTTTGATAGTGTATAAATAGACTTAGTTTGTGAAAAAAGTTGGCACCATTTTTTTTCCAATCTAATATAAACATTTATATAGTAAATAATTTAATTGTGGAAAATCAAAATGTTCTGGTAATGCAAATGCAAAATAATGCTTATGACCCTGATGTGACAATCTGATAAAAATGAAATCCTTTGATCTACTCATGTAGATAGCTACTTTTGAGAGTAGCAATCTACCTTAATGGATCAAAGAATCTGATTTTCATCAGACTGCCTAATGGGATAAATTTTTTTAAACTATATATTAAAGTGTGGTAAATACAGCAAACCATCAAAACAATTGACCAAATAATTACATGTTCATGTATACAGATGATCACTGGGTTCTGAATGCACACAATTTAATACCGAGCCTTAATTAAGTATTTTTACTGTTTAGGTCATGGTGTGCTACAGGATTTCCTACGGAATCTAGCATTTGGTAAGGAATCTACTCTGCCCTTAACACAGGAGGAGGATTCTGGGAAGAAGAGGGAATCCGGTGAGGAATCATCTGTCCAGCGAGGCCTTACATTACTGTTCTGTGTGGCGGGACTGCAGGGGTCGTACTTAACATGGGGTGTTCTTCAGGAGAAAATTATGACTTCAGAATATGGACGCACTGAAAGCTCTCAAGGAGAGTACTTCAAAAACTCCCAGTTTTTAGTATTCATCAACAGAATATTAGCTTTTCTCATTGGCCTAGTGGTTTTACTTGTAAAGTCTCAACCCACACATACAACACCATTATATAAATACTCATTCAGCTCCTTCTCCAACATAATGAGCAGCTGGTGCCAATATGAAGCACTCAAATTTGTTAGCTTTCCTACGCAAGTAATGGCCAAAGCCTCCAAAGTCATTCCTGTGATGCTCATGGGAAAAGTCGTGTCTCGGAAGAAATACGACTACCACGAGTACTTTACTGCTGGACTGATCTCGGTGGGAGTGAGTTTGTTTTTACTGACGAGCGGAGATATAACGCGACACAAAGGAAGTGTGACCACAGTATCGGGAGTAATACTGCTGATGGGGTACATGGTATTTGATAGCTTTACATCAAACTGGCAGGGAGAACTTTTCAAACGTTATAAAGTATCCTCCATACAAATGATGACTGGAGTGAATCTTTTCTCTTGTCTCCTGACTGGAGTCTCCCTTATAGAACAAGGGGGTTTCTTTGAGTCTGTAGCATTCATGACAAAACACCCAGATTTTATTTTCCATGCTATAATTCTAAGTCTATGTTCTGCAGGTGGCCAACTGTTCATTTTTTACACAATTGCTCAGTTTGGACCAGTAACTTTTACCATCATAATGACCATTAGACAGGGATTGGCAATTCTTCTGTCGTGTATCATATATGGGCACCCTGTGACTTTAGTGGGCATTATGGGCGTTCTTATAGTATTTCTCGCATTGTTTTTACGTATTTATGCTAATCAGAGGAAACGTGCCCTTCAGCAGAAAAGTCAACAAGCAAGTAACCTGTCCAAAGTTTGATAAAATGATTATGAACAATAAGTTTGTTTTATACTCACATTTTTAAAAATAAGTTTGGCTATATTGTTGGTATCCCTGTCCGTCCGTGTATCACACTCTCTCTTCATTTATCACAATATATTTTTAGAGGTTGTCAAACAAATTTTCTTTGCATATGACTGGCCTGGTCCTGTAGATGTGAAAAAAGTTCTTGAATATTTGATTTTGATCCAATGAGGGGCATAAAGGGGATAATTAAAAGAGTTGACATTGAAGTTGTCTTAAAGTTATTGTGATAAAGTGGTGTATTTTTAAACATGATTAGTCATGTCATGAAGATGTGCAATAATATTTCAGAATTTAGATTTTTGCTGCAGGGGTTCAGAAGTGTTTTCCTAATAAAATTTTTATCATAAGAAATCCTTTAACATTATGGGTTTTAAAAATTTGATTCCATCAATGAACAGTGATTCTGCAGTAAGGATTTTGGATTCTGCTGCAACCTCAATTTTCCAGAACAGTAATCGAGATAAATTCTCTAAGCAAGTCTGTTCCAATGTAACAATTTCTATCTTGATCAAGCGTAATTCATGATTTACAATGTGGGTGATTACAATGTGGATCACTGGATGATTACAATGTGGATGATAACAATGTGGATCACTGGATGATTACAATGTGGATGCATACAGCAGATTCAGATTCTGCTGGCATTTTATACTTTTGAGAGAGTGATCAGAAAGATATTTTTTGGAGCAGATCAATTCCCAAGTTATTAGAAATCCTACCTCGGCAAGTATTGAATACAGTATTGGGATGCATATTGTCAATTGTCCATATGCTCCTTGTAACCTACATTTCAGGACAAGTAATCAGGAAGATTTACTTCAGCAGGTCTGCTTCCAAGTAACTTAAGATCCTTTCTCGGCCAGTTGTGTACAAATCTTGTCTCCCAAGAAGCTTACCATATTCATTTTTCAAATACTGCATTTGACAGACTTTTTCAAGACAAATGGACTGAAATTTTGACAGTATTAAATTCCATTCTCAAACATACATTGCTACAAAGATACATGATGATGCCAATTAAGGTTGACCACAATTAAGCATGCTTCAAGTGCTGTGTTTGGCCTACATAAGTGAATGATCATGTTAAACCTGTTAGAGAAGGTCGTCCAAGTATTAGAATGACCAACATTGTGGGAATGGCATTTCATAGAACATACACTTTAGTGCAGATGCTGCACATTGACTAAAACATTAACATGTACAAATCTAAGAGGGAAATGGGAGGGTATTCCAAACCCTCCCTGGGATTCTCAAGTTATTTAATTTACATGTATATAATGAATTAACCCCCCAAAAATAATCTTGGGTCCCAGCTGTTGGAATCAGACCCTTTTTAAGTTGGTGAGAAGAGTCATTAGACAAATGAATACATGTATTATTAGGGAATTTTCTTTAATTAAATGCCTTAGCCTCAGAGTCAAATAGCAGAGTGGGTATAAACTGTCACTTGTAGTTTTAATTTATTATGGTAGATATTTATGTGATAGGTAATGTACCTGTGGTGCTCTGATTTTGGTTGTATTTTCTGTCAAGAAATGACACACAAACATAGATCTTTCTTTTCTGAATCTCATTTTTTTTGTAATACTCATTCATTTTTAGAACTTGTCTAGCAATATTGAAAGAAATATAAAATTTTTGGGATTGAGACTTCAAATCAATAACAATTGAGACTTAGTAATCTCCACCTTAATTCTCTTAAAGGTCTCTTGTACAAATTCAGATTTCTAAATGAAGCTTTACATGTAATTGTTAATTAGAACTCAATAGATCCATTTATGTAACAGAAACATGAAAACTTTTTTTTTTTTTTGCTAAACAGCAAGAAAAACAAGGAACAGTCCTCCTCATGATTATATAATGCATTGAAGGCTTTGATCAGAATTTGTAGCCTCCAAATGTTTTTATCTTTTTATGGTTACTTTTCAACTTCTATACATTTTTTAATGTGCATGGAAAGGCTTAGTTTTAAAAAACACTTGGCTAGTTGAAACATTTCATGAAAATGTTCGAACAAAGAATTATGTATAGATCTGTTATATTCTTTCAAATATTTTTTTTGTATGCTGTGCATACATGGGTGTTATAGCAAAAGGGTGCTTTTTTGTAGAAAATACATGAATGGACATGTATATATTTGAACTGGGAATTCTTATAGATATTTATAATTACTGCTGTTAAACAATAATAAATAGTTTTCCAGTGCATTTGGTTTTGAGTAATGTTTGCATACTTGAGGAGTATAGCATTTCAGAGAGTGTTCACACTACAGAAGACTGATGTTGGCCATTAATTGTACTATCACATATCAAGCAATGAAGCTAATATGAGGCCCATGGGCCTTGATGGTCACCTGAGTATCATTAGTTTCTATTGATATGACCAACTCCTATTAATATAAAGTTTGGAACT